TTAGAGAACGTCACGTCTCTTCAGCTGACGCAGAAGAAAGAGACGTGACGTTCTTTCTACTGCGTCAGCTGCGTTGTTGAATTACAGGGTTTCACTGGACGGTATTCAGACGTATGCTATTTTCATACAAATGCAAACCTTTTGAGTTCTTCTACTGTGGAGTTAGCTGTGGGTGGAAAACTCACTACAGTGGACAGAATCTGGACGTTCTTAGGGCATGAATTTCCTCTTCTGTTTTGTAGTTTCCTAGCGAAGGCGACGTGTGGCATCAAGTTTACAGCTTGACGAAACACAAATCTTTAGTACTAAGTAGAACCGGACTACAATTTCGACAACCACAAGACAAAAACATCAATACTACGTTGAATCATTCGTAAGACCTCACCCTGTGGTCATCTTGACGGTGGCAGAACTATTTTGTGCTATAACATTTTAATATAGCATCTGTACAATACCCAATTCCACTCATTCTCAAAACGGATTACACTTTTGACAAAGAGAGTAGCCGACATCGACTGAGTTCTAAATCTCGGGCTCGTCTCCCAGCCTTTGGCTAACGAGACATGAGCTTCCTCTATGATCGCGCCGAACGTCATGTTTTTGCATGAGTTAATTCTATAGTGAATTAAGAATTAATGAATTAAAAAAAACTCTGTTATATCGTTGAGCGATTATTAAGATGCTTATCATAGAAGAATTTCGGTATGACATTCGAAGTTATGGTCGCAGAGGGTTATATGACATAGGATATAATTTTAGGCGGCCCAGTTGGCAGCGCAGCAGCTGGCGATAGGATTTGGGTCTTTCTAGAGATTTCAAGTGACTGTTCTTTGGGCTGTCTGAAGTCACAGCCGGGTTGGAAAACTTCAAAGTTAACTTAGAAGTGATGCAACGGCCATGGGAAATTTCTTCAGCAGGTTCTGTGGTTCTCTCTCTCAAGCTCATGGAAATATTAATGGTGCAGACATTAGCTTCAACGGTGCTACTTATCCAGAAGGCATTGAAGGGATGAAAAGGGTTTATGGCGCGGGCGATTTAAGGAGGTGATAACCGGAACTGCTTGGAACCTAGCTCGTTCCAACCGGATTCTTTTGTGCATGATTTCCATCTGCAGAACTCCTCGAAGGTGCCGACGAGCCAATTGCCGCTCCTTAATCCATGTTATGACTTTATCCATCTATTCTTGTTTGAATTCAGTTTGGACCTTCTGAAATTGTGATCGAGTTGTGTGGCACTGGATTGGAAAAATTCAATCTGATTACTGTCCCTTCTTGTGCCAGCTCCAAAGCCCCATGTCATGATGAGTTTCCTCTGTGTTTCTGGCTGGCATTGAACCACTATATTATCATGTGAATCTTTCGAACCTGTTGAATTGAAAAATAAAATAACTAAATCAAGAAAGAAAATCAATAGGAAATTCATTATACATCTCTCTAGACTAGAATATGAAATATATTAAAATAATATGCTAAGAACGATTAAGTTTTGGAATTGGCATCAGGCTGATTTATATGGCATGCATGACAAGATCAAGGAAACGAACTGACTTTGCCATGAACAATATTCTCATGATATATAGGGTTTTTTTATATATATATATATATATATATATAAATAAGAAATATCTTTCAATATGTCGAGCTTTATGCAACAGGGTAATAGAAAAGACTAGAATTCCTCCTTGCTGTTGAGGGTATCTAGAAGCAAGTTGCTAGCAATGACACCAGGTCTTGGTGAATTTATACCAATCAGTGCAGTCTTGCTTTCTAAATCAATCAGCATCTGCCAGGTTAATCCCATATTGTACACTAGAAAGCTAGAGTGAAAGTTGTTTCACCTCGACAAGAGCATGGTTCTTCAGTAAGTGGATAATTGCACTAAAGAAGAATATTTGTAATGAATTCATCAGAAATAGGAAATCCACTCACAATAGTTTACTGATTGTTCGTGCTCATATAATGCTATTTGGTTTTTAGGAGTACCTGAGTATCAAGATATGAAAGAGATCAACCTCAAGTCCAGGACTTGGTATCAGTGATAGGTCTGATATATATCTACCTCAAGTCAAACAAGACATTTACAGAGTTTGGAACAATCCCATCTATCGTGGGATGTTCATGTCACGAGCTTTCAATGAATGAGAGGTGTTTGTTCTGAAGAGAAGATTTTCATCTTGGAAAATACGCAGAGCACTCATTTCGGGTATCTCGACCTCCGGTGCATCAATTGTCACTCTAAAAGAAAGCCTGCAGCGCTAACTAGGGATATAGATTGTGGTGTAGGACTGGGTCAATTCAAATTGTTCGATAGAGCGGCGAACTCAGAGAAACTGGAACTGGCTTAGGACCAGGTACTAACCTGTTTTCATCAGAATGTCATTCAACGACTTGATGCCCAGGTAGTCCCAAGAGCAAATAGGAGTCTATGAGTACCTCCAAGAAAATACTTCAAATATCTTGAATAGATGTGATTTATAAATCAAACATAAGATATTTCATAGAAGATACTACGCATTTACAAGCAAATTGCCGAGACAAAAAAATTTCAACTTTTAACATGAATTTAATTAAGTCACCGGGCGGTAGCAAATGCGGGTGACTTGCAAGGGAAAACATTGGAATAGGTCCGTCAGCAGGAACCATAATGAAGATATCTTGCAATAGATACTTCAATGTGAGCAGATGAAAAGCATGGCAGCTGCTTGAATCATAATATCAACTAGCTTCATCGGTGCCAGATGGACAAAGTCTTGTAGAAATATGTCCTTGTCAATTCCCGTTGGGCACTGAAAACTCCTAGGAGCCCAGTCTCACACCAGGATTGCTCTCTGCAAAACTTGATTCAAACTACTCAAAAATTCGAAATTTGAAGCTAATCTCAAAGTCAAGGTACTTGAGATCGAGAGATACACTCGATAAGGCATTTCTCTCAGTTACTGAAAGCTGTTAAGATGTGCTCACAAACTTGACATTTCTTGATTCAGACCTACACTGGACGAAATACTATCGTAATTCAGTCTTTTTTGATCTATGCAGCGAGAACGATGAAAATTCAAAGAAATATTTAAGGAAATACAAGGGATGCAAACTCTCTACAATTCCATATTTGAATGTAGTCAACCTGTGTATTGATATTCATACTATGTACTACACTAAGAGACTTTCAGAAACTGCGTGCCATTGGTGATAATCAATATGAAACAACCATTACTTCTCGTTCCATGCTAGAGATATTGAAGTCGCTGAAGACATCACATTTCATGTTAGTGATGAGCCTCTATTCCACATACTCTCGGACATTTCATTATGTGGACAGTCCAATCTTCACTCCATCCAGTACTGCAATGATTGACAGATCTTGTGGAGAAAAACCAGTAATAGAATCATAGAGAATGAAGTGATCTACACCTTGCCGAGGAAGTCCAATCGGAAATATTTATGCTTTTGAGTGCTCTCATAGATACTTATTCATTTCTTACTTTTGAAAATAGACTCTAGTTCATGCGATTCAGACGTTTAATTTAAAGCTTTGAATTTCAAGATTCCATACTTTTTCTTTATGATGTGATCTCATTTAGAGCATTGATGATTCTCTCCATGGAAATCTATCTGAATCCATATCTAAGTTTGTGTTTTAAAGAAACAATCATTTCTTTCTAGGTATTCATGGAAGTACTGTACATGTGAGAAGAGAATTTATGTAAACCAAAATTCTACAGCACTAATTATATTGTAATATCAGTGTTATAGAAAAATACTGAAATATATTAGCAACACTGATGGAGTCAATGCTTTGAATGATAGCACAGGTTTTCTAAAAAGTGATGGAATGATACGAATGAATCTTGAAGAGACAATACTCTACCATCTTAAGTGTTTGTGCTCACAAGAACAAAGTGACGATCAGATTTCACGATTGATTAGCCATTCTCGTTGTGCTTCGACTTTTTTACATTTTCTGATTGTTCAGGCACCGCTTTCATAACAGAATTTCACAGTACTTTGATCTCGCTTTGCCTACGTGAGAATAGCTTACCATCTCTCCAATTATCTGACGAGCTTCTCCGACTGAAAAAATGGATAAATCCTCGGATACATCTGGAGACTCCGATTTAAAAGTCGTGCTTGGGTGGACATTGATTTCAAAACTCAAGTCATCTTCCATTCTTGTCGATAATTGTATACGGAAGATGTAAAATTCTCAACCAGTCCTATTGGCTCCACCTTTTGAATACGCTGAGGCACAACGATACTATTCACTTTGCTCACAGTTTTCTATGAGGTATAATGAAGCTGGATCTCTGTAAGTTTTTCTGTCTTTTGTTTTCTCACTCTTACTGCAAAACACAAGCACATAATTCAGTCATACAATAGAGAAAGAATAAATTGTATTACTCACTTAGTGGAAATATAGAAAAAAGACGGTGTACCATCTGCAGCCAACTCCAAGCGTCGGAAGAGGAATTTGTAAATGAAATTCACGAAAGGACTTCAGTCTTTATCCGCTGACTCCGATGTTTTTTGAATGTGAGGTGGTAACGGGGAATCTTGTGCCATGGGCTCGACCACGGTTCATCAATTTCGGAAAAAGTACAATGCATGCAACGAAAGAATATAAATAGTCGAAGTGTATAAAAAAATTTGACCTATGAGTGTGTGCTCAGTCTCCGGACACTCTGTTGCACCGCAGGAATACCACACAGAAGTGCTTCTGATTCAGCCATCCGGAACTACGAGGACTCCACAATCGTGTTTCGTCTGGCAAGCAGAAGTTGATAAAGCGGGCGGGCTTGATTGCGTTTCCATGAGATTTGATGAAACTCCATCCAATCGATTCAAAATCTAATGAATCCAACGAAAGTCGATGAGAAGCATAGGTCGGATCAGAAGCCCACACTCCCAGAGCATGGAGGAAGTACGATGAGCACTTATAGTAACTTATATAACTTATCTGAAAGAACCAAGAATCTGGAAAATATATCTTGTTAATAACACGAAGTGGAGGTGCGGCTGGAGGTGAAATCCGAGAGACGAAAGGAACTAACTCATGACCCAGATATAGATCTGGGTCATCGAAGACAACCTTGAGTCGATGCAAAGTTCCCGGTCCACACGTATCTTCTACGGCGTACATCCTATAAGATACGTTTACAGCCAATACTTGGTACCCATACCTCCATACACCTATTCCTACACTAATTATACTCTACATAGAGTCCTCGCGAGGTAGGCGCTTCTCAGACTCGGAACCCTCTCGCAGTGAACTCTCCCTTGCAGAACTCTCTTGAGCGAGGAGTGCAACATGCTACGAGAGGCGCAGCGATTTGTCCAGGTCCGTCCGTGGAGCTGGACAAATAGTGGTTCAGAATCCTCCAAGCGACAAATCATAGTCCGCATGTCGGACGCTTGGACGTAATAGCACGTAGCTCAGTCTCGTCATGAGCAACATGACTGACACGCATACAATGTCGGATCTCTATTTCCGGAGGTCAACCCTCATTGACCTCATGGGTGATGGAAGTCATAGCGGTCCCGCAGGAGGCCCCCACATGTGTCACGGAGCTTGGACTGCTTCGAGCATCTCTTGGAACAGCTCCATGAACTCTGAACCGAGCCATGAACCCAATTATTACTCACTATTATGGCTGATCTCGAAGGTGTGCCGGTCGACTACGAGGTGTCGACGAATGTGCCCCCGGTAGCCGCAGCATCTCTTCGAACAGCACCACTCACATCGGTCCCGACCCAGGCCGCAGCCCGAGTCTGAGCATCTACTTCCTACTTCACAGTTCAGTGTTCTAGTTTCGCAGGATCCCCGGGGGAGCCCACGAGCCCGATAAATAGCAGATAATATGTAGATCTACAGATGGAACATCTGACAGAAGCACCAGCAGTCGAGTCGGCGGCGCTCCAAAAGAATAAGTTTGGCCTGCTGCTCGCAAGGAGGAGATGCTGTCAGACCCTGAACGTGAGAAGGTTCGGGTCGAGACCTTGCGGCATGTCTCGGACGGGCGGCTGATCCGGGAGGAAATCGGCGATGCACTGGGCCAACTGCAAGTAGCTCAGGAGGCTCGGGGCGAGCTTGCCGGTGAGCGCTTGCGTCGAGAGGGGAGGGCGGGCGAAGCAACTCGGGGGTGCATCAGAGCCCGACCACCAGTGCTGCTTGTCTTTTCCGAACACGTACCTCTCGGCCACCTCGATCAGCTTCCTGAACTCCTCTCGGAATGTCCAGTTGCCCGTCTTCCAATCGAAATCGTAGAACTGCAGGTACCTCTGACCATATTCTGCGATGAACTCTATGGCGGCCACGAGAAACTCGAATTCCTCGGTCGTCATGTAATATGCGAAGCTCACCCTCGCCCATCCGGGCTTCACGCATCCCCATCCCTGCAAGCGACACCCATTGAAAAGCGTGAGCCCATTGGTCTCCGACAAACACAACGACCTCAGCATCGAGGATCTGAGACTCACGAGTTCTCTTACCTCCACCATTGCGTCGCGTATGGACAGGGACAGCTCGTCGCTGATCCCCATAAGCGAATGGGCGTAAGGCGCTGCGCAAGAACATCCTCCGCGTCCTTGTATGCCGAACAGATCATTCAGAAGCTTGGTGACGAACCGACCGTGCAGGGGTTTTCCTCTCGGTGCATCTTGCTCTTTCTTCAGGCTGATGAATTGCTTGATCGGATGGTTCCCGGATCCATGAGTCTTGATGGAATTGATGAGCGCATTCCGCCTTCCCCCTTTCATGAGCAGCCGCATCGGACTGGCCCTGCCGTCAGCCACGAGCAGGGGGCTTCCTGCTCCTTTACTTCCAAAGAGGCCGGAAAACAGATCCTCTGCTGGCCCCATCGTCGTGTAGACGGTGAAGGACAGAATTGCAATGCGCTTGGCTTTCGTGCCGCCGTAGATCTTGATGTTGGGGTTGCAGCTGAATCTGGACATGGCCATGTCGATCAGAAGCGTCTCTCTCGATGATATGAGATCCGTGCCAATGTGTTCCTTCACCCAGAAGGTGAGCGCAGTCCGCACCTTTTGGATCGTACCCGGAGTGCCAGCATCCTCTCGCTTCTCAACTTCGTTGTAGTAAATGGTTTTCTGATACAATGAACACTCCGAATTTCAGTGGCGAACTAGCATGTTCCACAACCATGCTGCTGTTACTGGCAGATGCATGTCGAGATTATGCAGCTGCAACGTTACGATTATGCATTAGCCATGGCAGCCTTACCCGCTCATCAAGGTTGACGAAGTCGACCACGCCACCGCCGCAAGTAGATGGCGGACCTGTTCCCAGAAGGTAGAGACTCTTGTTCATGAGCAGCACGCCGGCGGTGCCAGGGCCACCCATGAACTTGTGAGGACTCAAAAACACGGCGTCGTATCCGTCTGGTTGACCCGATCGCATGTCAATCTCCACATAGGGACCACTGCACAGAGCACGGTTGCAACGAGGGATCGGTATGGGTTCAATCAGGCTGCTCTCTCTCTCAGGCGTCCAATTTCAGTCACAGCTGCCGGGTCCGCTGACAAACTTCACAAATCATGATCGTGGAGGCGAATGAAGCTGAATTCCAGTTCATGTAATAAGAGTCTGCACGAGAAGGGATTTGCACAGCGTTGTGCTCACGGCCTATCATCAAAACCTCGGAAGGGTGGCACAAACCTGGCGGCAAAGTCGAAGCAGGCAAAGCAGCCATGAGCATGCAGAAGTTTCGATATGGTCCGCGTGTTGGTCACAATGCCGGTCACGTTGCTGCAGGCAGAGAACGAGCCCAGCTTAGGCCGGCCTTCGTACAGAGGATTCTTCAGGGCTGCTCGCAATTCGTCCATAGAGATGAGCCCATCTTCGCTCAGCGGAATCTCCACAACCTGCAGTACGCACGCATGACGAGGATGCTCTCAGCGTCCAACATGTCAAACAAACATGTAGATTCATGTCGAGATGCAAACCCGTCGAAACAGAAGTGCGTACGATAACTCTGTACTTCCGCCACCATTTGACTTGAATTTGACCCCACCTAGACAGCCGCCACACATTTACAGCGACTTGTACGGTCCCCACTAGCCACAACTGGAACTGTCTAAAGGAAAGTACTTCTGGTTTCCCTCGCACGACAATAATTCTTTGAGAGGTGAAATCGAGCACTCCTATGGCCCACCACAGAAAGGTCCAGTCACCAGCTGCGACTTGATGATGGATGGCTAAAATAGACCTCCAACCTTTAAAGCAGGCAGATTTTGCAGACAGAATGAGTTAGATCTTGATCACGTGAGCATAAGACTTTCTCCTCCATATTTTGGCGAGTGTGAAGATCGTTAATCCGTTAGTGTGGCTCGTGATTGCAGTTATAACGACAGTGAATGAAGCCATGCGTTTTAGGAGATTCTCGAGGCTAACGCATTCCGGATTCACGAGGTTCAGAGAATCTCTGAACTTCAAAGATCTGCTCGTCAAAGATTAGAAAACCGAGAACCGGGAGACACTTACCTCGGCCAAACTTTGTCTCCACGAGAGCAGATTGGAGTGGTGCTCGTAGGGACCGACAAAGACCACCCATCTCATGCCTTTTTCAATTGTTGCCAACGTTTGCTCTCTCAGAGTGGAAGAAATGGCGATACCCATAATTTCTTGGAGCCTCTTTATCGCCGCAGTGGTACCAGTTCCGCAAAAGAAAATTGCGTCCCTTTCGGTACCTCCCAGACATCTCTTGACGTAAGCACTGGCTTCCTCGACTAAATGAGTCGTCTGTTGGCCCACAAAACTGTCATCGGTATGCGTATTTCCTGCAAGTTACAATCTTGGTCAGCTCGACCCCTCCCGATTATAATATCCAAAAGAGCTCGTAGAATTGAGGATTACAAACATGACCCCTGCCAGTGAGAGACTCATATTTCATATACCGAATCCTCATATCTTATCACAGACGAGGCTCAGACGGTCTGAAGTGCAGGCTCACCGGCAACTATGCTCTTAGACATCTAAGATAGACATCTCATCGAGGCCAGAAAGAGCTGTCCTTGATTCGATCAGCTTGTGCAGCCAAAAAAAAAAAAAACCACTGCTAATAAATTAATGTTACATAAATGCTAACCTCAGACTATGAACTCGGAAGAGAACTCGTAGCACGTGCTCAGAATCGTACCGTATACAGGAAGGAGGTGTTGCATAATATATTTCTCGATGAAAAGCAAGCTCCGGCCCGACGCGGTGTGATCGGCGTAGGAAATGAGCCTTTTTCCGAAGGGAGATGGGCACTCGATGTGGTTACCGATAATTTGAGACCGTAGCCATTCCAGCTTCTGCTCGGATGAAGTTTTTTCGACGTACGGAGGGAATTCATGGGATTTCGTTGCTTCAATGTCATGAAGCCAAAGGTGAGTAGTGCTCCCACCCTTGTCCGCTTTACTCTTGAAAGGTTTCAACGCGGTCGACGAAAAGCTCTTGGCGATCCTCATCGCCGTGCCTCTAGATGCTCTCTCTGAACTCCACGCAGCTCGAGTCTATGTTGATGCGGCAACTTCCACGGCCTTTACATGTATCGGAATTTCCACTCACACTCGCAGATCACGTACCTTTCTCAAAGCACTCGGAAGACACAGAACCACCAACGCTTGGTGCGGCTGTTTAGTTCCCTCGGAATGGGCCTCTTTCACTAATTACGCCGCCGGGATCGCTCTTCCATTCGCTATCGGTCCAAGTCCGCGAGAGAGTGAAGCTCAATTACGCTGAAGAATCGCCATGGAACTCTTTCTATCAATCAATCGACCTTTATACATATAGCGGCATGAACGACTCAGATCGTTGCTACAATATAAGCACACTGTCTTCTTTCTGTAAGGATTAACAGCCTACGATTGCTCGTTCTGGCTCATCTTCGAGTTAGAATGCTGTTATTTAGACCACGGTGTTTAGGAAACCCTGCGTCCCTCCCATGCATATGGGTACCTTGGTTTCTGCCACAAGCGACACATGCATGTGCCACCTTCAAGTCCTCCTACGTTATCACACGGTACACTTGATACTCAGTACAATTTAATAAATGGGAAGAATTGATTAAAAAATAATAAATAATTAATAAAGACTTATTCATTCTCTTGCTTGTAGAGGTTTGACGAGGTCTTCCACAATTGTCACATACGATTTGTCTTTCACATCCAAGAATTAGTCCTCCCGTTACCTCCGAACATTGACGTGGTATAATTTTTTACGTGTAAGCTCCAAATGTGAATTGCGGACACATATATTGATCTGTCTATGTTATCGGTGCAAAATATCTAAGCTTTCAAATTCTCGGTTGTCCATGGATGTAGTACATAAGATAACCAGGTGGCAGAATTCGAGAGGTTGTTGAAATATAGTTCTCTTAATTGCAGGCATAGTTAGCTTGAGTACCTACTTCACTCAAATAAAATTATTGTTTTAAAAATCATTCAAGATGCTACTTTTTAAAAATAATGCAAGGCTCACCTACTTATTTGATCCATATATAATTTTAACACACGTGTAAACTGATCCGCTTAGATTCGAATGCTTGCCAATTCAGCGTTTATACATAGATAATATTATAATGTTATGGGTTATTACCATACATGTGAAACTAACGTACAAACTGCATAATGATATGCAGGAAAAATTTGGACAAAGGGCACAAATAAAGTTCTATTGAACTTAAATAATATACAGGACGTATTCTGTTATTAGAATAGAATATACGTATTCTCTAAATTCTGCATCCTCGTACGCCACTGAATCAATTCAAAAAGTTAAACCACACGCAGGTAATACAACTGCTTCAAGAACGGTTTGTAAAAAAATAATCCAAAGTTGCTGCTCAGATTAATATTAAAAAATAGATTTTTTAAAGCGACGATGGTAGGACCGTATTGCAATGCACAAACAAGTAGTATTTCAAATTTAGTGAAACATTGTTATATACCATCGCTGTAAAAAGTAGATCATTGACTTTTGTGCTGCAATGCATCTGCCCCCACACGAAAACTGATGTCATGTACTTCATGCCACACAACTTCATGCACACGACCGAAACAAAAAAAAAGGGAACGTCAAGTCATGTCATGAAGAGGTCAGGAATCCTCGCAAAACCCAGTCATCCAATTTCTATTTAATCCGTCGTAGGAAACTACAGCTCAGATCAGAATCAGAAAACAAACACAATCATTTCACGCAAATTTATGATCAAATAATTATAAAGGCTAGTGGTTCTTGCTGGCCGATCTGAATAGAATATTTAATACACCATGCACATTAATGTTCGTGCAACTATCTAAACCGTGGTGACCGGAATGAAGAACTGATGAGAGGCCTATGGTAACTTGGCATTTGCCAAATTTGTCATAATTTAGTCTATTATGGCATCAGCCAATTTTTTTTGGACAAATATAACACTAATTTTAATTTGCTTATAATATATTCTTACTAGAGTGACAATATCATTAATTAAGATATATACACACACCTAGTTTCAGGATAAACATTAGCAAAACTTCCAACAAAAATACACATTAATCCATGCCTCATCAAATTACACGGATTCTGGCATTTGATCCATTGTTTTGTAGAGTATATTTTCTCATTCTATCAATGAATATATTCTCAATTTTGAGATCAAATAGAAGATAGTAGAATTGTGTCGACTATGTTTACATTATTATTCAAACACAATTGATCATAGGACGTAACAAAATGAGGAGTATAATAAAGAATGAGGAGATCAAAGAAAGTTCCTTTGACGTGTAATTACATGATATTCACTCCATATTTGCCAAGTGTTGACTTTCAAGATGTTGTGATTCCAGCTCTAGTCAATATGGAACCTTAAAGTATGTTGTGGTTCTAGTCGGACCTTCGCTTCTGTTTGGTTTTATTTTTCACCGCTCATACTTGGCAAAAGCTAAAAGAACAGATGTAACGACACCATAGTGTCTTCAGTCCATAGTCAAGTTCGTGAGAGAGATTAAATGGCGTTTTGCATTTCTTTGAAGACATTTCATCAATATAATCAACGGACAAGAGAGAACAAAAACGTTTTAATAGTGAACATGAGCGAAAGGAGACTTGGATTTCCATTCTTATTTATGACATCATGCAAAAATTATTTATGACAAATCTGGCACAGCACCCGCAAATGCCATATTTGAAGAGTCCTGGTGATGAGTCTTCAGTTCAGTTTCATAATGGTAATGATTCATTACCATTATGAAAATGAAATTATTGTTAATATAATCACATTTTTCACATGCGAGTTCAAAATAATCTATTCTTATGCATAATTGTGAGGTGTCTCTATTCCCGAGACCGAGACAAAATATACATTTTTAATCACAATTTGCTCCAACCTAGAACTTGAAGAAAGTTGAAACTAAAAGTAGCCATTCACTTTGGTATCTCCGCATCCTTACAAAATAAAGGAATATAAAGAGTCCCAGAGTGCTGCATTTTGATTATGGTTGACGATGTGTATTGTTTGTATGCTCAATTTACCCGCTTGATGACCGACATCAGAGTGTTTTATATGACATCGGTTGACCCTGGTTGACCCTGTTTAAGTACGCAAGCCCTATATCCGTTTGATGCGCGTGAGAATCTCAAACTCCAGTCGTCCTTTTGCTCAAAGGCATCAATACAACGTTCCAGATGGTATAATAGTTTTGAAAAGTAAAAAATGGACCATCTCTGACTTTTCGGTCCTTCGGTCTGAAGACCGTAAAGTATCTGATTTACGGGCACCAAATGTCAAAATAGTCCCGGGGTCCACTCATCCTTGGCCCGACAAAGACTTTTTATTTCATGACTATAAGGATGAGAACCATGAGATTGAAGCTGGTCCTCATCAGCTGGGAAAAAGCTTTTTTCCGTATTGATTGAATGACAGGTGAACACTCGCTTTTAGATTGGACGCTTTTGAGAAGCAACTGAATGATGTCAGGAGTGGACAGTGTGGGCTATTATGAAGAGCACGAGTGAACACGATGCAATGCGAGATTTCTACAACGTCCTTGTGTCAAGTCGAGATAAATGCCTCAAGGCCCGACCCTTCTCACATAACCGTACGTGAACGTTATCCCCCACTGGGCTAACGTTCATGTAACGTAGGCCTCTCTAAATACGGCAATCAGACTCTCCCTTTCAGTATTTTGTCATATTTTGTTTTCATAAAATTCATTTTTCCAAAAAAAATCTTTGTTATCTAGGTGGATTTCATAGAAAAACTAATGGAGTCACTCAATTAAAATTTTGAGTTGACACTTTGTGAGAATGTTTTTGTTGATCTCGTGGCTTTACTAGAGAAACTAACAGAATTAGTCAACTAAAACTTTGAGATAACATTTAATGAGTTCAACTAGACAAGTTTTAGTATTTTGACTATTTCAGCCTCTCTAAATACAGCAAATGCGAAATTCGAGAGTTCCATTGCACTATTTCGTTTTCATAAAGTCACGTATTTCCAAAAAAAGATATATATTTTTTATATACTTGACTTTAATAGAGAAATTAACTCAAACATTTGACTATAACTTTGCGGTGAACGTAGTGACAATGTCTTTGTTCATCACGGTTGCTTTACTAGAGAAACTAACAGAATTAGTCAACTAAAACTTTGCGGTGACACCTAATGAGTTCAACTAGACAAGTTTTAGTATTTTGACTCTTGTTTATCTCAGAAATTTGTAGCTTTGAAAACATAAGAAATTGTTCAACTAGTTTTAAAATATCAATATCGTTCCAAAATTTCTTGGGAACAAAAATACATGGATAAAAAATAAAAGAACACAAATAATTTTTGGTTTATGTGAATTGAGAACATTACGAAGTCAATGTTCTCGGGTTCACAAAAATCTATTGACCTAACAGTATGATTTAGTCAACTCATGGAATGTTTTCATAAAATTAATTTGCCCACTTTCGACTTCTCAATGCTGAAATTTGAATAGTATATTCATAAATAAAAAATAACACTCATTTCTTTATCGAAGGTGTATTACATTGTAGTCAAATTAGACTGAAAATACAAAGGTCAAGATTCAGCCGAAAATTGTCAAATTCCGAATATTCTGTATTTTGTTTTGAAAATTATCCTTATTTCGTTGAAATACGGAACCAGCCCTATATATCTTTGACATCTGTTGAAAACTGCTCAATTTGGCACTATCAAATTATGTTTACCCGTTGAGCTCTATACTTGTAGACTTCTTGACTACAATAATGATATGCACGTGCACAGTCTTCGATCATCTCACCTGATAATAAGATCTTTGTTCCACCAATCCCTGTGGACACGGCGTGACTGGAAGCAGGGACCAGTTCTTGTCCTCGACATAGGACATCTACTTCAGAAGAAGACATGGAAGCAGATGGCCTAAAACGTACTAAAACGTACAAAGTCTTGGAAGGACTTGGATGATTAGTCGATTGCCAGTGACGAACTATATTGACTTACATGACGAGCAAACAATGAAACAGAAATGCTCACAAAGCAGTTGTTAATCTAGCTGAAGAGTAGGGTCAACTCTTCAGCTGGCATGAAGTATTCTGATGCGGATGTAAATCACGTTTATCTCGAAATCTTATATTCTCCGGTATTGCTGGGTATTGTCAATGTCGCTAGCCTATGTCTCCCTGTCTTCACTCTACAATCCATATGTTCCACTCAAATGTCAACTCAATGAATCCTTTTCAGGTTGTGAACAATGCAACTCGGGGATGTGGAATATTATATTTTCAGCAGAGCATGTGCATGCCTTCAATACCAACTCCATGTCTTTTTTTTTTTCAAATTGTAGAGAATACACTCCGAGGATGTGGAATATCGTATATTCAGCAGAGTTTTGTGCATGACGTATGTACAATACGGTTGACATGCATCAGTTACACAGAAAAGTGCCGAATCCAATCATTTTACGTTTTCTCATAGACTTGTTCAACTATTTGTGTCATTCAAATATGGAGCGTGGTTATCGACGGTGTCATATAGGGCACGGACTCTAGATAATAGGTTGATGACTAAATCATCGTTGGCCATGCGAGCGAATATTTATTGTGCTAATATCTGCACTGGCACATGTTCTCATATTCTTTATTTTAATGAAATACAAAAGTATCTAAAACTTTGGATTGACACCATCTTCACTCCATATCAGCCATGGTCAAAATTTACAAGGGTACCACCCAGAAAGACTTGCTAGAATAAACTCAGCATCCCAATAATTCATTCGTGTCAGCACACATATTTAGTTTAAAATTTAAAAATAAAAACATCCCTAAAAGCTTATTTTTCACACTCATAGCACATAGGATAGATCATAATGTAACTTTGAAGATAAATAAAGGGATATTGAGGGAACAGGAGAAACGTTTTCATGAGGTATTAAGAGATTGATAGTTGTCGCACCTTTTTTTTGGGCAGTTAAACACCCCTCTAACTAGTGCAGATTGTGACACTTTCCATTCAAATGTTGAAACAAGCTTATGAAAAATTATAAAAATCTGAATTGAAAAATACTACATATCGTGTTATATTTAGTATTGATGAAGATGTTCTATTTTTTAAGATGCACCAACATGTGGCTCATACATGTTTAGTTCCAAGAATTCATTTTGAAAGCTTATCATGAATTTGAAATGAAAATTTTAGTCCCATATTTCAATGATTACTTGCGATCTCTTATGAAATTATTTTTTTAAAATTTAAAATTTTAGAATTAAAAATTTGTTAGCCTTGTGATAATGCACATAATTCATAATCTCATACAAAAATTTCACTTAAAAAAATGTTGATAGATTTCTACGTACTAAAAACATTATTTATCTAACATTGAACATTAGTTCTTATCAATTATTTTTTGGTAACATATTGTATCAAATGAAATAAACTGTAATGTGATCATCTCTTATGAAGTTGATTCAACATAATTATCACAATAAAATAAATAAAATAACAGAATGAAAATTTTCTATTCTTACGAGGAAAAATCACGAGAATCTTAACCCTAAACCCGTTGCACCAACTCAAGGTATGAACGAAAGAAGCAGTGGTATACGAGAGGGTATCGCATAAGAATGCGTAGCGAGGAAAGTGGGGCGACTGTGAATCCTAAGCACCTGATGTGGTGAAACGATGAAGAGTTCTAAGTGGATAACAACGGATAACAACGGTTGGACGCGCAATCGAGCCGTAGAATGATGAAACCGAGCGAAGGACCGGTCGGATGGGGTTCAGGTACGCTCGGCGAAAGAATCGGGAATATTCGGGCCGAAGGGTCCTTCCGACGGACTGAGGCCCAGGGAGGCTTCTACCGCACGGCAGCATTCAGTCAAGTGGAGCTTCTGCCGCAATGCGGCCCACTTCTCGCGGAGGACCAATTTGTCGGACGCACGGAGTAGGACCCGGGACCCACGGAGTGCTCGATTGCTCGATCAGGGACTTGCTCTGAAGTTGGTCGATCGATTCATCATAAAATGATCGACACGGCCTCGCACACAGCCAACTCCAGCTGGATCGTCGAGGCTGAATCTGAGACTTGCACGCATCAGTCTTGGCTTTGGATTCTTGAGCCGCAACCATGGACGCCGGAGAGAGGCGGCGCAGTGGTGGTATGACAGACGACGATGAGAGCTTGCTCGCTCGTTTGTCGTGGAAAAACTTATCGGTTTACGTCGATCATGACGTGCGCATTCTCCATGAACTTTCTGGCTATGTTGAGCCGGGACGCATCTGCGCTATTATGGGTCCTTCTGGATCTGGGAAGTCCACTCTTCTCGATTCTCTTGCCGGTAAATGGTCTCAGACCTTGCAACTTCACGTGATTCTGTTGGCTGACAATAATAAGCTCATGAAGCCGATCGACTGAATTTTGTTCGTTGAATTCCAGGAAGAACATCCAAGAATACTACGTTGACCGGGGATATCAGGCTCAACGGCAGGAGCACTCGAGTTTCTTACGGCACTGCGGTAGGTTGCAAATTTCACCGATGGCAACTCTCATCCTTATGTGCTTCTCCTGGTTGATATTAGTCAGTCCACGACATTGCTCATTTGATGGGTGCTTGAAATGAGAATGATCGTCGGAGCGTGCCCTTTGTTGTAAGACTGTGTACTATGTTCTCCTGTCTCAAGTCCCCACTGTCATTAGAAGTTGATTTCCATTTGGAGCCGGAGACTCTGTTGTTACTTCTCGATCGTCTGTCTGTCCATGAGTCTCAGACTCCATACTTGCAATCCGCTAATATTGTTTGTGTCACGGACTGATACAAACAGGCGTATCTGGCACAAGAATGTGACCTCCTGGGGACGCTGACAGTCAGGGAAACTATATACTACTCCGCCAAGCTGAGGCTTCCGAGCAGTACATCTGAGAAGAACCTGCAACGTATCGTGAAAAGCACTATTGAGGAAGTCGGACTGCAAGATTCCATCGATACCCCGATCGGAAACTGGCACCAGAGAGGACTCAGTGGCGGTGAGAAGAGAAGGGTGAGTATCGCGATCGCTCTACTCACCCGGCCTCGACTTCTGTTCCTCGACGAGCCTACGAGTGGATTGGACAGGTAATGAGTGACACAGGTCCTTGACCACGAGTCGTGGTGAATCCCATAGCATTAGTCGAATTTGTGATGCAACGCGTGATGGTTTGTGACGTGACTTTGGTTTGACGCACATTGTCTGCTGGGTGCCACAGCGCCTCCTCGTTCCATGTGGTGAGCACGTTGAGAAATTTGGCCCACGACGGACGCACCGTGCTGTGTTCGATTCATCAACCGAGCAGCCAGGTCTTTCAGCTATTTGACGTCCTCTGCTTGCTCTCCAGTGGCAAGCAAATATACTTTGGAGATCTGCCGGGCTCGCTGGCGGTCAGTTGCCCACAAACCACAAACCCCCTGGGATAGTCCATAGGTCCATACGCTAAGTGCTCGAAGTCATAATTGACAGTCATAGCACGTGAATATATATGTGGAATCTTTGTCGAGGACCTTTCGAGATGTTCCAGATTCGATGTATTAGTTATTCTGTACGGACCTCTGACGACCATGTTGTGTGGAAATTTTGTTGTGTAGTTCTTCGAGGAGGCGGGTCACCCTTGCCCGACGTTGCAGAACCCATCGGATCATTATCTGCTGTGCGTGAACTCCGACTTCGACAAAGTTCAGAAGTCTTTGCAAACTGTGCTGGAGCATCGCATAGAAGAACGCCATGAAATCGATGAGGAAGAAGCGGTCTCTTACGTGCCAAAGTTCGAGAGCGTGGCTGCAGTAGTCAAAAGCTTGACAACTGCATACACCGAATCACAGAAGAAGCTCGAAGTAGTATCGCACATAGAGGAAATGAATAAGCAGGTCCGTACCCGACTCCGATATTTGACTGAAGCTGAATGAATGGAATCTTGTGCACGTAAGTGTCACGGAACGCAGATTGATAGTTGGTACTTGCAATGTGAATTCAGGAGGGACCTTTGCTGAGCTCTAGTGGCAGTGAGGCCAACTTCTCCACGCAGGTTCTCACACTCACCAGGAGGTCATTCACAAATATGAACCGAGATTTCGGCTACTACTGGCTGAGGCTGGGGATGTACATCGTCCTTACCTTAGCTATTGGTACCATATATTTCAAAGCAGGAGACTCGTACACTGCGATCGCGGTACGTTTCGTATCTCGATAATCAAGCTTTTCATAAGTCGTATCAGATTCCGCGAGCTTTAAAATCACGTGTTTTTGAAAGACTTTGTGCTCAAAAAACTGACGCGCTATGTTCATGCAGGCCCGAGCTGCGTGCGTGTCTTTTGTCGTCGCCTTCCTGACGTTCATGTCAGTCGGAGGTTTTCCGTCGTTCATCGAAGATATGAAGGTGTGTCCAGTTACATACACCTTGCGAGCTTTCATGATGATGAAATGCTTTGACTTCTTCACACCGTAAGGAAGAGGAACACATGCTCAACAGAAGGAATTTTCGAAATGCGTTGCAGGTGTTCACGATGGAAAGATTGAATGGACACTACGGCGTAGCTGCGTTTGTGATGGGAAACACTCTTTCGTCGGCTCCCTTTCTGCTCCTGATATCTCTCGTATCTACCATCATTGTCTACTTCCTGGTGGATCTACACCACGGGCCAGAACAATTCTTCTACTTCGTCCTGTCACTGTTCGCCTGCCTTTTGGTGGTGGAGAGTCTTATGATGGCCATTGCAAGCCTGGTTCCCAATTTCCTGATGGGCATCATCGTCGGCGCCGGAATTCAGGTCCACATCACATCCTGGACACCCTGAAAATTCAGCATTCAACTCGTTTCATCAGTGACCGAGTTGAATCCTATAACTGAAGGAGCTGAAGCCTCCCGATCTGCCGGTACTGAAATCGAAAGACGTGTGTCCTTGCAGGGTATGTTCATTCTAGTTGCAGGTTTCTACAGACTTCCAAACGATCTGCCTGATCCCGTCTGGCGATACCCCATGTTCTACATAGCCTTCCATCCATACGCTTTTCAGGTGAGGCATCCTGATCTTGCTGCATGCAGCCGTGCACTGAATTCATCATGACTAAATTCATCGGACTCTCTGAGTCTCGACGTCGACCCGAATCGAGGAGGGGGTGCAGAATATGCTTTGCCCACTCACGTACTGTGTTCAATGCCTGTGGCAGGGAATGTTGCAAAACGATTTTACTGGTCTAACCTTCGAAAACATTAACGGGCCCAGTGAGCCCCGAGTCGGCAGCGATTACATTCTCAGGGATTTGTACCAAGTTACCATGGGACGAAGCAAGTGGTGGAATCTAGCAATTCTTCTGCTGATGGCTCTTCTGTATCGGATCCTTTTCTTCGTTCTGATCAGATTTGGAGAAACGTCTCTTCCAGCGATCCGAGCCTGGATTTCCAATAAGTTATACGCCCGGTCGCGTGCTGTATCTCTCATAGGCAGCACAACATCTCCGCTGGGCAGTCCCATGAGGGGCCTGTAATAGATTGAGATTCGCTGATATGTACTACATATCATGTACATGCTCACGGTTATGTTAAATCCGAGTTAGACTACTGCAGTACGATTGCAGTTTGTTACAATAGGTGATTATTTGTGCACTATCGCAGGCATTTGTTCGTTGAATGTTGTTAGGGAAAGACAGTCGATGAATGGAGTATTATGGAAATATTCCTTGTTAATTTCACACCATTAATCTAAATCTTACTTCTGAACTTGATCGATGGGTATTTTGTGCGCTGTACTCTCACTTGAATTGATTTTTCTAAAGACGAGTAGTTAAAGTCAATAGGATAATTGTATTTTGGCGTCTACAAAACTAGAAGACACCTTATGCCTTGGAGGCTGATATTCCTGTAACTCGATGTTAAAATATCAATATTTATCATGTATTATTACTTGATGGGACCAATATGTTCCATTTTACCCATCAGAATGCCTAATGGGACTCAATATGTTACATTTTACCTAATGGGACCACTTGGACGGCACTTCAATTCACCGTCACTTCTGTTCTTATACGAGTTCTTGTAACTGATTTATTTCCACTTCCATGAAAAAAGTAAATTCTTTCCATGGTTGCCAATCTTCGTCATGTGAGAGCCCAATTTCGCACGGCTGATAATGATTTTACATTTATAATGGAGGGGCGTTATTTACTTACACTTCTCTACTTTCTTTTTCTAAAAATCATGGCCGAAGTCAGGTTAGCTGCGTATTTTGGTCCGTGAAGTACCTACTTTGAGAACCTGAAATTTCCTAGTTTTCAACTAGGTTGCATCGTTGAAAACCAGGGAATAACTTAACTTCGGGGAGAAGTCACTCTCAACAAAGAGCCGCAGTGCTTTTTTTAACCCGAACTCAAAGTAGTCACCATAACTCTTAGTATAACATCGGTGACGGTGGACTTCGCTGCCGTCGGAAGATTCCCATCGGGCTAAGTAGAAAGTATTGGAACTGTGTTTTATGATTTTTTGATTTGTGGGCTATATAATACGTGTTATGATTTTTCGTGCTTGGCTCTATCTCACGATAATGAACGAAAGACGAAACATAGACGTTTACGTAGTTTGCTAGCACAATTTGTGCTAACTACATCCACGGACAAAGAGTAGACTTTATTCCTTGAGAGAAAGATTACAATGAAGAGCATGAATCACAATGAATCCTGCAAGTTCCTTATATAGCTAGGAAACCCTAGCAGACCACAAGTTTCCAAAAACGCCGTTGGAGACAAGTGCTGGTCGCCTCACAATTTACTTCCAAAAATATGACATGACTTTCATCGCTTTGACTATTCAAACTTTCAAGAAAATTTGTTGCCTTTGCCTAATTCAAGGCACTATCTTCAACAAATTTCCACCTTGACTTGAATTCCTCGTCAACATCAGTTACTCCTCTTCTCGTGAATAAAGCTTGTCTTCTCTATACCCAAGTGTCTCCCGTCACAGAGGCTCACTGAACCGCACTGGGTCTGTCATGGCCCTGAAGTACCTCATTGGCTCATAATGTTGAGCAATTCCAGGCAATGCTGGAACTTGTTCTTCGGATCCGGCTTCGTGAACATATCCGCGGGGTTGTCAACTGTTCTCACTTTCTTTACCTTAATCCTGCTCTTGTTTCTCAGAAAATGATACCTGACGTCGATGTGCTTCATTCTCTCATAATGAACCTGGTCCTTTGTCAAGCATATCGCACTTAAGCTATCACAATGAACTATCGCTTGATCTTGATGTAGGCCTAGATCATTGACCATATGCTTTAACCAAATCCCCTCCTTTGCTGCTTCTTTCAAAGCCATGTACTCCACTTCCGTGGTTGACAGAGTCACCGTCGGCTGTAGCGTAGCCTTCCAACTCACAACGGAACCTTCCAGAGTAAACACATATCTTGTCATCGATATCAATATCACCTGCATAGTCTGAATCTGAGAATCTAGCAACCAAGATATCATCATTAGTCCCATAGCATAGGCCAATGTCTGACGTACCCATGAGGATCCTAAATATACGCTTCACGGCCTGCCAATGTTCCCTACCTAGATGAGCCATAAAACGACTAACCACACTAACAGCGAATGCTATGTTTTGTCGAGTACAAACCATAGCATACATCAGGCTTCCAACTGCGTTAGCATATGGAACCTTGGACATGTACTCCTCCTCCTACTCGGTCTGAATGGTGTACATTCCTAGCTTGATGTTACACTCCATAGGAGTATCTATATACTTGGCGGTTTGCATTCCAAATCTGTGTAAGATCTTCTTGATGTAACCTTTCTGTAACAAGCGAAACTTCCTCCTTTCTCTATCTCTATAGATTTCAACTCCTAGAATTTTCTGAGCAATTCCCAGATACTTCATCTCGAATTCCACATTGAGAGACCTCTTTAGTTCTCTAATGTCTTTGATATTCTGAGTTGCAATCAGAATGTCATCCACATATAGAACTAGGTAAATGCGTGATCCATCATGCAACTTCTTGTGATACACGCACCAATCATACTCACACTTCCGATAGCCTATCTTCAGCATGAAGCCATCGAACCTCTTATACCACTGCCTCGGAGACTGCTCTGGTCCATACAAGGACCTCTTCAACTTGCACACGTAGTCTACTTTTTCAGGAACTTGAAACCACTCCGGTTGGTTCATATATATATCCTCCTCCAGCTATCCATGTAGAAAAGCTGTCTTTACATCTAGTTGTTCAAGCTCTAAGTCATGGTGTGCAACCATTGCTAGTAGCACCCTGATTGAAGTATGTCTGACCATCGTTGAGAATATATGGTTGTAGTCAACTCCCTCTCTCTTACTGAACCCTCTTGCAACTACTCTTGTTTTATACTTGACGCCTTCCGTTGTAGTGATTTTTTCCTTTCTTCTAAAAACCCACTTGCAAGTGATTATCTTTCTCCCTAGTGGCAATCGTACAAGCTCCCATGTTGAGTTTTTGCTAAGAGATTTCATCTCTTCTTCCATAGCGGCAATCCTTTGTATTGACTAGGAACCAGTAATCACAGCCCGATAGGTAGACGGCTCATCTTCCACCTCTTCGGCTACTTGCAAGGCATACCTCACAAAGTAGTCTTTCTCTAGTCTTGAAGGCATCTTCTTATCCCTCCGTGTGCGACGTGCAGCAAGAGTCTTGTGTACCAACTCCTCTGGTGATATATCCTCTTCAAACTCTTTCGATTCTTGCTCTTCCGTTTCAAGCGGTGATAGACCAGGCGCTTCAGAATCTTTAGGATCACTCAAATCTGAACTTGCCTCCACCTTCTTCTTTTTAGCTCCAACCTCTATCTCCACGGTATTAGATTTCAGCATCGAACTTTCATCGAAGACTACACTTCTGCTAAGTATAATCTTTCCATCCAACCAAATCTTGTAACCCTTCACACCTGTTCCATAGTCCATGAATACCCCCTCTTTGCCCTCGGGTCTACTTTGCCATCATCCACATAATAATAGGCAACACAATCAAAAACACTCAGATTCGAGTAATCTGCTGCCTTTCCGGACCATACCTCAATGGGTATCTTGCATTCAATGCCAGTATGAGGACTCCAATTTACAAGATAGCAAGCCATAGAAACTGCCTCTCCCCAAAAACACCTAGCAAGACCTGCATTCGAAAGCATACATAGTGACTTCGATAGAAGTGTCTGATTCATCCGTTCCGCTACACCATTTTGCTGTGGTGTCCCTCGAATAGTATGATGGCGAGCTATTCCCTGATCCTTGCAAGATTCATCGAACTCCGATGAACAAAACTCCAAGCCGTTGTCCGTGCGCAGCCTCTTCACCTTCTCCTCACTAGTGTCTTCCACTCCTTGAATTTGTCGAATGCATCACTCTTGTGCTTCATCACAAATATCCAAGTCATCCTTGAATAATCGTCAATAATGCTCAGAAAGTATCTGTGACCGCCAATTGACTCAACTCGAGATGGACCCCAACAATCACTATGGATGTAATCAAATGTGTATTTTGTTCTATGAACCGCCTTTGGGAACTTGCTACGCTGTAGCTCTCCAATCACGCAATGCTCACAAAACCCTAGGCTCTTGGGTGTGTGCTTGACGAGATAGCCTTTCTTGTGAAGTTCTTGCATTCCACGTTCACTCATATGGCCGAGCCTCATATGCCATAGCCTTGTTTGATCAGCTTCCTGAATCTCAGCTAAAACAACTCCAACTGATCATGTGATCGCATAACCTTGTAATACATACAAAGTCTTATCCTTGATTCCCTTGAGAAGTACCTTGGAACCCTTATAGACGCATAGATCTCCACCTTCAACTTTGAAGCTAAAACCCTTCTTGTCAAGTAGACTTAGAGAGATCAGATTCATTGTGATGCGTGGTACGTGTCTAAACTCGTTTAAAGTACATGTCTTTCCATCATGATTCTTGAATCTAATAGAGCCGATTCCTATTACCTTGCAAATAGCTTCATTCGTCATGTGAACGGAACCTCCATTTGTTTGGGAATAGCTTGAGAACAACTCCTTGTTAGAGCAGATGTGATAAGATTCTTCAGAATCAAGAATCACACATCCGACTGGTGTGTGACATCATCCATCGATAGAACATAATCGTTCTCAGACGAACTACCCTTTTCTACCATGGCGGCCGATTCGTTTTGTCCTTGTTGTCCTCGTCTAGGGCAATCTCTTTTCCAGTGCCCCTTTTCCTTGCACCAAGCGCACACATCCTTACATAACTTAGAACCATAAAACTGCTTTTTCTTATTCTTCTTATTCTTGCTTCCTTTGTTCGCCATCAGTCCGGAAGCATGATCCTCCGTGCTTGTGCCTATGCCCTTCTGACCCATCTCTCTAGCATGAAGAGCGGATCTCACCTCTTCAAGTGATATGTTGTCCTTGTTAAAAATGAAGGGTTGAACGAAGTTCTCGTATGATGAAGGTAACGAGATCAATAGAAGGACTGCAACATCCTCATCATTCACCTTGTCGTCGATGTTACGCAAGTCAAAAAGAATTGAATTCAATCGATCAAGGTGGTCTTTGAGGGTCGTTCCTTCATTCATCCGCAGAGTGAATAACCGTTGCTTTAACATCAGCTTGCTGGCGAGTGACTTCGTCATGTAGAGACTCTCCAGCTTGAGCCATAACGCAGCTGCCGTCTTCTCTCCTGCGACCTTCATGATCACGTCATCCGATATGCACAACATGATGTTTGGGTGTGACTTCTCCTCCATCAACTTGTATTTCAATGATGCAACATCCATGCTTTTCTTACTTGTGGTCAGAGGTGCCCATATGCCTTGTGATTTCAACATGGATTCCATCTTGATCTTTCACAAACTGAAGCTATTACCTCTAATGAACTTCTCAATCTTCAACATTGTTGCATACATCGTTCTTGGTAGATCCACAGCCCTAGTGGCGTGTCTCCATCTCTCTGATACCAGTTTGTTATGATTTTACGTGCTTGACTCTACCTCACAATAATGAACAAAAGACAAAACACAAAAGTTCACGTAATTCGTTAGCACAATTTATGCTAACTACATCCACGAACAAAGAGTAGACTTTATTCCTTGAGAGCAAGATTACAATGAAGAGAATGAATCACAATGAATTCTGCAGGTTCCTTATAAAGACCCTAGCAGACCACAAGTTTCCAAAAATGCCGTTGAAGACAAGTGCTGGCCGCCTCACAATAAACTTCCAAAAATATGATATGACTTTCATCGCTTTGACTATTCAAACTTTCAAGAAAATTTGTTGCTTTTGCCTAATTCAAGGCACTATCTTCAACAATACATATAATACACTCTGTTTAATACAGTGAACAAATGTGAGCTGAATTTACTGCTAGGGCATCACAAAACCCTCGTCCAAAATCTCGTTGGTATCAAACAACATTTGATGATCAAAACGATTCAGGCCATTCGACATATCAATCTCGTTGAATTCATCAAGATGGTCGTTCAAGTCGCTCGCAAGAGCATTTTCTTCACTCTCATGTTTATCATTCACCTCGTCAATACAGACCGCATTAGCACCGAACTTCTTCAACCATCGAACGATTGTGCCGTTGCATTCAACACTTGTGCGTCAAGTAAGCTACTTCGCATTGAACATGGTGGCCATGCCAGCCTTCACCTTGCCTGCCACAAGTTGAGATCGGTTGCACGAATGTACTCGTTTGGCGGATGGTCAATGCGGCTTTGAGCGTTTGGCAACTAGCATATCGCCGTCCAGCAACCTCGGGGCTGATTCTCACTCAAGTTTACCTCAGATGACTTTGTGGTAGCTCGTCATGGCTCTAGAACACTAGGATTCTCACTCATACTTGCGTTTCAAACACACTTTCACACAATCTCTCTATACATCATTCAATTCACACAAACTCAAACACACGTCGATACTTCAAGATACTGAAAAAACCTCAGTTTTTCATTATTCTTGAAACAAGTACTCACACATGATTGTCCAAATTTGCTTAAGAGATGTTACTCTACCTCTCTATTTATACTACTTGAGAAGTTACCATAGTAACATGTGCTAATGTCTCTTAACTCACTTTTACCTATGTAAGTTTGACTATACGTGACAACATGCCATTGGCCTAGTTAAACCTTCTAGAAATTTCCGGAATCTGAGGTTGAGATGGCGACATATCAGTGGAAGCTTTAAAATTTCTAAAAGTTTCTTAACCAATAAGTAAACATTAGACTTAGTCTGGCCAATCATCTTTCATACATTTAGTTAAACCAATCAAATCCAAACTTATAGCCAAATATCTAATCCTTTGGAATCTAGAGCTTTGTAAAAGACAAAATAGAATTGTTCATTCCACTCTTCAATTACTCTACTAATTCTTCCTCCAACTATAGATATTATAGCTAAATTTAGTCATGACTAGATACACTTAGTTATAACTAACTAGTTTAGTCATAACTAGATAGACTTAGATATATCTTGGCTAATCATCATTAATCACTTGGCTATTTTTACAATTTAATATACATATGCAACATCCGGTATCATAGAATGCAAAGTCGACACTTGCGCACTTGTGAAACACTGCTTTAAGCTTGAGATTGAGCACATTCGTTGTTGATACTTGGACTTGTGTGTCTTGACATGTCATGTGACCGCCAAACGCGTCTCTGGTGTAAGTGTGATCATTTTAACATTCTCATATATATATATATATATATATATTACTGAAGAGTACTTATATGAATTATGATGATTATAAAATTCACGACATGATAAAGGGTATAGATCATCAATGCTACCACCACGAGCATCCTCATTGACAGTGAACTCTTCAACTCCACTTAAGCTATCGGGACATAGTTGTTGAAGCCACTTGCATAACTTTGAATCCCTCTATAAAGCCACTTTACGATCGACCTGTTTCCGATATGCAAAATACTTCTAGCAAATAGCATCTTTTGGCTTCGCCATTTCGAGTAGAGTGTACACTTCTTACGTTTCTAACAAGCCAACAACACTTGTTTGGATTCCACTACGGATTTTTTATTATACAATTATACAAGGTATGGTTTACGCGTGATATATAATACAATAGTATAATACTGCAATATTACATACACAACTATAGTCATGACTCATTCATGTAGAAGGGCTAGTTAATGTACAATTCTTTGACCTTAAATCATTTGATGGCTGCTTCAAGAAAGTACATCATGAGATAAATGTTTGTCATGACTCCTTCATGCACAAGGTTTGATTAATATGCACTACTTTGACCCTAAATCATTTTGAAAATTGACTCAAAACAGTACATCATGAGATAAATTGCCAAATTGAAATTTGTCATGACTCCTTCAGTCACAAGGGCTGGTAATGTACACTACTTTGACCTTATATCATTTTCAAAATTGTTTCAAGAAAGTCTATCATGAGGTACATGCCCATAGTAATGTTTGTTATGACTCCTTCGTGCACAAGAACTGAGGAGTGTACACCACTTCGACAATCAAGTCGTTTTGATGGTTGCTTAAAGAAAGTCTCTCATCATCATCTCCTCTATCCCGTCATTTCATGTCAACTACATCCTAAGAACAATACCATCCTCTTCATAACCAAGGAAAAAAATTACCGATCTTTCTTTTATAAGATGAACCTTGACTTTTGAACTCCAGCTCTTGCCCATTACTTTTAGGATTGAAGAAACCCATCAATCGTTAGAGGGCTTGAATCCTGTCCGTTTCCGAGTTGTGCTAGTTTCTCGTTTCAGAACGTCAAGGTTTCCCTTCAAGAGCACTTGGCTTTGGTAGATCGTAAGAATTGTAGATTCAAACATATCATGAATAATTTCCAGCTTGTATGTTGTTTGCTTAGTAGGGCGATGAAGGATTCTGACAGCCAGAAAATATAAATTTCGAAGAATGTTGAATTTCCGATTGTTTCATTCAAAGTTTTTTCTGCTACATTCGTCTGCTAGTATGAACCGAGTGCTACTTTCAGCTGCTTTTGAATTGCGAGCAGGGCTTGAAATGAAGGTATATCTTTGAAAGAATCAGCTTCAATCGTTTCAAACTCATGCTGCATTATCTTCTGTAAGAGGAATCGAACGTCCCGATCCAGCAAATCGACTCTTCGTGTTTTCTCTAGCACCTTTTTTGCATCCCTTTCATTTCTTGCTGCAACAAAGACCCGAAATAATCTGCATTCACGCACCACCATAGATACACACAGCGGTCAGCTGAAATCAAACAATTCTTCTGTTTCAGTGGAACATGAGTTATTTTGTGAAACCTATACAATCTAATATCAATGACTGTGTCTTTCGTATGCCATGTTCCATTCCGTATCTTGATTCACTTCAATAAGCTTGAAGCCTGCGGGTGTTCTACTCTCTGCATCCAACTTTCAGCTCCCACCTAGAACCTCGTATAACCTTGGAACTCAAATATCATACAAGGTTTTGCACCCCAAGCTTCTTGTATGATCTCCACTAGACCCAGCTGGCCCGGTGGATCGTCGAAGTGAGTTTCCCATGAATACTCCTAACTTAGCAGAGATTAAGAAGCGTAAGATTGTAAAAGTGCACAAGCTTCAAGACTATATTGGTATAATGACGTAGTTGGAACAGCAAAGAAGGAAGTAGCTCATGACTAGAAATGTGTTACAATTAATAGAGCCAGGTCATGAGCTGTATTTAGCTAACAGTACAAATTCCAAACCGTCCCTATATTTTGCTATCATAACTTACATATCAGCATCATTTATTCCATCTCCCAATCTATATTTGTATATTACCTGATTCTCGTCATAATATTTAGTGGAAGACATTCCTTCTCCATCTCGTGAACTAGTTCCCAAGCTTTTTCGGAGTCACGCATAGACGCGCAATGATCAAGTAATGTCTCATGTGCTAAACGAGAAAGCTGGACACCCTTAGCCTTTAAGGCTCTCAGTAGAGCCAGACCATCGCCAGCATTAATTGAATTCTCCTCTTCTCCGTCACCTTTAGAATTTGTGATTTGAAGAAATATCTGATCACATGGTTGCAAGTACAATTAGCCAACGTCGACAATATTCATTTTAACCGTAACTATCATACCGTGTAGCATACTTGAATATAATTTTCTACGTCATCTTCAGATGTCGTGGTTTGTAGAAGTATCGTTCATGTTTACATTGGATAGTCGCAAGTAGAAGAAACCGTCTTTGGATAGATTCATTAATAACACCAAATGCAGCGTGAGAGTCCATGAAACTCTAAAACAGTACTTTCCTCGAATGACATGCATATAAGGAATAGTAGATGTTAATGGAGGGAAAAACCTTATCGTAGAGTGTTCTGTTGTTCGTCATCCCGAGTTTGGTGATATGTTCCAAGAACTTGACACCTCCTCTGAAATTGATAAGTATATTCCACAACGTTAACGTTTTACTCCAACAATCAGCATGCAATAATTGACATTTTCTAGGTTCAAGGAGTTTAAAGCATTTGCAGTTTTTCAATGTAAAAGATTGTAGGATCTCAATGAAACATCATCTGTGAATGGAAATTGATACTTACTCTAATTGTTTGTGGCTAAAGTATCCCAGACATATATGACTACAGAAGACATTGAGATAATTGGTGCGATAGGTCGCCGGATAATCACTCCAAGAGCCCGGACTACATGCCTCTTCAAATATCTTCAGCATTGTATCCATTCTTCCCGCCTTGCCCAAGACAACCTATTCAGAAGTCAAGAGTGAACTATTTCAGCTCTTCACCAAGCTTTGGAAACTTTTCGTCTTGTCCGAAAGTAACTAATACGAAAGAATCGAAAACCACAGGTGTCAAATAATGAAAATAAAACAAATGTCAAATATTTAGGCGAACATTTCATGTTTTTTGTCATTAACAAAAACATATAAACGTGGCCTTTATGTCACTAGGCTTAGCCAACGTCGATAGATTAGGTTTTCGAACTTAGAATATTGAGTTATTACGTCATCTCATCAAGGAACCCGTACTTACCAGCAGAGTTGCAACAGACTCTGGAGAAGGTAATTTTCCTTTTGTACCAAGCTCCTCGTATGTTCTAATTGCTTCATCAAGCCGCCCAGCTAGAGCAAGTCCCCGAAGGATTTGACTCGTACCATCAACTCCAACAATCGTACCCTTCATGTCGAGTTTCTTGACCAGCTGTTTGGACAAACATTTATGCTTAAGTACATCAGATCTTCTGTTCAAACCATAGAAATCGACATCTATACAGAAACAGAGAAAGACGGAAGAATACTCACAAAATATCACCTAGGCGGTAACATAAATTACAGTGGCTTGTCTCAGATGACTCTATCGATCTTACAGAAAGTCAAAACGTTCATTCTATCAATACAAGATTGGATTCAAAGCTAGCACAGGCTACGCAATTACGATCCACTAGCAGTCTGTAAGTGAGTGAGAAGTGCCAAACATAATTAAGAAAATTATATGTACCTGTAGCACCTGGTCAAGCTTGTTATTGTCCACATGTGCTTGTATCAATGCACTGAGAACGGTTTCATCTGATTCCAGACCAAGATCTGCAATCACTTTAAATAGCTGCAAAAATCAAGATAAATCTTTAAGCCCCTCTTTCAGTACTAGTAATGAAGAAATCTGGAAAGGTTTAGTAGTTCATGATCGTTAGATACATCCTCATCATTATCAAATGTTCATATCTATCAAAGTTCACTGTGGTAGGGTAAAACAAGATTAGACAACTTCTATAGAAAGACATGTTCTATTCACAGGCAGCACCTTTGAGAGAATGAGAGCGACAATAACACGTCCTCACTCATATAAAACACCCATTCACATATACATGAAATGGCAATTTTTTGAATACCTTCGTAGCTTCACTGAAGTCCTTGTTCGATCCACAAGCGCGAAGAAGGACGAAATAGGTGTACTTGTCTGGCTTTAATCCAAAGTGATCCATTTCTTGCACAACTCCTAATGCACGTTTGAGTCGCTTCTGCTTACAATAATGAATATTATGACACAAGAATATGATTTTCTCACGAGATCACAGTAGAAGAGGCGTAGAAGAGGCACCAGAGATCAGTCTCTGGTGCCTCTTCTACGCCACTGCGGATGAGGATACAGTGTCATCTGAAGATTTTAAAATTTGCGATGCATTACCATTTATAGACGAAATCTGCGAAGAACTTGGCACTGCTACATACCAGATTTGATAGACGGTAGCTTGAAAATCATACCTGTTGGGCAAATCCTTTAATGAGCTGGTGAAAAGATTCTGAGTTGGGTTGGAGACCTTGCTGCTGCAGGTCGCTAAGCACCCGATAAGCCTTTTCCATCTGAAAGTGGATGAACAGAGTCAAAGAGATTGGTTCCTGCTGTCAACACAGTTTACGATACGCCTGCTCTACAAATATGATGACCTTTTCTCTTTGTTAAGAACTAAAACACAAGAGGTTTTACTGACATCTCCCGCCTTCACACAAGCTCCAATAAGAACATTGTAAATTTCGAGTGATATCTCAACTTTCAACCTTCTCATGGCTGCTATGGTCTCGAAGGCCTGCAAAAATAGAATGAAAGATTGAATGAAGATTAAGGTTGTATCTACAAAGGAAGGACATGCACCAGTTGAGATTGCGAACAATTCCAAATTAAGACATATTACACTTCGCACTGACATTGATGTGCACCGAGTTTGTCGAACCATCTCCTTTTGTATTACACAGAAAATAAAGAGGTATCCCTGAGATTAAACTATCAAAAGTGAACAGAAGTGCAATTCGATAATAAATACAAAACATTGGTCCAGAAAGTAGCTCTTAAAGCATCTAACAGCCACATATCACTAATCCAGCTCCTTATTCGCATTTTCTTCCTACTTTGATTGGAGCATGAAATCTACACACGCTAAATTCGAAATGAAGACATATACCTCATCCAACATGAGGTGATCAGAAAAACTTTTGATCAGTGGACTGAAAGAAGTCGGCCTCAAGGTCAACCCCCGCTTTTGCATTTCATCCAGAATATCTAGACCTCGCGATACCTTCAACAACAGAGACAACTCGTTCAGTAATATGACATTAAATTTTCCCAACGTTACTTACCGTACAAACGAAGATTCTATAGAAGAGAATGTTGTTTGTATGAAAACCAGGTTATAATTTCAGTAATTTTACAATATTTTCAAATGGTTCTCAAATTGGATCCTGTATTTTTTTTCAGATGTCCTCCACTGAATGTAAATAAGAAGTGGTATTCATGGTGGACAGCACTACGTACCTGCCCTTGATTGCAGAAGAAATTGATCAGATCTTCAAAAAGAGTTGAATTTGGCTTCACTCCTACCATATCCTCCACTGCCCTGAATGACTTCCAGCCCTGCTCTGCCTGACAGTAAAACCTATCAATAACAAAGTGCACAACTCTCAATTCTTTGCCACTAGAGGTGATTCCTGCCCTGATCCATGGCAAATCTCCATTTCAATTGAATTAGTGAAACTTGTTCTTGTTAACTTCAATAAAGTCATAGATGGGATGCGCAGGATGAGCACCGGGGATGCAACCGGCAGCATATCGGACCACACTGTGACATCTGAGAAGAATGTCTTGAACAAGTACAGAAGACGACTGTGAAATATTTAAACGGGAGCAGTTTGGCACTTAATCATTACTATTTAAGCGTGTAAGTAGACTTACCCCAAAACTCGCTGCAAAGGCTGTTGTGTAAACTAGCAAATAATGTGTCAATGTTTTCTCCGACTCGCCTGTAAGACAAATCAATGAACTCAAGTCATGAAGCAGAAATCCATTTGAAAATGTTTCGACAAGAATCTTTTTTAAAGATATTTCTGTGGTTATCATGGTGTCACATAATAAAAACACTCGTCTTCCAAGAATAAACTAAGGCAGATATGAACCGAATGTAAACAACAGTCAACTTACGAGTGCAGTTCGGAGGTGATGCCTTGAGTCACTTACCTGCATTTTTCAGAAGCTCGAAGAGAGTTAAGCTGGCACTCTGCTTCCCACTTCGTCCGAACCAGACGAAACATTCCTTCGTGGTTCCAACATGACGTTCTGCTGGAGAACCCGTAAGCGACACAACTAGCTCTTGCCATCTGCCCTCTTTCGCAAGAACCAATAACGGGTCTACAGACAGTGTATTGCACGTCGACAATCAGCTTTACTAAAATTTTATATTTGAAACCAACAAAAAAAAGAAGAAAAAAGAGAGCAAATCTTCCAAGGACTGTGTTGACAAAGCATTTTTCCTGCATCGATGGAGGTGTTTTCAAGACAGTAAATACTGCAGTTGCAGTTTGAAGGAAATCAGTGAGAACCTTGAGATTTGGTGTAAGAGGAAATCATAGAGTGGGCGGCACATTCTCGCCGTGCTGAGAATCGCTGATCAGCTCGTGACCTGAAATCTTGCTGTCCTCCAACATTGCCCTTTGAATCATCCACTAAAGACGAAAATTTTTTGTTGCTAGATTTGTTCTGAGTAAAATCGTTCGAACCCAACTCGCCTTCTTTCCTACCTTCTCCTGCTGCACACCCAAAAAAAGAAAGTGCAGAAATTCAGCCTCCTCTACAATCCTAGCTTGGGATTCAGAAACACAAGAATGATCTATTAATTTGATATATAACACAAGTAGAGAACACCGAAGGAAGCTGGCTACTGATTTTGCATAACAAACTGATCGTCTTTAGTGTTCAATTCCACGATCGGTCTGTCGAAATTAATCGGGGAAACTTCCACAAAGCGCAAATTTTTGGCATGCTCTGAGCAAGAGCTGAGAACTCGCCACGTTGAGTCATACCAGAAGCAAATGTCTTGATACCGAGAGCCCCAGAAGCAGAGGCATTGAGCAGGACATTCTTGAGGTGGTTTGAAGAGAATCGCAAGCCTATTTCACGCTGGAGAGCAGAAGCCGACAAGACTCGCATCTCGGTTTCTTGCTCAAAGCTCAACAAGATTTAGAGTCGATGCGACAGAATGAGTGAGTTCATACAGATACACGCCGACGGGCTCGCCTTGTTTGCGAACTAGTGCATTTCTTGCCAAGTGATCCCATACACTCGGAACAGAACACAAGAATCGCCAAGAATTGCTCTTTCCCAAGAGAACGTGTGCATGCGTTTTTGTGCGCTACAAATCTTGATCGTCATGTATCGGAGCGACTGCCAAGAGTGAGCACTGGAAAAGTGTCCAATTCCTCACTACGCTGGCACTTTCTCACGTAATCTTGCCACAATAGTGTTGGAGGCACACCTCAAAAGGCATGCCCCCGGCATGCCTCATTCGCAATTTCCATACGGGCATGCCCCGTATGTACGAGAAATTTATACGTATATTCGAGATCTATAGACGGTAGGATCAGCCAAGAAATAAACGGGAAATCATGCTTGTTGTACTGAAACTGAAGGATGTACAACATACTTGAAAAATTCTTCAGTTCCAAGAACAGTAGACAGGTCGTCCGGCTTTATTACCTTCAGCAAATGAATCGGATGTCTAGCATGAGTAACTATAATTCCTTGAGGGTTGGACGATCTTCACTAAACTAGATCTACCTCTGCTGAATGGCACATGATTAGATGTGATGCCAGCAAATGTTGACAAAGGAATGATGAAGAACAAACATATGCTATGTGCACGTTATTGTTTCAGGCACAGAAAGTCACTTCATACTGTAAATTTTCTTTAATTTGTTACATACGTTGTTTATGTTATTTGCTTCTGCATTTCTTCTGTCTTCACAATATTTCCGTTCTGTCTTCACAATACATACTGATCTTTGCACTCCCTCCACGCCACGGAATTGCTTGGCCCTTTTGTTCTGCACAATTTTTGATGACCGACATGAATATGACTGGTGTTGTAGTATTTCCTATTTCTACGCAGTCGCTCCCTGCATAAACACGTGTTCTCTCTTGCTTTGATCCGTTAGACACTTCGAGATTCTACTATAGTGTGTTCTGGGTTTCAAGCTATCATTTTCGTTTTGATTGTTTCTATTCCTAATGGTGTTTAATTTCATAGACGTATATTTTCCGATACGTCAAATATACGTATTGTAATACGGGCATGTCTGGGGTCATGGGGAATAAATACCTTTCGATCTTGAAAGAGGGCATGGTCATGCCTGGAAAAATTTTGTTGTGCCTCCAACCCTACACAAGATGCCAACACTCAATCGATTAATCAAACCACAAATACATGGACAAGTCAATGGATTATCACTATGGAAAATATGGACTACTACTTACAAACAGTCCAGGGAGCATCCCAAAAAGAATCAAGTGACTCGATCTAGTGAAACCTGATAATTAGCATCTGAATATATCAAGTATCGTCGCTTAGGATTGCAAATATATTGCTCTGCGAGAACTAGGTTCAAACTTATCTAAAATAGACTAAACACACAGAATAAATAATCGTGTTGCCTAATTTGATAGTTTTTCCTGCAGCTCTTCGTTCATATATCTACACAATTCCAAATTTAGACCAACAAATATACATCTCTCTATGTACTTGTATTATCTGATCTGATCTTTCTAGCACCACTCATTGATTACATATTAAAGTGAATTATCACAATTTCCCAAAAAGTGATATGTGTAGAGTCTAAAACGACGATGTGTTTAAAAGTTTCCGAAACTCTTGCTTTCAACCAAATATATTGAACCAACGCCATACCAACATTACATTCATGTGTAAATTCAATTTTTCATGTGATGATCAACAGTTTCATTTAATAGTTATCGAATAGCTAACGAATCATTTTCGTTTGTTAATACAAACGACAGTGACATACATACAATCGCATAGTGACACTCTCACGTTTGAACAATGAAGATGGATGGTGCAGACCAAATCAAAACCTAATCAATATGAACTACAAGACAAAACATGTAAAGAAAAATAAATATGTCAATAACATCATTAGTATGTTTTTGCCTAAATTGCTTAAAACTTGATGCAATTTTTTTATACATCTATTACAAGGAATAAACGATGTGATTGATACTTCATCCATATAGTTAAACATAGAAACAACAAACCTAACAAAAATGCATTCGTCACACGTTACAATCTATTGAATACTTTATGACCTAAGTTAAATGCATCCTTTGTTACTCCAAAAAACATGTATTTTTGTAATTGAAATCTTTGTTCAAATAATGTACTAAGTAAAATGTTGTTGGTCTTGAATAAGTTATCAAAGATTATTTATTTTTAAAACTAAATATTAACATAATGTATGATTAGACAATCCTTTCAAGAGTTATAGAAAAAATTAATTGAAAAATATGTAAGATCACAACAAGTTTTCTAAATTATATATGTATAAATAAAAAATGGTAATTTTTGAATATTTTTTATTTCTATGATGCAAATTTTTTTATATAAATTGATTAATTCACAGAATTATGAGGTGAAATTAATTCACAACTCACAAAAAAATTATGAGTTTCTGTAATACAAAACACAAAATTCTCATAACAACAAAAAATTTGATTTAAAACTCTTTCGACTTCATCTTGTTACAGAATATTTGCCAGGTTCTCTGCTTCAATAAAACAAAGTGTTGAAAATGATATGTGAGACATTAATGTTTTTGCTAAATTTATGCATAAATTTTGAGATGCATTGCAATATAGATTATAGGCCTTAGAACATTTGATATTTTAAAAATGACATACAATACACATTAGAACAACACACTGATATCCATCTTTTTCAAACACATCAATGAGATCTTTTTACATTTCTTATAATTATATCTCTACTCTTCAATCATTTAGAAACACTTAAAAATCACTTCTATTGAAAAAGGAACAAAGAGAATAGAGATTACAGTATCTTATGTCATATGATCGTCAATTAAGTTTTTTTTGTATCTCATCATGTTATCTTTGTAGATTTAGTAATCGCCTTAGTTTGGTGATGTTAGTGATTTTTGTAATGTAAAAATTGCTTGATAGACTAAAATTATTGTGACTTGTGTAAATATGTTGAATTAACTCCAAGCTTAAAAATTATTGCCATAGTTTATCGTTATCTTTGAAAAATTCTGTACTTTTTTTATTAAAATTTAAAAATATTTCCAATTTAAAATACATTGATGCAAATTTAGATTAGTTTTTTAAATCAATGTGAGATTATTGGTTTCCATAGGTTATATGATGGAATGATTTTTACATTAGTCTTAAAGTAAAGGAAAAAATAATCAAATCTCTAGATTCATCAGAAATAGTCATTTCTTTAATGATTATAATAAACCATAGATTTGGAAAATACATATCCCTACATAAATGCTCTGCCATGCTACTTCATATTGAAAACAAAGAAATCTTTAAAATCCATCCAATAATGCAACGTACATAATAACTTACATAATTATGTACTCAATATTGAAACAAGAATCTTTCATCAAATCATTACCAAATGACTACTAAGTAAACTTACACACTCCTTCAAATTGTTGCTGAATGAACAGCTTTTATTATTAAAATCTAAATCACAGTACTAGAAAGTATCTTCAGGTTATATCTTAAAAAATATGTTATATTTTGCTGCAAGATAATTCAAAATATATTTCTCATTTTACAATTATAAAACTAACTAAGACGTTGCACTTAAATTCCTAATTTGGAAAATTGGTTAAGAGAATCATCAAATACAGTAAATTATTATGAATAATGAATGAAACGGAATAAGCTGATTTCATAGCGATGGAGAAAAAATATATCAGCTAAATTTTTTTTACCGCTTCAGCCACGCAAAATTTCAATATTCCTTCACCATCCAGACGTATTGTACAAACATTCATGAAGAGATACAACTGAACATCGTGTATTATATTTGAACGTTATGTAGGTGATTGAATACAACTAAACAATTATCGATGTTTGAATGCAGAAGTTGATAATAGTAATAAAACCCAGTTGCTCATCCCAGCCGAATATTATTGAATAATGTTTACAACGACCTAATATATTGTCTCACGGGATTGATGCGTATAAAAATTACAAGAATTTACTTCACATGAAACTTAGTTAACATTCACAGGAATTTCATCCCGCAAGCACCGCGCTGGAACTTCAAACGTTGGGAACCAAACTCGCCTAGTTCGCCTGGTTACGTTCCGATGACTCCAATGTAAAGATTTGATGGTGGCAGAATATTTAGTCATTGTGAATGGACCCCCTGCGTTCAGTTTTCGCACAATTTTCGTCTTTGTACATGGTTCACCATTTGCTCGGGAAAACAAGCGGACCCGACTACAATTCCGAAAAACAGTTGTAAAATCTAGATCTTAACAGCGTATGAGCCAGTGCTCTTCCAACAAAATTATGTCCAACATGCATCGATAAGACACAGGCAGCAACGTTGTCTATCCAGTTGTATACTCCACATGATTCAGCATCCAACACGATAAGCACAAGGACGGACAGTTTGACCGTAATTCCACCAGATCACTACGGTATCACATCGGCATATTTCAAAAGGTCAGCTAAAAGGGCAGGTTTCCTATATTTCTGCTAAATGGCTCAAGGAACAAACAGTTCATGCTTCCTACACCCAAAAATTTCTTAAATTTCAGATGTGATATTACCACTACCATTTGTATAAAACTTAACATTATTCAATAAACAATCAAGATATTAACGATCAGTGTCTTCAGCCGCCAATTTCCATACAACCAAACTTTGCCAAGTCGTATCACCCAGCAAAACTAGATAGTACAGAATAAAGACCAGTCACCATTCGAAGAATTTCAAAACAAAGCAGTCCACCAAAGACTAGACCTTCAGAACTGAAAACTTAATTCATTCCCTGATTAACCCAAAATTGTAGAGGCAAACATTCCATCGCCTTGCAACAACCAGATGATACATTCCGATCCTCAGCAAACTACAAAATCGGAGGAGCCAGACAGACAAGGTCTACTAATCTAGAACAACATGGGAGAAGAGTTACGGCTCGGCATTGCAGAGAAGTTATTAACAGCAGTAATCGTCAAAAACGTCTCTTACTGGTTGTTAATGGCAATTAAAAGCCTTAGGCATTGTGGATAGAAATCCCTTATTTCAGTGGTTACTTCCAGAGCTGAAGGTGTAAACAACTACCTGGTTTATCGCACCTGAATAGTCCTACTCTGCAGACGGCCAGTACGAGTATACTGACTTTCACCCCAGTTGATCTTAAAAACTCTGGGTGATGTTGCAAGTGGAGCTAAGTGCTACTCTAATTTGCTGACCAGATCAGTCATCTGATCACCTTAAAAGTGTGAATAAAAAGTCTAAGCTTTGGAAGTAGATGAATATTAGTCCCCAATGACCTGCACAAGTAGGTGTTGATTTTTAAACGAAACCTTTGCGACAAATAGCTTACTAACCTACACTTACATATGACACATCTACAATAGCATAACTGCAATTCGCCTCAGTAATGACTCGAATGGGCCCATGCCCACTAAAGACAAGATGGCCTAAAGCCCCACTTGTCCTGACCGGTTCTTTAAAAGACCAAGAAACCAACTATCTTCCATATTGGTTTGTGACTGAGTGGACTGTGGACTAATGACTTGTGGACTGTCGATACCGTCACCACTTTGAGGTGATGTTCCTAATGAAGTCGGATCAATGGAGTGGAGGACGAGGTGAACGCGGCCTCACGGGAGTCTTGGAAGGGCTCACCCTGGAATAACAATTGACAAAAATCAGAGAAGGTTGATGGACATTTACTGTAAACACAAACTTTAAAGGTTGAAAACAGAAATGGACCACAGAAGTGTAGACGTCCATGTACCTGATTGGGAGCGAGCCCAAAATAGCGCCACTGCAATTGAGAGCTGCCATTGCGCTTTCGGCCTGCAAACCACGTCATCGTTAGGTTAACAGGCCCTAAGCCTCCAATTCAATATGCCTTGGAATTCAAGAAACTCTTGAATCTCAAGAGTTCTTCAATAAAAGGCATTCAATTATCACACAACCGCTACATTTACTACCGTACTTAAATTCGTAGGTGGGTCTGGGTAATTGATATAGGATTGTTCTGCATGACCCTTTGGATTACAGTTCGGAAATGTAACCAAGGTCCTAAATCCCTTGTGGGTCCTCTTCAAATTCGATCTATTGTTTAGAGGTAAAACGTGAGCACAAGTACTTCACAATGGAACTTAAATCATCTTCTCAAAACTTCATGTCGAGGATAAGAAGGACTTGTGCGTTTAGCATGGCAAGTTAAGTTCCCCATGGCTTCTCCTTTGAGATATCTTACCACACCGGTCCGAAAATAAGCACTGTCATCACTGATATATACACATCAATCTTTCCCCCTCTTAATCCACACTGTACTCTATCCCCATTTACATTTCTAGCGCTCGGCTATTCTCCAGTACCTACCGTAGAAACATTATTCGTTGTAGAAGAACGTTCATCATGTTCATAACTGGCATGCTTCCTACTTCCATTAAAAATTTGCAAAACCAAAGTTGAATGTTATGTAAGAGATCGGACATCCCATTTTCAATCCCAAAATGAAAAATCAAGATAAACACCCACCGAAGTTTTCCAACATTTCAAAAACCTGTGCAAGATGCTCTCTAACGTAATGATAGACATTCACATTTCTCTTAGGTACTGCAACTCGCAGGTGTTTGTAGACTTGGATTACATTACGCTGGAAGTTGACTATCTATACCTGGTTTCACAGTCGGTCAAGTAAATAACTGAAAGTTCACTTACCATCACAAACTCCACAAATGCTATGCGTGTAGAATGATGATAATCACCCAGCAATCTTAGGCGAGCAACCTACAGGACAAAAAGGTAGCAGTGTTGATCACAACGACCCGCAAAGTTTAGTTGATTACCAACTTCAGGACTCTGTTCATGCGGAAATGCTGAAAAAGAGGAATGAAATTCAAGATTAAAGCAAAAAAAGCTCAATACAATCTCTGAAACATTATCAGCAGATCTTCAGGGTTTTGAAAAACTACCTCGCCACACAGAGATTCAAAGAAGAGCTTCACATCTGCCTGTGAAACCTGCGTGCAACTCAGCCGTCTCAGAGCACGAATCCTTCGGGTGGGGATCCAATCGACTTCAAAACCATGATAAGTCATGACTATTGAGATGCTCATCAATAGGACATATGAGAGGCGAGGAGTGAAGTGATACTGAAATCTAACGATCTGTAGACATTGTAACAAGTTGCAGAAGGAAAACTTATCCTACAAATTGATACCAACTAACGGAGATTCATCTAAACTTCCACTTCACCTTCTTATCAATATTTGTACAATATATTGTTCTCGCGCACATCTCCCTTTCATCTTCAGACTGAATGAGATGTGACAAAGTTAGACGTATAAACAGCAGCAGTTCCTATCTCTAGTGGAGAAGTTCATTACAAACATATTGTAGGTCCCAGCAATGAAGGATAAACCATAAACATAACAACAATGGAATCATCTTGATTGCCATCATCTGTGAATACTGTCCACAACACCGATGGCAACAATCACACAAAGCGCATACTTTTACGCCAATGTCAGGGCGAAAGAAAAACAAAAAAATCAGATGACACTGCTCAAAGAAAATCGGCTCCTCGGAGGAAGGTCCGACGGGCTCTATGGCCTAAAACGATAGAAAACTGATACCCGGCATCTACGGCACAAAATTGCGTAAAGATAGCATTACCCGGGGAAGAAAGGTTGGATTGACTGGAACGATTGCGGTCTTGGAGGGCAACACACGGACAGGGTAGTATCCCAACATCGTTCCTGCGAGGCTCAGGGCAGCTCGAGCCCCCTCTGCATATCCAATTCCATCGCTCAAAATATTACGAACATCGCACGAACCTTCCTAAACTGACTAGTACGGAATGACACAGTTCAGGAAGTGGTCATGATTAAATAGTACATCGGCGAATCATGACACGATATTTTTGCAGAACCTCATTATGGCTTACCCTCATCAGTGAACTCAACAAAAGCAAAACGCAGAACGGAGTTTGGATCCCCGCAAACGCGGCAATCAACCACCTGAGGCAAGGATAAGTTCATGCATTGTCAGACCACAAGAAAGACACGTCACGGATTTGAGCAAGAGATGTGACATCTGCCAGGACTGAACTTACCTGCCCACAAGTGATGAAGAGCGCGGCAAGCTGCTCCTCCGTCACCTTCCCAGAGCACAGGACGAACGAGTCGAGAAATCAGAAGACATGTCTGGCGAACGATCTATACTGAGGAATTAAAAATGAGGATCGGAATGAGATCAGAGACTTCGGACCGTGGGCAAATTTCACATGGCCGGCATTGCTTAACACGAGAAGATGATGCGGGACAACTTCATTCACTCAGCTCGACCTGATCTCGGTGGATCGAGGAATATCCGCTTGCAACACTGAGACTGTCATAATCGATGGCAAAAGCATGCGCAACATCCTGAATCATGTATACTACGCGGGAAGAAGATAGTGAAGGCGATCAGCAGTTTATCGTCATATATATTACGGGCGGTCCAAATTAGTTGCTTACTTGTTGATCGATGTCGGAAACATACACAGTTCTCCGGATACTGTCTTCACGTTGCGCGCGGCTTGTTCTGCTGTTCACTCGTCGTTTGCCGAGGTTATAGCCATTTTTCTTCTAAAGCGACAACAGACGAGACGGATCAATGGACGAAGCGAAATCTCCCCCAAGAAAGCAACAGGAAGTGGGAAAGTTCAGAAGCCCGATCGGGCAACATTAACGACCAGATTGCACAGCCCATGTAGTATGAAGGTGAAGAGCGATCGGCTACATTTTCAACAAGTTCATGGGGCAAGCAGCTGTGCGTACCCTGCGCGTGTTTCCCTTGGAGGATGCGGCTGATACTGCGGTGGTGTTCGTGTCGGTATGAGAAGGAGGGACAAACTCCTTGGCCAAGGGATTGAGCTTCGTCAGGAGATCTTCTAGTTCTCGCATGCTGTCATTGCTGACGCTGCTGTGTGCATCCAGTGCACCCGCTTCTTCATCAGCCTCCGAATCCCGAGAGACTACTCCATTGGCTCCATTTGCTCGCAGAGGTGGTTGCTGCTGCTGCTGCTGCTGCTGCTGCTGTCCAGGCTGAGACGGGAGCTGTTGTTTCGGTGGTAGGGGAGGACCCGATTTCGACTGCTTCGGCTGTTGGGAATGGTTTTGAGGAGCATCTACTTTCTGCTGCTGAGGCTGCTGCTGCTGTTGTTGCTGCTGCGGCGGCGGCTGCTGCTGCTGCTGCTGAAGCTGCTGCTGCTGCTGCTGCTGCTGTGGTTGCTGCTGCTCCAAGGGCGAGGATGTGTCAAACAGCTGCTCCGTCGCATTGTCCGACGCGTCCATCGAGAGAATGGGATAAGTTCTCGTCATGGGCAGAGTGTGGCCCATCCCTATCCCCATATTTATTCCCATCGTCATTCCAATCGCCAGGCTCTCAACCCCTGCATTGTCCGCCACTGCCATCGTTCCCTCCCAGATCAATCCTTGCTATTTCCTCCCATCCACCTCCTCCTCCCCCCTCCCCTGCACTCTCATCAAGAGAGCCTTCATCTGCTCCCGGACCTCGTCGCAAATCGCATCGCCCCTCCACAATTTGATCGCCCCCTCGCTCGCCTCCTCAGACGCTCGTTCCCCCTCCCCGATCCGCCCTTCCTCGTCTTCCTCCTCTCATCAGATCACCTCATCGATCCCTCCCTTTCTCCCCGCACCACCACCACCACCACCACCAACAACCCCAACCTCAACAACAGCAGCGCTTCTTCTCGATCGCCTCCCTCTTCTTCTTCTTCTTCTGCTGCTCCTCTTTCTTCTGCTGCTGCTACTGCCCTCTCCCTCCTCCTCCCCCCCTCCCCTCCCCTCCCCCTCCTCTGCTCTTGGCACTGCAGCTCTTGTTAAAAACGATCGCTCTCTCCCCGTCCCCGCTCCCCGCTCCCCTTCCCGTCCCTGCCCTCCCTCCCTCCCTCCCTCCCTCGACGCTCCCCGCAGCGAGCGAGCAAGCGAGCGAGCAAGCGAGCGAGCAGCAGCAGCAGCAGCGCCCGCCCCGCTCCGCTCAACGTTCTCCGCTGCGCACTCACTCAGTCCGACACAGAGGCACAGACAGGCGCTCGCGCACAGCCGAGGCCAGAGCTCTCCCGCACGGAACTCTGCAACGTCTGCCCAGAGGAAAATGGCCGTGTCGAGCACTTTCTCAGTTGCCGGGCCAGCGGGCCACGGCGTCCGCTGCCCTTCCGAGGGGGGATCCCAGGCCGCGCCCGGACGGGGCCGCGGCAGCGTGCCTGGCGCTGTCCGGTCTGCCCGCTGCCCGGCTTCTTGCACACATGCAGCGAGGGCCGAGCCCATAATGCACCCCGCACCGGTCATCTCCGGTCATACCCCGCGCGTGGCAAGATTAGGTTACTGGTACCGTGGTGTCAAGAACCCATTTCCTGCACATCGGCCCATCATACATCATCATGCTCCCAGTTTCTGCCTCATGTGATGCATCGGGCTCTCTAAGATCACCTACACGTCTTTGTCCTTATTCTCCGCAGATTCTGATTCTTTCATTCATCCGCTCATGCAAAACCTGCAGGCGCCTTTCTGCGCCCCAATTAAAACCGCCCGCAAGTCCCACCTCTAGCCCGCACCCCATAAAATAGCCGCGAAATCCATATTTCCCCATATATTATGCGTCCGACGCAATTACGGCCCTTGGCACGTAGTTTTAACTTCCCAATATAGTACTATAGTACGCTCGCTGTCGAGGAGGAAAAATACTACAATAAAATTATATTCATACGCCTCGTATTAGTCTGATAAAACGGTTAGGGATTTCTTTTATTGGGCACATGATTCTGCGCTTCAGTGGAGGCGAGACGAAAATGGTGTTCAGAGGGATGCGTCGGCCATCATACATCATGACCCAGTAGTAGTATAGCAGAAAAGGCCCCATCAAGTATTACGTGGATGGAACCAAATAATGGGGTCGGATAGTTGGGGCCGAGGGGCCACGCGGGCATGGGATGCGTCGATCGGCAGCCGCCACCGATGTCCTCACGGAGCAAAAATCCCTGGCCCGGAAGGAAGAAAGACGGCACCCCTTCCCGTCGCAACGACGCGATCCTGGTACCTCCGGTCCCTCCCGTACGGCTCACACGGTCTCCCCGGGCTCGTCCGAGCGGGCGGGGCCGTCAATCATCCCCAAATTGCATGTTTGTTCGATCCCATCACCCGCTAGCGTCGCGAACGAACCTGAGCAACGAGAATATTCTCTCGCATCGTCGAGTTGTTTCTTGAGTTGTCGGTCGACGTCGCGTCACGTCGAATTATCGGAGCCCGTAATGAGACTCGTATTCGCGAACGGAGTAGCAGATGTCCCGGAAACGAGGGCCGGGGCTCGGAAATAATTACTCCATTATGAGGACGGGCCGCAGAGGGAGTGCCCGAAAACGACTGAGGTGGCAGCAGCCGGAGGGGGACGGGGGGACGGGTACGTACGAACATGAGGGAAATGTGTGCCGCTTGTCGTCTTGCGGGACTTTCCCCTCGGCCGCGTCGTGTAGCGGAGGAGCGGTCAGTGCGAAAGAAAGGCGAGATTGTCGGTAGGGCCGGAGCCGACCCCCTGTAAGCGTGATAGCGACCGGGCCTGGAAGCGGCAACGGGAGGATCAAGGATCTCGCCGGTTTGGTCGCGCAGCGAGCCGCTGGGTCTGGGCGCGAGTGGCGACAAAGTTAGCGATCTCCTCGAGTCAATATAGCCATGGAGTTGTCTGCTAGAGCGGGCAGTGGGGGCGGTAGCTTTAGCCGTCGCGGCGGTGGCCTTAAGCGAGCGTGCCACCTACCCCAGACAAACCCTGCGCCACGCCCCCTTCAGACAACTCCCGGATTTAGCAGGACAGCTACTCTGGAGGAGTCGAGAGCCGCTGCCTGGACCTGTCCGCCCACCGCAACCCTCCTCGGAACCGAAACGCTCCCCGCCACCAACAGCAGCGACGACGACGACGACTCTGTCAATCATGTCTCCAACCGGGTCGCTAATTCTCGGCCCGGGGCCATTATGGTCGTCTAATCGTGTCTCCGAATTAGGGCTCTGTCCCTCTAACTCACTGGCTGGCTCGCTGGCTCGCGGTCAAATGACTCGATGGCCGCTGACCAGACTCGTGTTTGTGTTCGAGCCTGGGTCCCTCGTCCACAGACGGAGAGATGAACTGCGCAAATGCAAGGGTCAACGAGATTGTGGAATTTCCTCTTCTTTCTAAATTCTATTGATTGCATCGTTCGAGGTCCGCCGAGGATTGCTTTCGGAGGACTCGAAGTGGAATCTCCATTCCGTGTTCGTTATGAGCTTTCCTCATCCATCCTTGCTCGGGTGATCAATGAGACGCGAGCAAAAAGGGGCCAGCCGCGATACAAATTGCCTCCCACTTGCCACATCTTCCTTCGGAGTCAGCAGACCATCCCTTTCCTCATGGAACCCGGCATTTGCACTGCACCGCGCTCGATCAGAACACCATAATCCACCGACCAAAATAAATTCTCTAAAAGCCAGCCCTGCGAATGCAAAATAGTGCACCGTCAGTGTAAAGACAGACGCACCCCTCGGAATTCGACTGCAGAATTCGGCAGCCAGGGCAAATATTCTCGTTCTGCTATTGTTAGGGTTGAACCCGAGTTGACGATCTCCCCTGAACCAAAGGCCAGACCCGAGCAAGGAGGTGAAGTTTAGCTTATCTTCGCTTATTCTAACACTTGATAGCGTATTAATAAACTCATGCAATTATATTATAATTGCATAAAATGACCGAGAAGACCGACTGTGCACCGAGAGTGGAGTATCTTGCAATTTTGTACAGGTGTACAAAATACTGTACTGTACTGTACTGCGTCTACAAGTCTAGACTGTAAAGACAGTCATGAGCGCCTCACTCTAGCGTAGCGTCTGCGTATAGAGGATGATCGGGCAGTATCAGAGTATGAGTATCTCTACCTGCGTCGTCCATTTTTTATTGAGGCTATTCCATCGTCGAGATGATGATCGAGAGGAAGCATTTCTGTTGGAGCTGGGTACGAGAGAATCCTGATCGACAGTTATGTCGTGTACGCTAACTGCCCTCTGTATTTGCTCATTCCGATGTGTACAACGTTAGAGAAAAGACAAAGACGCATACGGTGCGGAGGAACCGTATTTTGTAGAATCTACGACGTCTACTACTATTAATACTCACACTATACGATCCCTGATGGTCTTGGGTGCCATCAATGTCATGTACAGGCTATCATTGCGATGTCGAAAATAATATTTGCATATTTCTTAGCGAATGAGAATTTTGAGGATATTCTCGGAGGGCCAATCAGAGAGTCCGGAAGTAGCTCTTGTTCGACTTTTGAAGTTTATGGCAGGGAAGCAGGATTCATGATAATGAACTACACTGTTGTTGTATTTTATACTTTCTGAGCGATGTAGGCTAACTGAATTGTGCACACCGTGCATGATGAGCTTAGACTCACGAAGACGGTAAATGATCGGGAGGGAAGAGCGGAGCGTTATACATCACTCGCACAGCTCTCGTAAGTATTAAATATTGCCTCCAGCTGTATTTCTACCACATTATCCTGCATCACTGGATACATTTTCTTCGTGTGCAAATCATTGATTAATCATTTTCCTCCGTTGATTAATCATCCGACTGGATGATTAATCAAACTTCTTAAAAATACAGAAGGCTCCTCAGAATCACGTTGGAATTTATAAACGAGTTTCGTCTTATCTTTTCATTCGCTGAAGAAACATGCCACATGTTATATTTCACACATTAGCACTTTTCCTATCCTTAACGCGGCAAAATCTTCAAGAAAGATAAAGATTCCCAGCAAGTAGGAATCTTTGTCTTGGAAGTCATTGCATTCTAAAAAATATCAATCACATGATATCTTTAGATGTAAATGCAAACCATAGAATATTTCGTTGACTCTAGTAATATGCTTACATAAATTAGATTCAGAAACATCTAACTTAACAAGCATCTCCAATGACAGCTGATGAGCTAATATTTCCTCCTTTCTTATACAAATAACTTCTCCCAAATTTCTACACTTCAGATTAAAAGAGTCGAAAGATTCGACTTTTTTAAGCTCGCTTATAATAAATATGAATTGCAAACGACGAGAGAATTCAAAGAGGGGAAGTCATTTCTTCAATGTGCTTGGCTTTCAACTTCGGATTTGCCCTTAAATGCAGGAACCACACCTCCAAAGCAAAAGGAAGACATTCGAATTCGAGCTCCAAGTCGTAGAACAAGTGTCCAATTTCCTTAAATCCTAGAACCCGGTTTCATAAGGAACCTCGCAGGACTTCCACCTCGTGCTTTGGAACAGGGGTGGAAAATGTCTCTCACGCTTTTTCCACCACTGTTCTGATTTGTTGTTGAATGTGGAGCATGAATTCTAGAGTTGCAGTAGGACGACAGTGAACCGTGAAAGTGTAGATCACAACGGTATTAACAGAAAGGCAGATTTATACTCGACATGACATTGCAGTGCATGTCATGCTCTGAAGCTTCCAGCGTATGGCGTATCACTTCTGGGCTTTGGAACTTTATCCCTCGATGTTAAAGCCCGTCCCACTGAAAGAACTCCATACTTGATCTTCTAATTCCATACCTGACTTGGCACATGTTTCATGTGAGCTTGAAGGCGACCTTTGTGACATAGGCCTTCAAGTAGGAAATATATTCTTTGTCAAGCTAGACAGACCTCTTTCAATGTTCCAAGCATAGTAATGCTTGGAACATAGACATGGGTTTCGGAGCATGGCCTCTGAGAGCTTTGCAATCTATTGCACGAGTAATTTGTGGCTGTTCTAAGGGAGCTATCGGTGTACTACTCTATTTCACTGAACTTAGGATTTCCTCGTAGCGTTGAAATCTTAAGTTGAAGCAAGACGCTTCTTTCTTCCACATGTGCTGACATCACATGGAATGCAATGTTTTTGGGTCCACATTAAGGGTTTGTTTGCAAGACCTCCGATCACTAAATTCGTTTAAGGTTCTCATTTATTTGCAGTGAGTACTCATTGAGACAATTTTGTCAGAGGATCCACTTTGTTACTGGACGAATGGTGTAATTTTCTTGAGAGAAACGCAATGACGATAATACAGCAATATTCAAAAGAAAAAGTCATTAAATCATGTCCACGGTCAGCCCACTGGCTGATGCCTTGAAATCCACATTTCTTTCTATGAATTCAAATGATCGATTTAGGCAATAAACTCCAATTTCTTTCGTACCATCTACGTTCCCACGTTGTAATAATGTGGCTTACGTAATGATAGAAAATCGATAAGTGACATAACCCTCCAAAACAGTTATGGTAGTATACTGCTCTACCTTCTTTGAAGAGAGTGAGTACAAGAAAAGGCATCAATCTGTTCTGATTCCGAGAACAAAAGTAGGAGGTCCAAAAGCGACGGTATCGACATGTGTGCAGAGATGCTTGGGGAGAGATGGACACAATTTCAACAAACGTGGACATGATGACGGTGAAAACTGAAGTCGTCGTCTGGACCCTGCTCTTTTACGAGTTCTGTGGAAAGTCGACAAGAGTATGGAAGTCATCTCCAACTCGTTTTGGCCGAAGGTGGTGAGCAAATTGCATGAGGTTAGACTTTGACTTCAAGCTCAAGAGCTCCACCTTCCGTCTCTCCCTCCCCACCCAAACATTCCATATGCTCGTTCATGCTCATACTCATGCTCATGGTCCTTAAGGATCGGATCACTTCTTCCCAGCTCCCGAGATCTGCAGGTCCATTGGCTGGGACCGAAGCTCACTGCTGCTGCTGGTGAATGAGGTCTCCTGTGCTCGAGTGACGGACTTGGTTAGACTCCGTGAATTGATTAGTCTTGATTCCCGGATGCTGAGGTCATCGCGAGCTTGATTCCCTTGGACTCGTGCCCGTTTTGGTTGTTCCTATTCCTCGAAATGCTCACCCTGATTGGTCTTAAGAACGATTTTACGCTTTCGAGACCTCTCATCTCCAAATTCGGAGACAGTTCGAGTTCGACAGAAGGTAAAATGTTCAGACGTCTAATCGATTCGCAGTCAGATGTCCTCCGGTTTCACGGACCCCTCTAGCGAACGACACAGCAGAGTATCATACACTATCCACAGCACATCCCGAGTTTAATTAGCCCTTCCGCGATTTAGATCTAGCGCATCCATCCATCATACGTATATGTATCATATGATGATATGGGGACGAATATATGAGCGGAGAGGGTGAAGCTGCTAGACTGGCAAGATTCGTGCATTTCAGCACAATCTTGACCGATTCTCACACAAAGATTTCTTTAATGTTTTTAAAGGGAGTGACAATTATCTGCTCTTTGCTGCCGGGGTACGCTTTGGGGACCTACTCGCATTTTGGTCTGGAGAAACGTAGTAAGGTGCTGTTCGATACATTGAGCTTCATGGTCTCCCGTTCCACGTTGCAGGTTGCACACTAGGAGGTTGAGGATCACAGTTGGAGAGATTATCTTGTATTATTCTTGTATGTTTAACAATTACACTGTTTCCCCTTCAATACATTACTCTGGAGATACCTCAAGAGTATGGAAGGCCACATTTTCATATCCAACAACGAAACAACAACAATGAAAGGAGTGGAGTGCATAAAATCTTTTCTGTTGGTTAAGATGCAGTGTCCAGCTTGAACACAAACTCTGAGAGGCTGACGCCGACGAGAGAACTAGTTGCAGTCGGTGGGGACGGAGGCCTTGAAGTGGAGCATGTCACATCAGGCCGAGCTGTTGAGGCCGTTGTTGCCTGTGTGTACATCCAGTTGTCACTGTTATTTGATCAGAGATTTGTTAGGGTTTCACAGGGCCCCTTTAAGAAGACAGTGTGTAGTTGGTGCGACATGTGTTTTGTTGGAGTAGCAATCGAGGAGGGCAAGGGTCACAAAGATAACCAATGCATAACCAATATGTGTTCCAATAAGATCCAGGGCCTATAAGCCCGTTGATCCCATCCCTTATCTCGGTGTTTACTTACCTGTCCCCTTGAGTATGTCGTGCAGATGTTGGAATTACATGTGTTTCATGGGAGCAGGTAGTTTAATCGATCGATTTGATCTAAATAGTTTTCAGGTGAGGTGTCACATCTCCTCCACAGTAAAAGGGAGTTCATTCCCTTAGAAGACTCCAAGTGAAAGATACATGGAGTCTTCAATGACTATTGACTTTCCTTGAGACCGGGGAGAGGGAAAGGGAGCTTACTTGCGTGGTCTGCGTGAAGGCTGGTTTATGGAACTTGACGAATCTATCAATGAGTGACAGGAATATGTGGCTATCCACATACCTCTCCCCTGCCCTTGGACTTATTCCAATCGGCACTCGGGATTTGGGAAAGTAAACCCGAAGAAGAGGCCAATCCAAAACAGTAGAGAGTGCACACAACTCTGAAAGAAGAGCCTATGATTCTCTTGAGCTTGAAGTCAAAGTCTAACCACAGGGAATAAGCTTGGCTTATGTACGTAGCCATATGCCACGTCTGGGCGGATCTGAGAGTTACGAAGTCGCTGCACCCACTTCAAATCTTGGCTTAATGCGATCACTGCCGCTGCCTTCGAGCAGCATCTTGCACATGTGACCCCGCTTGTGTAGATTATGTGTAGAACACCTCAAGTTCCGATCTTCAGGCAAAGAAGTAAAAGGAAACCTATTGTAAATTAGCACAGATCTGAGAACGTGCCAAGTCTACACAGTGATCTAGATATTTAGGACATGTTCTAGTTCTCCTCCTCTTCCCAAAAGGTGTGGGATCTTCACGAACCATCAGAATCTGAAAGGTCAAACTAGATTTGAATCGAATCGAATACCATAAGCAGATACATAAATGTCGACACGGGTCTCAGTACGCTGACCCTTGTTCGGACTTTATAATATGCAAAGCAGTGTAACTTAAAATTTTCAAGTCGGCGATGGCGAATCATGATAATACAATGAAATGATTTCCAACTTTTTTAGAGCGGTGAAAAAACCCGTTCTTGCAAATTTAAAATTTTTCTTTGACTTAGAGTCTCCCGACATGAACTCTAAGATTTGATGGTAAGAGTGAAAGAATGATTTGATTTTTCAAAAAAATCTATCTGTATTCTGCTTCCCGCCCGATGCAAAAAATAGCTGCATGTACAAGACAGAGACTGGAAATTTAATGTACAAGCTACGGTGTGCACTAATCCCCGTAGCACAGGGATCTTTTCTTCATCTACAGCCTGATTGATGTTTTTTGTTCTATATATGGCACATGCCCAATGCCAGTTGGCGGACTATGATTGTCATCGTATTTTGTATTTATATATCTCTCATGTTCCAAAAGTAAGCCTACGAGTGAGTTCGCTGTGATCGCTGATACAACATGTATCCAGCAAATGCCGACATGAAAAATGTCCAAAGAACCTACAAAAACATTATGACATTTGTCTTGATTAAGAGCCAATGGCAAAACAATAGATTGAGCTAAACCATCTTCGAATGAATCATTTGAGCAACAATTATGATGCACTTATTGGAAACATTTACTCACAGTGTTGATCAGTTGCCAGTTCTCCAATCTGCGAAGCCTCATTTCCAATGCCTCCACCTTGCACTCGATACTTAAGACAGGACTAACCAATGACGCTGACCCTGCAAGCGCACCCTGATGGACGATGGAAGTAATCAGTTTGCCATCTACCTGGACAGAATCGAGGAAGATACAAGGTCCACATAAAGTCTTTCTTGAACTCGTAATCAACAGAAAAGTCAATGAAGACAAATTTCAACAAAAGTTAGTAGAAAACGTTCCAGATTCTCCAGAGAACATCTTCATGAGGATTCATTCCAGAAATGGACTCTCACGGTACGACATGACATTCTCAATGACTGCCATCCATATGTCTTAGATATATGTATACTTCCTTGCACCCTTATTTGGACCTTCAAGCGACTTTAATATAAACTCAACTTCAAGTCAAACACTCGACGTTAATATGAGGCAGAGTGAAAAACAACAGAGGTTGGGTCAGCAATAGAAGCAAAACCTGAGCCTGAACAAATTCGACGATCTCCTGTAACCTTGCTGCTTGTGTATCCCGCATTCCGATATTTTGGTCCGGAGCAAAATTATTGCCTATGATAATTTCTATATAAGCCTGCCAAGTACAGCAAAGAAAATTCTAAGCTCAGCTATTAAGGGTAATATCCCCTGTTCATGCATTCAGTTCAAAATCCAATCGAATTCTTATTTGGAATTTTTCTGGAGCCGAAACCCCTTCATGCTTCCCATTCCTTGAATAGAGCATAATCTGTTTATCTTCTGATATTACAACTGTAGTAGCCGGGATTAGTGTTGAAAACTACCTCCCTATAAACATCAAAGTAAGGATTTGATGCGAAAACATACAGTGGTTGTGTAGGTGCCTTCCAAGTTTAGCTTTTGCCCAGCAGCTGCTACTGCTTCCTTCTTGGAGCCTTTGATCTGAATGTAGGGAGTCTCGATATTCTTTAAGTGATCTACCTCCACAAGCAGCTGTATAAAAAGCTTAGTGTCAACAAAAACACTAGCCCGACCAAAAAATCAACTTCAGCATACAATTTTAACACAGTTAATTGCTAACAAACCACTCTAGATACAACATATGACTGACCTTGTCATCCTGATAAGTCCTTGCTGTCGCCTCAATGCAAGCTACAGCTTGGTAGCTGGCAGCATGATTCAAATTTGTCACGAGAAAAAAAATATATAAGCCATCGACAAAGAACAGAGGTACGATATATATGAGAAGAAATTCAAAGAACTTTGAAGATTCAAAGGTAACAGCTGTCCATAGGCTGCAGTAAATTAGAAGCTTTGGAGGAAAATTGTAATCTATAAGCTAACAACAGATGAACTATGCCAAGACGGGATAGAGATTGATACCCAAGAGTCAGAAGACCTGCAACTGTTCGAACACTTATGTCGAAGTCAACTCTGGGTTGGATAATGAAGTCACCCTCTCGGAGCGGCTGACATGGAAACATAGCATCCTTCTTTTTCAGAATCTTGCTCACCTCCCAATGCAATCCAAGGACTCTACCAGTTTACGTTCAAATTTAAAACCTATGATTTGAGAAGATCTCCTAACAAGTTAAGGCCTATCAGGGGCCCCAACCAACCAGGGTGCTTAATTAGAACAATGTGGTATGCCCGACGCTGCACTATACATAGGAAGGTCATATGATATCGCTGATTTCAAGAAAGTGTGACCACGCTGGGATCTCAGCGGCAAATTTGTTTGTGTGCTCGATGATATGTCACGAACTTCGACTTACAACTTGGTAACTTGGACAAGCCAAGACAAACGACAACAGTCTTCGCCAAAACGATTACCTCTCGAATTAGCAGGGCAAAGCGGCCTTCACAGTTACGGACTCGGATGGAATTACTCTCTGTACAGATACCATCCGATGGAAGCCCAGGAAGATGAAAATATATGTCTGTGAAAGTTTGTATCGTTTTTGACATTCTCTCTTGATCAAGAACTTCCAGAATCTCCTCATAAGTCACCTTCAACACCAATGGCGAAAAAAATTAGGTGAAATGTCAAGGATCAAGCACTGGACATATTTTCAAAGGCCTATCTACAACAACTAAATCGTAAGGTCCGTGTAGATTGAGTACCTAACAAGTTACCCACATCTGCATATAAGGCAAACGCAAGGCTGTAATAGGAAGTGGTTGCCGAACGATAAACATTTCTGCTAAACTAGTCCTCCTTCGATGATCAGAAAACACTTGGAATGCCATGTGGTGCTGGCTAACCTGTTTGCTGCTTTTCAAAACAAACATTGAGTTTTGAGGAGAGTGAACCGGATCAAAATCATTACTGATTTTAAGCTGCAACCATAAATACAGGTAACACAATTACATAAGTGTCGTCTTTAAATATTGAGGAAGTCTTAATCATAAAGTACTTTGTCCTCGGCAGTTTGAGTAAGTGAAAAACCTTCTTCAGAACGAAATTCAGAAATCTGCAGTAAAGCTAAGACAGTAATCTCTTTCAAACGATCATTAGCGGTTGTAACCCTGAACGGTAAAATTAAAAAAAATAGCTACCTAACCAAATAAACTAGGAGGAAGTTTTCGAGTAACATACATGAGCATGCTCCAAATGAGGTTCAATGTGTCTTTCAAACATAGGAAATAGTGTTGTCATGATTTCTTGTTGAGACAAGGAATCCCCGTTCAATTCCAGATCGCGCTGAACTCTCTCAACAAGATGAGAATGAACGCCTCCAACCTGTGAATCATGTAGGGAAATTCAATGTAGATACTCCCTCATTGATGTGATTGATATAAAGCAGCTTCTTGTAAGAAAGGGTGAGATTAGCTGACGCAAGGTTCAGAATCTCACGACAGCTATACAGATGTCAAGAGAGGGTCGTATATCTGGATGCAACGCATACACCCCTTCCACGAGAACCTGTTGTTTGCAGAAGTGAGTGCACACAAGTATGAGCAACAGAAGATGAGATGGGTAACAGTACTGGGAAGTATCACTTGTGATGAGAAGCACGGAAAAAATTATTGAAATAAGCCAGACAAATTTTATGAATGTCTCAAGTCTTGTATTATGAAGACAGATTCTCAAGTATCAAACCATCAAATTGAAAATCTCCAGAACCTAGGTGAGAATGTTACCACTCCACAATCTTCAGACACTTCTAGCTTCACAGAGCCAGTCCGAGTGTTCTTCTCAAAATCAAACGAGGGAATCATCGTTGGACGGAGCCTTTTGATATCTTCGATGTTCTACAACCACTTTCAGGATTCAGGTCAGCAGTGGAAATAAATAAAGAATTTGCTTACAATAATGTGTATATCCTAACGATACTAGTATCTACAACAGTACAGCATAGGACCACAGAAAGCTCAAGCGGATGAGAATTTGATTATCTAATTCAACGCGCATATCGATGGACTGCCTGTTTCCACCGGATATTAGTATCAACTCGACAAGTAACATGGGAGAGAAACTCCCCATGACACACTCTTAGTCTATGATGTTCAAAGTGCGACAGGAAAATAATCTATATAATAACGACTGTATGACGAAACTGACTCGATAGAGTGAATGATACCCACCCTGAGAAGAAGAGGCAAGTCCAGACAGCTAAAGTCGTCATAAATAGAATCCTTAACTTTGTCAGCTTTGTAATAACTTTCCATTGATATCATCTCACAGCCAACAATGTTTGCCATTTTGCGAGCAAAACTTGTCTTCCCGGAACCACTTGGTCCACCTGGAAAGACAATCAAGTAGTACGCTCAGTCATGCTAGAACTCAATCATAGACATCATACATAGTGATATTCTTGCCGCAAGCTCGACTATTACTACTGTGCAGCAGTAAATCCAGAATTACCCAAAGCAAGCCAAGAAAAAGAAGACATAATAAGTAAAAACTTGTGGTAGCACTAGTGAGAATTCTCAAAGCACATGATCACATTAACGTCGTTCAGACATGCAGTCTATAGTCACTTTAGTATACCATTTGAGAATGAAAATGGAAAGGAAACGTACCAATTCCAACCACCACAATTGGACCTTTCGCATTCAAAAGTGTCTGCAAAATAGGAGATAGCCATAAACCGTCAACATAGAAACCGCATCCACTTAGATCTAGCTAAAGACAACTAACTTCGCTCTAAACGCTGGTGATTTTTATCTTTCATAGCAGTGGGTGCATTCGGAGAATTCTGGACCTCTTACCTGGACTGCTTGGACCGCTAACAGAAGGCCCCTGTCAAAGTCAAATGTGTCTGCCATGGGAAGAAGTTTGATTGTGTCTCTAGAGCCCATCAAAATTTGTCGATCTATGCCACTCGTCGACGGAGGTTTATCAGAATCTGCCGTAAAAATCGCCCCTGCAACCCCACTGACGGTGAATTGGAATTGAGGTGACCCTTCATTTTAAAGAACAGCTTCCTAGACTTCAATAAAAATAGAGGTGAAGCTTTCAGACCTGTCCAAAGCCTGTCTATAGTCTTGGCTGACATGACTTCCTCTGCATCAGCTTCGTTCGTAACGTGCCATGAACCAACTATCGGTTCATCTTCGGACTTCGTAGGAGATCTTGTCCAGGTATCTGACGTGTCAACAGTATTTATTGATGGAGAGGGCTTGAGGCGAAGGGGTTGTGGTGAAATTATATTCCGATCTTTGAGTGAATCCACTGCTTGTCCTGACGAGGCTCTGGTAAATATAGATGTTGATAACGGAAGCGGAGGTGAATCCAGTCGTGGAAGACCTGTTGAAACAAAACAACGTTACAAATAAGTGAAGACGAGGATGGGATCAAGTCTCGGACCTAGTTGCCTCTATGATGTTTAGTAAAGAGAAGCTTGATGTTTTCAGGCTGCCGCAGCCCCCGCCGCTGTCGGCACACCGGCAGTAGCAGCCTCTGAGCGCGGGCTCCCTTCAGTATATCGTTCCAACCAAGAACGGCGATGTAAAACGAGAGTCTTTCCAAGTTTCTTGTTGAACATTGTTAGCCTCGGAGCAACGTCTTGATGTTACTTTGCTGAAAGTTTGAAAAACTGGACATTAAAACTTCTATAGATCGTTCAGACAAAACGTGCAATTGGCGAGGGGCGTCAAAGGGTGACCCTCCATCTGCATATTGCCGCAAGGATAATAGCCGAATGGGCCCGGTATATAACAGTGAAGCGGTAACATTTAGAGAAAATTCAGACTTCATGTTCATTTCTAGAATAATTGGTTCTAAAAGTACCCACCTTTGGTCTCCAACACCATTTCCATGTATGATTTGGTAATCCAAGGTCCATCCATACCCATAAGTTCAGCCTCGCAGGCAACCACCTGTCATAAAAGAATCCAGAGAAAACCTTGATACAACTAAAACCAAGTAGATAAGTAGCAAGACTAATCGAAAATGAGTGAAATTCAAACATAACCACATCGTCTGGATTGCAACTGCACACTGCGACAACGTCATACGTAGAAAACCTTTACCTTGCGATCAGAACCCTTCACTTGGACGAACGTTCTTTCCAAATCATCGATAACCTCAATAGAAATAAGCACCTTGCCGTTGTCGATGATGGTAGACTCACGTTTATAACTTACAGCTACCTGGTAGCCTAAGGCAAGTAATCCACCGAGCGTTGTCTTTCCTACCTACCAAGAAAAACTGCCAATTAGAATGTTATGTAGCAAGAATTGACACGGTTCGGGCAGAAAACGGTATAGCTCTTGTAACTCAAAACATGGCACATGTACGTGTTGACTATGATTGATATATCCCGTAGGTCATACCTCAAATTCCACCCTGGGTTTAATAATGAAGTGTTTATCTACTATTCTTTGATCTCCTTCAGCCAGGTCATATTTGATGCCACACTGCCGCATTCTTATCCAATCACTAGTCTTCACCGTTTCAACACTGAGAGGAGGTCTGAGATACATTTCAATGTATCTACATCCACAAAGCGCAAGATGCAAAACAGTAAGTCGAGCGCGAAATGTAACGTAACGAAGGTTTGAAAGGGAAAAAAGGATTAAAAATAAAACACGAACATCTACCGACAGCATCACGAAGTGATGCAAAATAATTACCTCAAAAAGCTTAATGAGAACAATGCTCAGCAGGTCCTAGAAAGAATCACATTCTAGGGTATCATCGCAACTACCGGTCCGAAGCGGGCGCACTTACTTCTCATGACGCACTTCGGTCGATTTGAAAAGAATCTCGACAGGGGTCTTCAAAGTCTGCCGGAATTGCTCAAAGTGAGCGATACTTTTCTAGACTTTTTCCTAAAAGAACGACTGCGGCGACTATGTCATGTAGCCCATTCCGTGTTTTCAAGCTTAACGAGAGAATGAAATTTCATGCATATAAGACCCATATGTATTTTCTAACTAGCCGAGTTACATTTATTTTTGCTGGTCTCTGGTACAAATTTTAGAACGAAAACTGCTGTGTTTTACCTCTTTATCGCACTTCATGATGTATGAAGGCTCTCGTAGGGACAGTGATGCAAAACTGTTGCTGACTTTTATCTGCAAGTGTAACACACTATCAGCAGCTGCCTCCAGAGTTCAAACACACTTCCACAGTTCAAGCACTATTCAAGTACTTCACCTGCGCATGATGGAGATCGGGTTCGATATGTTTCCGAAACATGGGAAATATACTATCTATAAGATAGTCGAGGGATAAACTTTCTCCGATGTCCCGTCGAACTTTTGAGAGCAGATTGAAGTGCACACCCCCTACCTGTACCAGCAGCCAGTTTTATCAGCAAATATCTCCACCGAGCAACCAAGACACGAAAGTTCTGTAAATGCAGTGCATCACTTACCACTGCAACACATAAGTCTAATGACAACCGCAGCTTTGAGTGTAGGGCATACGTGCCTTCAACAAGCACCTGACGCAAGCAAGAGTTTAGTTAGGAAATAATCCACATTTTCTCAATTTAGGATTCAAAAAAATAACTTTCGTGATCCCGGTTCATAAATATGACAATTATCTTAAATGGGGATTTTAGAAAAGGATAAAGCTAAGAAATATATAGCAAAAAGGATGGCTAGAACGATGGATCCCTTCATGGATGAAACCAAAGGACTAAGATGGGGCTACGCGCTGATAGCATCACTATGGGCGCGTACTACGATATCCGAACTATCTAAATGTATCTACAAGGGCATCCGAATAAGCTTCACCTAAAGTGACTGCTTTCCTATGGTTGGCACCAGATGGTGCTATCTGTAAAACAATGGGTACACGTTACTGGTAGAAAAAAAAACTAAGTAGAGCGATAACCTTTGTCGACTACTATGGTAAGCTCTCTCGCATTCTCTTAAGAAAATGTCGATGTCGGTTTTTATAACGTGTAACAAAGAGGTAAGTTCTCTCCATAGCCCTCTACTCTACCTTGAAACGCTAATCAACAAATTGCGCTAATTTCTCCATACTAAAAGAGGGGCAAACATAAATATACTACTTACCACACCTGACTTGGGAGCTTTCACTGGCTTGAAACCGGCCCGCCTTTTCTCTTGAAAATCAAACTGAGGCATCATGATACTATTCCCTTTCATCAGATCCTGTGAGCGAATACATCTATCAAATTAGCTTCTAACCGAACTCAAGAAACAAATAAGAAACAATACGGCGTCCTCGAATCTAAATCTGGACAAAATTATACTTCTCTGCACCCACCTCCAGGTTTTGTAACAATAGCTGAAAATCCATCGAATCGAAGTCGTTGCCATCATCGGTAGAAAGCGAGGGGTCGTAATAGTTTTCCATCGGTATCAAGGCACCTCCGAGCACAGATGCAATCTTCGTTGCCAAACTGCAAGACGTTCAACGTAGAGACAGAACAGAAGTGAATGAAGCATACACGTATTATGCGATCCCGTCGCATTGCTTTTGGACGTTACAACGAGAGATATTTTGAACCATACCTGGACTTTCCTGATCCACTTGGTCCACCAATACCAACGGAAACAGACCCCTTCTTCTTCTCACGGAGTTCTTGAATTGCTCTCACCGTCATGAAGTAGCCATGATCAAAAGACTACAGGAAAAACTGACTGGTCAGAAGGTAGCTTCGTTGCAGACTTGCAGAAGTGAAAATGAGCCTGAAGAAGGCACTGACAACAATAGAAAAATTGCGAATAGGTACAGGGATTGCCCCAGTATGCTCAGTAGCAACGCAGCAGATAAAGAGTTCACAAATGTCAAGAAGTTTTTTTTGGAGGTTTCAAAAGTGCAATCATGGCGTTATGTGCAGTGGAAATTATGTTCAAAGCTTGAAGAAATTACTCTTTATCAGTGTTGGGCGAATGCTGAGGAACTCTGTCACTTTTAAGACCATTACCACGGAGTAAGAACAAATCGGATGTTCTTATATTTGTTCAGGATCCAGCTTCTTAAAATTAATCTTCACTCTCAAATGCATGTCAATTTCAAGGAATATCTTTCATTCATGGTAGTTATATTAAATCAGTCGCAGGACTTACCACGTGGAGGGGAAAAGAGTCCAGGACAGACTCGGGAGGGGTACTGTCATGAGGTGGAGAAGGAGGGGCGTGATGTAGCAGGGGGTTGTCCATGGTAACCAATTACCAACTGCAGCCAACTATGGGGGAATGAGAAATTCGAGCTACAACAGATGGAGGTGGGAAAACAACTCCTGCTGGCACCAAGCCTGATGGAAGCCTGCTCTCTGACAAATTGAACTCCCATGCTAATTCCCCGCTAAGCCTCTCTCCTGCTTCAGGAGCCGAAATCCCCACCATTTCATAGTACCCGCCTCCGTTCCTCTTGACAGAACCTCAACTTTCTTCCACCACATTCACACACGGAATTCCCATCGCTTCCTTCAATGTCGCACGAAACTTCACTTCACCGAACCCAAACAACGAGAGCGGACTAGAATACAACTCCGGCGGGATCAAGAAAAGGAACGAGCGTCTCGCCGCTTGCGAATTACGTCCGCAATTCGCCGATTTCGAATCGGCCCGTGATGGTGAACGCTTCGGTGCACGGAATTCGGATCCTCTGCTCGCGGTTCTTGTTCCTGAGAGCCTGTCAGCGAGTGAGCCCGTCTGTCAGTCGGTCGCTCTCTCTGCTCTGCCAGTTCTCTCCATCTTCTTCTGTCCTGCTCCTTCTTCAAGATCCTCTCGCGCTGCTTTCCTCGGACTCCCTCCCTCCCTCCCTCGGCCCCTCCCTCCTCTGCAGCCGGACCGGCCCGACGACGTACGATGAAATACGTACATACGAGGGCGGTATAGTCGAGCCCAGTTTCCGGACGAGTGCGGCGGTCGTCCACCGCGGTCGGCCCTGTAACTGTAACTCCGACGCTGAGTCACAGTCCGGCTCTCGTCCTCGGGAATGATGAACCGCAGTTGAGTACATGTACGTTCATACTTGGCGACATACTGTACTGCTCTGCCAGCTTCGGGCGCCTCGTCCATGCGACTCGCTTTTTATCTTTTTACGGACCTGGCTTTTGGCGACGCTAGCCCCGGGTCGCGGGCTTTCAGGAGGCTTAACCGGACCTTCCGTCAAAGAGTCGCACTTCGTTACCGTGCTCTTCAGTGTTGGAAGCGGCGTGGCGTGGGGGGTGGATTACGGTTCGGTCGCTTCCGCGTCAGTTCTGACGCCCGCGACGGCGTGAGAGGCGGTCCACAAGTTCCGATGTTTCTAATTACACGAAGGATAAACTCGTCCGCTCGAGTAACTACTGGGTATTTATGGCTCTCAAGACTACCGCCCCTCCAACTGCCGCGCTTCGATATCCTGCAGACCTGCAGGATTCGTGATGACAGTATTGAGCGAGAGGTCCTTGCCGGAGGTGAATACGGAATGTTCAAGACCGGAGGACCGTAATCTGGGATGGGGAAAACCTTGAGATACCGTTTGGCCCGGAGTGGTTTCTTACCATGCACGTGAAAGGCGGTTGAGTGAATTCGCACGGTGAACAAATTTAGACTCTTACCACGTCATTCGTAAAACCACCTCCGACCGCTTTCTCTCCAAAGTGGAATTGTTTATAAGTTTCTTGTGTCTCGCACGAGACTTCTACTCGTCAGTCTCTCGCAACTTGTACTTCTGAGTCATTGTTCGGAGAGACAATCAGAGCGATATGCACGGATTTTGTTACGATGTGTACCTGAACTGACTGAGGGATCCAAAATGGTATCGATTTGTCTTGACAGATGAGGCCAACTTCCTCCATATCCTTGAAGTGAGAGTTGCAAAGGTAGTAGATTACTTTTCCAATCGTGTTACTTGTTTTGTGCGGGACAAAATTTTATCGATTATTTACGGCGGATAAACCCTCGGATGCTCCCCCTGAACAAGTAAGACAATCTCCAATGAAAATGAACTAGCAGTGATAAACATAATGGGTGCCATTTGCTTAAGCTTATCTTAACCACCGGCAAGAGCCTATCGTAAGATTGGATTCTTGACCTGAAATGGAGAAGTCTTGCAGAGAAATCAACCTCGGTGTTCTCGCTCCATCGAGCGCTACTGAAATTTGATCATTAATTGTTAAGAATTCCAATGGAAGAGTATGACAACGTTGTTTGTTGGTATTTTATTGTTTTACCCAGTATGAATAAACGTTGTGAGGCTTTGATCCTATTGTGATTCTTGGTTTGGTTCAAATCAAATACTTCTAGCATCGATAAATGACAAAGTATGGATGCATATAGCATATACCGTGATATATTAGCATATGTTGGAGACTCTAAACCTAGTACTACGTTCACTAGTTTTGTCAACCTCTGTCTTTATCATGTACGTCATTATCTCTTTGATTTGTTCCGCAAATTTCTAAGAAATTCATCATGGTTTTTGAATTTCAAAGCCAAAGTATCAAAACATAGACATATGTAAATATATTGGAAAAATGTTGCATTGATCAAAGTTGTAGTTTGCATGATTTGGAACAGAAGTTGTTTAGGTTTTCACAAAATATGGTGTTGTTGATTGTACTTTGCATCATCTTTTTTTGGCATGAGATAAATTTTTTTTCATAAAACGTCTAACAAATTTGTTGCAAATTGTATCGATGTGTAATGAAGAAGTTGAAACGTGATAGATATAAACTTTAACGTGCTTGTCTTTGATTCAACATTTTGATAGACTTGAAGGATTTGACATTTTTGTAATTGGTGTAAACTGTAATAGTATTTTGAGCACCTCCAAATAAATGTTGGCATTCTTGAAATAAATCTACTAGCGCTACAAGCTCATTATGGTGAATATTGAACTTAATCTATCTATGCAATCGTAGATTTTTGCAAATAAAACCTAATATGATAGAAACATTTGTCTTCATCACATTGAGTAAAACCGCTTTGAAAACAAAATCAAAACCGTTGCTTTCAAAATTAGTATTAATAGTGATGGACACAATGTTAAATATCGCCCTCAAAATTTCATATGTTTCTTTAGTTTTCATATTACATTCAAGTTTGTCTTTGCAAATGAGTTGTGTTAATGAAGACTCAATCTTGAAATGATCTCTAATGAAAATTTGAGAGTTTTTGCGAAGTCAACAAAATGTTACATATGTTAAATTGTCTCGAATTGTTGTTGGTTACTTTTATTCATATATTGTCTAAATCTTCTTGGAATTCATGAATATATACTCTTGAGAGATGATATAATCTAAAAATTTAACTTTTTGCAAAGTTTAGCATTGTGTAATTTCTTCGCTTTCAATCAAACATGTCTCTTGTGATCTTATTTCTATTGTTGAATAATGCTATTTGTGATTGATATGTATCACTAGGATTTAGCTAACCTCAAATCACTTTTGAAATTAATTTTTGTGTGAACAGATCCATCCTCATATTTTGAGTATTCAACAAGCTCCCAAGCTTTTACCGTTAGAGCCTGAGGGAAGAGCCAACCTATGTTTAGGCTAAACAATATCATGTTATCTTAGTCCAAGAACAAGTTAATAAAGTTCGGAAAGGTAATTCAAGCGTTGTTTCACATTTGTACTTTCGTTTCCAGAATTTAGAGTGGAGGCGTACTTCGTATGGTCATACCGTCCTATTTATGCAGCATTCTTTGCACGGTCTCATCACACTGTGAGAAGAGCCGTCTTAAATTTCCTGATGACAAACCTTTCTCCGCAACCTCACAAAGATAGATTTGTAAGATTTCAATGGCAAAAATCACAAATCTCAAAAAAAACTTTATTCAAAGTTGAAAGTCATGGGTTTAAGAGATGATAATGACAACGGATGATTAAGGTTGATTCAAATTTGTTCATATCAAACAAGAAGAGAAAGCAAAAGCATGCAGGTAAATGCATTGAAAAGTTATGCTTATCACAGCATAGTCAATATGCTCTGAATTTGAATACACCGATTTGAAAGATTCAACTAGCGGACTACTGCTACTAAGCGACTCCATGCTTGAATCAGATGCTCAACACGCTCTGAATCTGTCCTGTTTGCAAATTCTGTTGAAACTCAAGATTCAAGAGTTAACATTAGATCTGTCTCACACGCCTCTCTTTGATCGCGTTTGAAGTTGCTGAAACTTTAAGGTCAGTCCAATGCGGCAACTAATCAAGCATGAAGCTTGTGAGGAATTGAACCCTTCAGTGAACGATCATGCTTTGGCTTTAGCGAAGCTCACTCGAGGATGAAATATAAAATTTGAAGATGAGATATCTTAAAGAATTCTCCAATCCCTTCTACATGTACTTCAAACACATACACAAAGATAAGGTATTCTTTCCACCATTCAATCCATTACTGATGGAGTGATGACATGAAGTATATAAATAATGAGCACACGGATTGCTGACGTATAGTTCCCAACTAACACATTTAATCTTTATTTAATAAACACATGGATTGATGACATGTACTTCTCAACTAATACATTAACTAGCATATTGATTGCTTACATGGCATAATAGATATTCCACTATCATCTATTCTACTCATTTTTTATTAATTTTTACTTTAATTCTAATTGATTAAACATGATTACAAATATAACAAATAACAAAGTCATCCAAGAATTCTTGAAAGATGTTAATCACATGTTGTAATCTGCCAGATGCATTTATAAGACTTAAAATCATAAAAATCCATTTGAAATATTCACAACTTGTTTGAAACATGATATTTTATTTGTCATCTTCTTTGGTATGCACTTGATTACAAGCTGCTCAAAGATAAATTTTTGTTTATATCTTTGCAATGATCACACTCATCAATTATTTCAATAATAAATTTAATGACTATCAAATTTTTATTTATATTTATATTTTCAATCCATGATAATTCACGCATATTGAAAATAAATTGATATTCTATTTCACAAAAATTATGAAAGCTCTTGCTAGCAACTTAAAATGCTTAAAAAAGTTTTTGGCAAGCTCCTTGTTGATGTGTTCTTGACGCCGCGAACTTGTTCTAAAAAATACTATGGATTTGTCCAAAATATAAATAATTTCTTTCTATGAGATCAATACCACAATCATACGATCAATGTCATGGGAACCACCATATTTTTTGAATATATCTTCATACTCCTTGTATTAGATAGTAAGGTGGTTTAATCACAATTTTTTTTTAATATATCTTCATATTCCTTGTATTGGACAGTAAGATGGCTTGAAGTGTGGATTTTCTTATATGTAAGAGTTGCATAGATAGCCAATGTAGTTCATGTTTTTGCATTTTTCTTGAATTCTTTAGCGCCAACAAATATGAAGATTTGGTGTTTTTGTGTTCAAATCAAAAGAAAAAACATATATTTTTAAGTTTAAGAAATATTTCTATTGATACTACAAGAATCTTTGATCATATTATTAATTTTTAGTATTTTGATTGATATTCAAATTGTATTTATTGAGCCAAAATATCATAATTTAAGAAGTATTTTTATGAAAATTGAATGACATTAAAATTTATAGTACTATGATGATTTTTTATCACGACATCAAGTGATTTTATTTCTTCACTCACTTCATGGCATAATAGATATTCCACTATCATCTATTCTACTCATTTTTTATTAATTTTTACTTTAATTCTAATTGATTAAACATGATTACAAATATAACAAATAACAAAGTCATCCAAGAATTCTTGAAAGATGTTAATCACATGTTGTAATCTGCCAGATGCATTTATAAGACTTAAAATCATAAAAATCCATTTGAAATATTCACAACTTGTTTGAAACATGATATTTTATTTGTCATCTTCTTTGGTATGCACTTGATTACAAGCTGCTCAAAGATAAATTTTTGTTTATATCTTTGCAATGATCACACTCATCAATTATTTCAATAATAAATTTAATGACTATCAAATTTTTATTTATATTTATATTTTCAATCCATGATAATTCACGCATATTGAAAATAAATTGATATTCTATTTCACAAAAATTATGAAAGCTCTTGCTAGCAACTTAAAATGCTTAAAAAAGTTTTTGGCAAGCTCCTTGTTGATGTGTTCTTGACGCCGCGAACTTGTTCTAAAAAATACTATGGATTTGTCCAAAATATAAATAATTTCTTTCTATGAGATCAATACCACAATCATACGATCAATGTCATGGGAACCACCATATTTTTTGAATATATCTTCATACTCCTTGTATTAGATAGTAAGGTGGTTTAATCACAATTTTTTTTTAATATATCTTCATATTCCTTGTATTGGACAGTAAGATGGCTTGAAGTGTGGATTTTCTTATATGTAAGAGTTGCATAGATAGCCAATGTAGTTCATGTTTTTGCATTTTTCTTGAATTCTTTAGCGCCAACAAATATGAAGATTTGGTGTTTTTGTGTTCAAATCAAAAGAAAAAACATATATTTTTAAGTTTAAGAAATATTTCTATTGATACTACAAGAATCTTTGATCATATTATTAATTTTTAGTATTTTGATTGATATTCAAATTGTATTTATTGAGCCAAAATATCATAATTTAAGAAGTATTTTTATGAAAATTGAATGACATTAAAATTTATAGTACTATGATGATTTTTTATCACGACATCAAGTGATTTTATTTCTTCACTCACTTCATCAAATGCAAAAGATCTATCATCATTAATTTTCACATGAATCATAAATTTCTTGACAATGAAGTGCAAGTTATGTTTTTAGCAAAATATTTGTCAATGAAACATGTTAAGTCTTTCAAGTCTTTGATTTTCACAATGTACAAATTAAAAATTTAACAAGAAATATATCAAGAAAAAAAAAGTTTCAAAATCGTTCCAACAAATCCTCAATCCAATTCCTCATAACAGCTTTCCAACAAATCCAATTTGAGTATCTTTAGTAGGATATTGTAGCAACTACATATGAATGATCAATAAGATTTGATTCTAAAGTTCATCAAACTTTGATCGAGTGACGTAGAATTTGTCAAGCGTTACATTTTTTGATTCTATTGTACCTTGTAAGATCTTAGATTTGGCCGCCAATGCATGCCTTGAGTTTCTTGAAGTTGAATTCTGAATTAACTCAAGAGTAGACTCTTGAACATCTCTCAAGTTGTTCTTTATCAAAAAACGTGTCAAGTACATGCACTACCTACAACAAGATTGTCTAAAAATCAAAAGTGTCAAGAAGATTGTGAAATAGAATTGAAAAAGAACAAAATTCTAAAACACTCTCGTCAAACTACTGTGTCTGCAACTTTTGGACGAAAGGCATGTTAGAATTGAGGAGATATTTCAAAGCAAAAAATTAACAAGGTTGAAGTAGATTCAGAAGTCAATAAACAAAATTTTACTCACGAAAACAAATAAAACTTGTGTTGACGAGAGTATTGGATAAAGTTCTGAGAATCTCTATATATACTCCAAGCAAACCCAATGCACCACCAGCTCTACTAGGATTTCAAATGGTCTAAAAGAGATGGCTTTTTGTCAAGTCATCGCCACTAGAACTGCAAAGTTGATCGTGTATGTCATGTAATTGACATCACGTCCTTCAAGACATCAAGGCTACTTGAACTCCGAAGTTGATTGTGTATATCACGTCCAATACATTATGATTCTATATTGTTTTATGCAAGTATTTGATATTCTTTAAAGAAATTATATTCATTTCATGTAAAAATATGTGTTTTACCAAATCTCAATCTCTTACCGAGATAGCTCCTCTATCGTTTCACTTCTTGAGTGAAATGGAAACTTTTTCCTTAATTTATATTTTTACTTGTATTTTGAGTATGCCATACAGTGTTCTAGGTATAATCAATGAACTTGTCGAAAACGAAGAAAATGATAGTCTCGTGTTAGGCCGCTGCCACATGATCGGCAGCCGGCACCAAGCTCCTGGTTTTCGTATGCCTCAGTCGGACCAGCTGGAGACAATCTCATAACCTCTACCACACTACTGGTAGTGCCTACGGAGTGAAAAGTGAGAAATGTCTCTATTAATTGCAATGCAATGGGAATAAGTTCCTGGAAGAGTAACCCAAGAAGGCGGAAAAATACTCATGGGAATCTATATATTTCGAAAAAACCGGATTTCCAGCCGGAAGTGCCTAGCACTTCGGAGCAGTAGATTTCTTTGTCACCTAGGATATTACATTGAGGCTCCATCCCGTGTGGTAAAGTGGGGAGCTAATTGTTAGTAGCTTGTTCACTTTCAACGCTGCCAATGTTGTATCAAGAACCCTCCTCCGTCATTTCTCCAGTTATTTTAGTGCAAAGCACAGCTGGTGGGATGAAAGTTATAGAGGCTCGCTTAAGATTTAAGGTCGGGAATGTTGAGAATTGAGTTCTTGCCTCGCTCACTTGTACAATTCTGACATTTAATGGGTGTGCAGCATGCAATAATGTCACTCACCTTCTTCGACACTCCACGATTGCTGTCGTTGATACCAAGGGTGTTACACGTCACTTTTACATATCTTTTTTCGGTGTAATTTATTTTTCCCTCTGTCTTAATCCTTCATATGACATTTTCTCGGTCTAATTCATGTTCCCCTCTAATCAAATCTTTTGGCACACTTTCGTGGTGCCTTCGTTCTAATCACTTGATCGCTGCACTCCAATACAAGTCATAGAGCAGCTTCATATTTTGAAAATTCTGTATCAATCCTTCGGGTTAGAGGATAGAAAACTAGTTCCTCCGTATTTATCCCTGTTACCTCGAAAAAAAAGTTTGAAACATTTTTCATGTCACTGGCGTCTCAAAGTGTTTTACTCTACTGTTTCTCCACCCACTAAAATCCGTACAATTTACAACGAACACAGTATCGTTCAGAAGTCATGTGCATCTTGCTGATCTTTTGGAGACAGATTACAGTGATGGCACAGCAAACAAGCCAATTCTCACTAAATTCATAAAATGCTCGCTCGTACCCTTCAAGGGGCACGAGGGTCTATGTTGGGTAGAGAATAAGATTCAAAATTCAACAGACATTCAATTCACCAGAATATGACATGAAGTGTTTGGGATATGAGTCGAAATTGAAATTCCAGTTCTGGAAAGTTCCGTGTACTATCAAGCTAGACAGATCAATTTCTATCAGAGAAAGAAATGGAGCATTCAACACCGTGAACTTCTACCAATGAAAACCCTTCATTCTAACTTTTTCAACTTACCCTGTGACTGCTCCCGTAGCCTCGCAACTTTACATTACCAAGGCCCTAGGCAGTTTATACCAGGGTCACTTTCCGCATTAACTGTCTAGTCTTCTTACTGAGTAGCTACGCGTAGGAAGAATTCCGAGTTAACCACGTAGCGAAGAATCTTGGAGACGGACCCTCACTTCATAACATCCTTCCTGTAGACATTCATGAAGTGGAAAACTGGATCACATGAAGATCAGACTGCAAACTGCTTCCCGGTGTCACACTAACAAATAGTCGCAAAGGATAGAATTGAATATCAACGACTGTAGATGTCATGGAGTTACAACTTTCAGTGACCTCTTACTCCACCTGAAAGTATGTACCCATTTGTATTTCTTTCTGGGCGTTAAACAAATGAAACCATTCATGACCCTGACCACATTGGTAGAAAGGTGAGGTAAAATACCACCTGCAAGGGTAATAATTAATTCTATTTACATAAACTCCGGGCCGGTCTATGGATCTAGGGTCGAGGTCACTTGGTTAACGACAACATGATAAACAGAATCCAATGTCCTCTTGATCAGAAAGCAGAGTTAGATCCGTGTGTTTGGCAACTTCCCTTGGCTCACGGAGTCTTGAAATGTACCTCTTTATCCTACAATCCATTCAACATATTACTACATCACTGACCGACAAGGCTCATTTGTTTTGCACTCTGTATCTGACATTTCTTGCGGGCTCCATCACAGCCCACTTACTATAGGTCCTACAAACCTCACGTACAATACCTCTTTATACATCTTCCGTCCTACCTAAACCACACCGTTCCTATCCCTAACCATTTGTAACCATTTGCTACTCCCTTATCCCTTCACCCAGGGATTGCTGGAAAGTTATCGCAAGCCATCTAGTGACACTCAATTCAGCTCGTACTGATAAACCTCCACAGTGGAATCCTGTAGGTACCTTCGGCATTCACAACCCAGTCTCCTGTCGAATTCTGTCCAGATCAGAACTTTAGACCTTTTGCCTTCGTGTACAGCTAACCTGCTGATCTTTCGCTGGGTGATCTAACGTGGAAACAACATCAACTCACGCCAGTAACACATCCATGATGTTAAGACTCGAAGAACCGCACTCCAGAAAGACGGCATTTCTTACAGCCAGTGCAAACGATCCAAAATCACCGACTTCCTTGTCGAGCAAATATGCTCTCTTCATAATTTTCTCCGTATAGGGAGTAAGAATGCCTACTTTATGTGCTTCATTCACACCACCGCATTGTTGGGGCCTACAACTAACTTTCAAATCTACATATTTACTTTTTCTCACAAGCGGATTGCACAACTGCTACAGAGGTGACCCAAATAACTGCAACGTTGCATTCCGGTGTATATGAGTTTCTGCCTACTGCGATGCATGACCTAGCATCCAAGAAATACTGCGCATCACCTGTGGACATAGCATTTTCAAAATCAGTATCAAGATCAGTATTATACAATTTACAATTGAAGGCAGCCGAAGTCTGAATGCGAACTGTAGAATCAAACAAGCTACCGATCTACGTTAACTCCGAAAGTTAACTCCAGTACTGCATGAGAAGGAAGGTTCCAAATATCACATACATTCGATAAGTGGGAATGCTCACTGAGGTTTCCGCAATTGAACCCAGAAGCCGCAGAAAATTCCCTTGCTTGATGATGGGACGGGCTGTGCGTCTCTCCTCGACAAAACTGTCATCTTTCCCTCAACTAGACCGATAGTACTTGAATCACAGTCGAATCTTATCCACGCAGAGTTCATCCCAGGTATCTGACTCCTCACTTCGATAAACCTAAGAATCCCAAAATGAATGCACAAATCGGCAGTCTAAATCCAGAGAGTAGCAGTCATCAGCTTCAAGGTTGCACAGCACTTGACGTTTGACCGAGCATTCCAGACTGTCCACTTTGGCTGTTAGGAGTGGGGCCTGGCGGTGATGAAAGAGAAGACTGATGTGGCGATGCCCCATGGCCTTGGCTTGCCATGGACATTTGATTAGCTGAGCCTGATGAACTCCCAAACATTGGACGTCCATCAGATCCCATGTGAGGACTGGAATTGGGTCCACTGCTATTTGCTGATCCATTGTTCGACATCACATGGGAGCCGGGTGAATTGTTGTTGGAAGCCATAGTTGGAGAGCCAACAGAAAGCATGAGTCCACTCCTAGCTCCAACACCTTCACCATAATTACTACCGGCAAATTGACCTCCAAGTGACTTGCCTGCTGATGAGCCTCCGGAGTTCGGCCGTTGTGGCATCGACTGCAAATTCAAAGAACCCGACGGCATTCTGGAAGGAGACGACCCTGACATCATACGCATGCCATTCATTTGCTCTTGTCCACTGGCATCTACAAGAAACAGGCAAAGAGAATAAGTCCATGTAGACTTTATTGGACGTGGCCATTACAATAGAGAGAACTCTTAGGTAGTAGAGTCAATATTTGAAAATTATAACTTCAAAAAACAGCCGAAATCGTCATAACATTCAAGAGATGTAAAGAAATGCTAACTAATGCAGTACATGTACAGCTTTAGGGTGAAATTCCTTCGGGTGGAAAGCACAGCACTGATCTAGATGGATAAACACTGAACCCTATACCCTTGCAGACAACCCATCTGAAAGAAAGCATGAACAAAGAGGATGAAAGCAGTTCTTTCAAGGATTTAATGGCAGACCCAGGACGGTACACTCATGGAGCTCCACTTTCACTTACAACTGACACATACTTTATAAGCAATTACAAAAATTTATTACAAAAATGCTAGGAAATTGGAAAGACATCAATACCTGATGCAGATTTTTGCTCCCCTGACTTTCCACCTCCTCCAGTATTTGAGGACGTTTGCACGTAGGGTGATCCCGGACCATTCCTAGGACTGCTAGATTGTTGTTGTCCACTTGGGACACCAGAATTGAATTGACCTCCATGCATAAACGACGGACCACTGCCGTGGCTTCTCTGTGAATTCGAGTTTGGCATTGGCATTCCACTGCCGCTCATTCCGCCCTTGCTAGCTCCTGAATGAGACCTCGGGGCCTGGCCTTGCGAATTGGCCATACCATCAGTACTACAGGCACGTGATGAATTAGAGCTATTACCATTACTCCCAGTTCCCAACGTCAAAGTCGGCGGACCTAATGATAAACCACCGTTTGATGAGTGACCAGAAAATGACGTTGGCGCCCCCTGCATGTGCTGCTGTTGATGTAATTGCGGAGAAGAGTGTTGCTGTTGTTGCTGGGCCTGCGGTGATGTCGGACTTGCCTGCTGGTGCATCTGTTGTGAAGATTGCTGAGATTGCTGATGCATCACAGATGGCTGCTGAGGATGGGGATTCATTGGAGATCCAGGCTGCTGGTGCTGTTGATAAGAGGGACCCTGCATATACATCTGCTGTCTAATTTGGTGGTGCATCTGTTGTTGCTGATGCTGGAGCTTCGCCTGTTGCACCTGTTGTGAATTCATGTGAGCCTGTTGAGCCTGTTGGTATTGCTGCTGTTGCTGCTGTGCAGTACTCAGTGCCTGGGGTTGCTGCGGAGACTGCTGCATTGATTGTTGCGATGGCTGAGTCTGCTGTGAGTGGATCTGAGACACGTTTTGCTGTTGCTGGGAGGTCTGCTGGAGATGGTGTTGACCCTGACCTTGTTGTTGAGGGGAAGGCTTTGCCGGCGGTGGGCTAGGCCCCAATAAACCAACATTTGGAGGACCACTCGCAGGAGATGAACGCTTACTCGCAGCGCCACCAGGAGGCTTGTGCGACAGCGGGAAAGATCCCTTACCAGCAGACGTGCTTTTAGATGCACTGCTCATTGTAGACTTCGATACTGGCGGTAACGGGGGTAGGGGCATGCCGGATGATGTGGGTTGACCCCCTTGGTTACCCGGTGGAAGCCTCGAGGGAGGACCAGGATTAGGAGTCACCTGCCCCTGTGGTCTTGCTTGTTGTCGTTGCTTCACAATCGCGGCTGCAAGCACTTCCTGAGGTGCTGTACCCGATGGGGTGGGCATCGATCCGAGAGATGGCCGGTTAGAAAGCTTCAAAGGATGCTGAGTTACGGGACCCTGCCTCAAGCCCTGGCTAGTCGGAGCAACGTTAGCTCCTGCTAATGACAGATTCTGGCTAGTTGCCTTACTAGACAATACAGCTCCCATTGGATTTCTGTCTGAAAATGATAATGGCGATTGTGCTGAAGTGGCTGTAGGGGCACCTCCTGGTGGAATTTTGCCACGTGGCATGACCTGCTGCTTGGAATTTTGACTTCCAGAAGGTGGTGGCGCTGACTGTTGAAGGCTACTCCCACCTGCAGACTGTCCTGATCGCGAAGCCATTATTGCTGATGTTGGGCTCATGAGATTCAACGTTGAGCCAACATTCCCTGCCATCCTCGAAGCTTGCACTCCACTACCGGTTGGGGACCCTTGCATACTAGAGGATGTCTCCATGTCTACCCTAGTCAAAGCCGATGAGGAGCTCATTCCCCTTTTCGAAGGAATTTTTTGCTCGTCTCCCGAGTCCCGAGCATTTCGATTGTTGAAAGCACCTCCATCGGCCATACCACCTCTGTCCTCACCTGGTGGCCCAGTACCTACCCTCTGCATCGTCACACCTCGTGGTTGTTGCTGCCCTTGTTGCAGAGGGTGTTGATGGGCCTGCGCAACACCTGATTGGTGGTGTGGAACATGCCCTCTGCCTGGATCCGTTCCCATGCCCTGAAGCATGACATGCCCCTGCGGAGCCATGACGGCAGCCACAGGTGCAAGTCCTATGGGGCCAGGTCCTCTATTCATAGCAGCCATGGACATCGAAGAGTACGTTTGTGAAGACGGCTGATCAATACCTTTCAAAGACATTTGCAATGTGGGGCTACTGCCGTGATGCTGGACAACCACCTGTTGTTGCTGTTGCTGCTGCAACTGAGACGCAAGAGACGATTGCTGCTGAGCTGCGAGCTGGCCAGCAGCTTGATGTTGTTGTTGCTGTTGCTGCTTGTTGCCCTGCTTTGATCCCATGGTATTGATGAGGGTGAAGTCCTGATTGGGAAGATTTTGCATGCCGGCACCGATGACCACAGACGCCGATGAGTTGACGCTGGACACAGTAACATTGTTATTAGACTGGCCGTACATTCCTCTTGGCAGCATTGGAAATTTGCTTTCGGCAGTGGAACTGCTATCCCCTGCGTTATTCCTGTCCCTGTCGGCAGGCCTTTGTACTTGCTGAGAATTTGAACCTTGTGGGTGCTGTTGCTGCGAGTGAGAAGGTGACTGGGAGGGCGGAGCTAGAGACGACTGTTGTTGTTGATGTTGATGTTGAGGAGAGTTCGGGGGGAAACTTCGAACCGATTGCTGAGAATTATGCTGTTGCTTCAGAGCGGATCCAGCCACAGTACTTGTGCCAGATGGCTGTTGTACCTGTTGTTGGGCGTGAGAAGGTGTATGTTGCACCATGTGGCTTGGGTAATACTGGGTACCGAAATACTGAGCAGCCTGCTAACAAACAAAAAGTGACCACAATTTAATTGAGTACCAAATGTATACTCGCACAAGTACTATGTACTCATTATCAGAAAACTTGAGCCGTATCCACGCCGAAAGGTAGAGTTTCGACAATAAACTCAGCCTATGGTCCCCATGTGCTACACTTGATTAAAAGCTTGAAAAGTCTCACCTGTTGAGGACCAATATGCCCTGGAGGACCGATGAAAGTTGGAGGTCCGAAGGGAGCACCCTGAAAGGGAAATGGGAAGCCACCTTGCTGCATAAAACCTTGAAGATACTGAGCTTGGGCAGCAGCGGCATGATTTGCAGCGCCCCCGTTACCAGAACCTGCACCCGGCACGACCATATTTGAACCAGTCGGCGCAGCGGAGCTTACATTCATGTGAGTACCACCACTTCCATGTCCAGAATTTGCTCCAGGTCCTCCATTTGCTACAGTAGCAGTGGCGGCGGCAACACTCCCCGCAGCAGTTGTGCCAGTCTGTTAACCCAACAACTTTACATAAGAACAGGAAACCAAAGGTACAAAATTTCAAACGTTGATGCAAGACATATAAAACATTTCAAAAAAGACCATATCCAGAACCGTCATGAAAGAAGCGGCCATGAACTCTATTCACTTCTTCGCAAGCTTCAAATTTTCAACAATCACTGTCCCGCCCCGAAGGGACCAGGTAATTGCCCGATGGATTCACCTGTAAGGACAAAGAGGGAACATTTTGAGTTGGTTGCTGGTGTTGCTGAGCAGGTTGAGAAGATTGTTTCCTGCCAATGGACTCCATATATGCCCTTTCCTTGCTCTGCGCACTTGCTGCCAGCGTAGATGGCCCTAAATTCCTTTCCGTCACTGTCCCCACAAGCCCCGGAACATTTCCACCACCACCTGCCACCACACTAGGTCCGGGAGCAACACTCAAGCCACCCGCTATAGGTCCTACTGGACCTGAACCAAAGAGAGACTCGGAGGGAGGTAAGGGATGGTTCAAGTTGTAGGATTTTGTGCCGAGCTGCGGCCCAAACAAACTGGCAGAATTTTGATATGCAGTGGCATGAAGATAAGACTGCCGCTGAATATTTTGTTGCATTTCGATAAAATGTGCAATGTAAACATGACGAGCACACCGTTTCAGAGGTTGTCTCTGCTGCTGCTGTTGGAGAATATATGTATGAGGCAACTGCAATCAAGCCAACATCACAAAAAACAATCCCTCAGTACTTCGCAATCCGTGGATACCACGTTTGAAAGACCACGATCCATCCTGCTAAAACTTAGGCCCACAATTCTCTGAGCAATCGACTAGCTGGGCACGAATTAAAAACAGCGGGTCATGTCATCTTCGTTTCGCGGCTCATCTGTGACACGGAGGCCTTCTAACTAAGACATATCCCTCATTGTGGGATACCCAACGGAAATCTGTCCATCGACGTAGCATTATCTTAGGTTGCCTTCAGACTTCCTTAGAGGATCGAAGACAACAGCGAAATCCAGGAATTTTGAGGTCCCAACGCCTCTTCCAACTGATAACAGGACTTACTTGTACTGGAGGAGCGGTCTCATCACCAGGCGGCGCTCCCGGTACAGGAGCCCCAGGCCACGTGGCAGCAGCTGCAGCGGTAGAATCGTAATATCTGCGGACAATGCACGAAATGTTCAATTTCCTGCCACATGATCAACACTTGAATTCGCATAAGTCTAAGCGAGCGACGTCTCCACTTACCCAACTCCAGGCACGCCAGCTCCGGTCATACCCATCGCCCATCCCGATACACCTCCAGGTACAGATAATGGAGCGCTAGAAACACCTGCAGCAACCGCAGCACCCGGCGGTGGAGCCGAAGCCAGAAATGAAGACGCTGCTGAAGTTGCATTCGCAGACGCTGCAAAATTGACATTACGGGCATGTTATGGAAATAAAGAGAGATAAGGATACAGGTGTTCAAAGAAACGATTGAGGCTAAAATGAGTACTTCGATTTACGACAGTGACGTACCTGCTCTCTCTGCCTTTTGAACTCTCGACTCGGATTTTCCCATCTTCCCCGATCGTTGCACCGGGGGCTGTTGTTTGCCGTGTTCAGACTTTTCCCTCTCTTCCTTTCTGTCTCTTTCCCTCGGTATTTCTTTCTGATTCTCGCGCTCCCGCTGAGCATTTTCTCTATGATTCTCTCGCTGCCTATCTTTCTCACGCTCTCTATCACGTTCTCTTTCACGTTCTCTTTCACGATCTCTTTCACGATCGCGCTCTTTATCACGTTCTCTCTCCCTTTCTCTATCCTTTTCGCGCTGCACCTCACGTTCACGCTCTCTTTCCTTGTCCCGCTCCTTCTCCCTCTCCATCCACGTACCTTCTGAGGGTGCAGGAGGCTCCACCTATGGAAGCAGTAGAAACATATCAACACTAACTCGACCGCGCTACTGTGGTAGTAATTCACGATGTCGAAAGTTATGTGTCAACGGAGAATACGAAAGGTGCACTGTCAAACATTTGATACTTACATGGGCCTTATCTGTTATCTCCTTGTTGGAGACGGCGGAGGCCTCCGTTGTCCGCTCATTTGCTGAAGTTGACGTGGGTTTAGACACAGGGGGCGCCTGAAACAGAGTGACCCACGAGTGGAAAATTAGTTTGAATGTCGTCGCGCGAACTGCCAATTGTGACCTTAGAACTGATATTGAAGAAAACTAATGAAGGATGGGGAGAGATTCACACCATCAAATCGATGATCGGTCTCACACCATCAGAAGTCGCATTTGCTTGCTGCGCAGACCTGAAGAAGGAGAATAACACGTGAAAAATGGAAGAAGGTTGATCCCAACCGCAACTAGAGAGTATATCATTCGACCAAACATTGAAGTAAGCAGCGAAGCATAGCTGATCCAGCATGCATTTCCTATTGAATGGTCGCAATACCTTTTCCCGAGCTCCAATTTCGTGATTGGCTCATTCACAGCTGGAGCACTGGCTGTTTGGTCTGCCTCCCGAGGAGGGGCTGCCGGAGGTGACGACATATTAGCAGGCACAGCCTTGCGATCGAACTGCGCATTGGACTTTTTATCAGAAGATCCGGAAACGCTGCTGGTTTCGACTTTCGTGATCTTCTTCTCCGCTGGTGCCTTCTTCTCGAGAGAATTATGTCTCTGAACGGTAGCTGGTGGACTAGAAACTGATTGTGTAGGTGCCGCTGGAGCAGTAGGAGGGACAACGGCTGCTGCAGCCACAGCGGCAGCAGGTGGCCCCGCAGGCGCCGGCGCACAAGCCTCTGACCGTGTAGGACTCTTCTCTGTAACAGGAGAATTGCTTGTTGAGACCTGTTCTGGCTCCGATTTCGAAGGCGGAGGAGGTCCAGAGATGCTGGGAACCGCTGGGGAACCAGCACTGCTTCCCAAAGCCCGCGTCTGGGAGGAAGATCCAGTTTCATCCGGCCTCGTCCGAATCCTTGGACGTTTCCGCTTAGGAGCTACAAATGCCAATGAGTACGTTAGTACAACAACGATGACTCCGAGTTTTGCGCGATGAAACAGAGTCTGTATTTGGAATTGAAGGTGGTGATAGGATGAATGCGATGCTTACCCTCGGCGGGGGGTGGCGCGGCTGCTGGCGGTGGAGGTGAAGGCGAGAGTACAGGTGATGGCGTCGTTGCTTGGGCAGCGGGAGAGGCCGACACAGATGCTGAGATCGTAGATGTCACAGCAGGAGGTGGTGTGGCCGCCGAGACTGAAGAGGTAGGTGCAGCAGAAACTGAGGGAACTGAAGGGGATGAAAGTGCTGACGGCGCCGATGTTGCAGAGGCGGCTGGTGCCACTGGAGGAGGCAGCGGCGGCGGCGGTGGCGGCCGAGGTGGAGATGATTTGGCCGCAGAAGTACTGACGGACATTTTCGGCTCAGACTTGACCTCAGCATCTTGTTTCGATTCTATCTTCGGCTTCGGTTCGCTTTTCACTTCTGCATTAATTTCCTGGACTGGAGGAGGCTGGAAGATCCCCAAAGCGAGATCAAAAAGAGCTTCCGCAACTTCCACCTCGGACTCTGATATACTAGGCTGAGATACCTGCAAGAATGGAAGTTTGTGACGTCAGATTCGATGAGAGGAGTTGCCATCCCGCTGAGGCACAATTGGACATGTTGGAGCTGGAAATCTGCAGTGCTCCTTTCTAACCCGAAGAATCGTCGCAAAACGTTGTATCCAGAGTGGTGACTCATCACTCAACCATACGTCTTTACCTTCGGTAGTTTGGCAGCGCGTGGCTTGGAGCTGCTAGGCTTCTGCGGCAGAAGAACAACCAACGAAATGGTAAGACACGGATTCCGAAAGGGGAACAGAGAACAACGCGACTCCAATGTCACCAGCCAATCGATGCGCTGGAACACAATTCTCTTACCGTTCTTCTTCCCGGCTTCAAAGATGCTACAGAAGATGACGAAGGGGCATTCGAAGGTGCCGGAGTACGCGGAATCACGGAAGGCCCATGCGAGGGTGGAGCCTCAACAACCGGAGGAGAAGGTGATTCTTGAGGTCTTTTCAAAATTGCTGCAACACACTCCACGAACGACACGGGCTTAGAGGAAGATTCCTGGACTGTGGGTAGAATGAAGTCATGACTCGAGCAAAGACTGATGCCAGAAGCAGAATGCGACGTAGGTGTTCTCGTTTGAAATGTTGAAGGTAGAAGACATGTTCCCTCACCAGTTCGAGCTTTGCGCGGAACAGCTGGGAGATCCCCGCTGATTCCATCGTCCAAAAACTGCAAGAAAGATGAGATAATTTAGTTCGTTGGTTCAGGCTGAAAACTGGCGTCGACTTGAAGGACGTAGAAGACTTCTGCAAAAGAGAAAAGACTAACCTTCCCCTGAGGCCGTGATTTCCCCATACGCCGAGGAATGGGTGGGGGAGGTGGATCATCATCGTCCTCTGAGGCTCCCATCTCTGTATCCTCCGTAGTTTCATCGACTTCATCGGCAGTACTGCTTCTAGCTTGTGCCTGTACCTCCTGCGAATTTTGCCGTTTCCTTTTATTGCGAGAAGCAGATCCAATACTATTTGAGTTTAATCCTTGACCTCCTGGGCCACTACTACTATCTTTCTTACTCGGCCTCTCACGAAGCCTCTGATTGTGTGCGTCATCCAATATATCGTCTCCATCTTCTCCAACTGCGAGCACACCACAATGTAAATGTTAGATCTTCACTCCTTCAAGAGTGTTTTCTCCAACAAGATCCAATGGATCAAGTATTTCTTCACAACGTTCAGTTGCCAGTAGGTTCCCGACTGGAGGAGCTTCGTCAGGAGAGAACCCAAAAACAGGAGCTAAAAATTGCATCGTACTACAAACTACAATCCAAAGTCTCCGACGATGGTAAAAGTTCGCCAAACCAAAAAGGTTGTATCAACCAGACAACGCCGAGATCAGCGGAGAATGCAAGGATGCGTATTAAGCGCCCTCTAACTAAAATATGTGCAGGTTGTCTTCACAGAGAGATTAAATGAAGTTCTGGGATACTTCCGGTGTAAGGTATGTCTAAAAACCAAAGACATCCAACGATGATTTGGACTACCGAAGCTTTCCCAACCCGGATCCACATTTCCACAAGATAGTAAGAGCCAGGTCCAGACGTCACACACAACGAAATCGGCCGACGCTGATCTGGCTTCGTACAGCAAGTTTGTCAACAAACTCCCCAACCCCTCCACTCACCAACCCAGAAAGAGGTGATGAGACTGATCTTAGCTCAGCGCTTAAGAATCAATTTCGCTTGTGTAATATCAAAGCGATACTACTCATCTCCCAACAATCGAAATTTATAACCGAGGGCGTTGGAGTTCGTGAAAGAATCAAAACACAAGCTTTCAATTCGAGATTGCATCGAGCCCGACCTGTCGCATCTTTGAATCCACTTGTTCGCGGACGGCGAGGTGCAGAAACTGGGCCTCCCCCTGCACCGCCTCGCCGACCTTCGCGACCTCTTTCCATGCTCAGTACTCAGGGCCGTGATGCCCTCACTTTAAGCTCTTTCAAGCCTCTCCACATGCTCTCCCTATTTCCCTGATGCGTAATGCCGACCTCATTACAAGAGTTTGCTCTGCTTTTCTGAAGAGGTATCAATAACCGAATTGGGAGTACTCCATATCCATGAATGACGTGAGCCCTCCAGAGAGAGAAACAGAGCTGGGAAGGAGACGAAGCTCGCAAGATAGGCCACGAAGCCACTCGTAAGAGGCGAAGTCTGCATCCAGGACAACCACTAGTTAATACAAAAGTGTTCAGAACAATCCCCCAAAAGGCTGGAGACCACGAGCAGGAGTGGAAGAGGGGACCAATGCGGAAGACACATGATAAAGAGTGAAAGTTGTCAACAGCGGCCTCCAAACAAGTCAGGAGACCTAGACTGCGGAGGACTCGAGGTTGGGCGACATCCCGATTCAGAGGGAGTGTGACAACCTAGGGGCACTCAAACTGAATGCTCCCTCACTCGACTTAACGTTTGAACTTGTTTCGGAGGAGGATAACATGCCAACGATTTTTGCAATCGCAGCAACGGGGAGGAGGAAACAGCGAAGGAGATAATGAGAATGTCACAAACAAAGAACGTAGAAAGCGCTGCCTTTCATCCATCGGCACCGAGGAGATGGAAGAAGGGAATGACAAAGACAGTACGAAGGCAAGGACAGGACGGCCCAGGAAACAGACTGGCGGAGGAGAAATGCATGCGCCGAGAAGAAAGAAGATGACCAGATGTGGTGCGAAATGATTACAACGGAGAACAGAAAACTTCCGCCGCACTGGTCCATGAGGGTGTTCGGCTGATTGGATGAACGAAAACTGTAAAAGAACAGGAATCAACAGCTTCCGGCACCACAAGCGCAGGAGATGCAAGCGCGGCGCTACTGCATGCACCTTCTACTGTCGGGCCCATCTGCTATTCGCTACGAGGATTGAACGAGCCTGTCGCCGCAGAACAACCATACACGGCGCCACCGATGCTCAGAACCTTTTCTTTCCGAAATTCGCCGTGGCTTACCTACTGCTCTCCTCCAGGCCCAGCGCAGGCAGCGATGCGGGCGTCGCAGGCGCTGATGAGCAGCGGAAACCAAATGCAAGCTTTGTTCCTCGCTCGCTCTTCTTGCTCGCGACGAAGTAAGAACGCTCGTGGCGCTCGAGTCGAGTCCGTCGTCCAGGAGGAGAGGGGGGGAGAAGAAGATAGAGAAAGCAACGGAGAAAGGAAGGGAGGGAAAGGGAGATGTGAGAACAAATCGAAGCCAATGGAAGGCTCGATGGAAGAACATGAGGAAAGGAAGGGCAGTGCAAATGGGCGAGGGAGCTAGACTTACATTTCCTACCCTAGGCCTGCCGTGCAGTGGTCCACCCGAGGCCGGGCAGCCAAGCCCTTTCCTTTCGCTCATGAGGCCATCCATGGTCATAAAGACGGATGTGGGGATGGGATGGGATGCGATGGGATCGGGCCGCGTGAGGCCCCTTTTGTGAGAGAGCGGGAGCCGAAGCCCATCATGGCCACCTGGATGCGCACTGCCACCTTCGCCATACATGGCCAGATTTCACCCCCGCCCGGTCAAAAATCCCGCGCGACTTTTACCTTTGTCCGGCACCACGTCATGCCTCCTGCGCGATGTCAACTTCGCAGGACACGACGTCCGTTCATCTGATGCGAGTCTTCCCGGTCTCTTCAACATCTCCAGTGCCGGCACCGAAGAAGGGCAATCCACAAGCCCGAGCCCGTCATCCTCTGGTTCTACCCGTCGCCGGGCCACGCGTCGTCGCTTTCCTCCGAAGATACCTGCTCTTCCATTCTTTCCCCACCCAGTTTCGGCATATGCGCATTTCCGTGCACCAAACCTAAAGCGCAACCTCCGGTCCGAGGCAAAATCCACGGCTCGATCGGCCCGTCTCGGCCTCCGAGGGCCGTCGGATCAGGTCGTCCTGGATAAAAGGACCACCGGGCCCGCTCGGCAACGCAGAAATACTATCTTTTATTGCGCTTGCCGCCCGGCAGGTTGCCATCGGTCAGGTGAGAAAGAACAAGAAGGTCTCAAGATGAGGCGAGAGGGAGACTTACTCGCCCCCCCCGGACGGAGGTAACGGGGGCGAAGTTTTACCGCAGCTTCACACGGATGGCGTGGGAATGTAAAACATGGACCTGGCTTCTCTTTGTCCGCATGCTCGCACGCATATCCATCTGGCTGCATCTCGGCGCTTCATGCGAAGTTGGACGCTCGCGATCGGCCCCTGGTCTTTATGAGCCATAACAAACTACATCCCCACGACGCAAACACGGGCCAACGCAGGACAACCGGACGGACGCTTTCCGTTCCGTGGAGCGGCCAAGACTGAACACACTTTCCCTCTTTCCAGCGTTCGCAGTTTCGCCCGCTCTAACATCCGCGGGGTATTCCCGACTCTCCTCTAATGTTAGGGTTTGCCCCTCCGTATAAATCCGACGATGGTGGGATCCACAACGAGCAGATGGGTGTCGTCCGATCTCGAACAAACGGGATCGACATCAGCGCATGCTCAGGGGGAGCGCACGCGCCCTGTTGCGTGTCACAACAGATCCCACGCGTGATGCATCCGAGCCGTCCAAACTGAATCTTGGCTGATGTGGCAACCACGTCGGAGAGGACGGGAACGGACGAGCAACTCCAAGGTTTTCAAGGGTAAAAGTTAAAACAGGCTGTAAGCATATATAAGTAACGGCCCACCTTCCTGGAATCACGCTGCGGCGGGCCATCTCGGTCCATCTCGTTCTTTCCCGTCCACGTTTAACACCGGTTTTCCCTTACCGGTGATCCTTAGCGTTGTATGTAGGCTCGGCCCAGTTCGACAGCAGCCACCCTCAACCTCCACGTCATGTGGCTCGGAGAGTCGGTCCAAGGAATTATTAGAGGTCAGATGGATGGGTGAGAATACCGACATGGATGGATGTGGCCCGGTAACTGCAAAAGCGGATGGACGACGCTCGGAACATGAAAAGTCAAGGATGGAAAGGGTCATCCGCATGCAGGACCCATCCTCCACATGCATACACCAAATAGCACATAGCATCGCGGCGTCCCATTGGACATTCATCTCTGTCGGAGGAATTTGACGAGATTTTACACCCGCCCCAGCAAATAGTATCCATCTGTCGCCTAAACTCCCCACGCTGCCCGAGATCCCCAGCCACAGAGGCGAGATGGGAGAAAAAGAAAACATCTCCGTCGCTCCGCGATTAGTTTGCCTTCGTAACCGTGCCGTGGATCCCGCCGAGGAACTCGAGTTCAACTCACTCCAGTAAAGGCCATCATCAGTGGCGCCGATCGACGGCTGCGATCGTTCATGCGCCAGTTTGAGGGGGTCCCCCTCATCCTCTCGTCATCCTCTCCCGCTAAGGGTAACCAGCAGTTAATCCCCGCGCCGTTTTGAATAATAAATAAACGGCTTTACATCTCGGGTAAAGAGGAGTTTTCACCCCTGCACTTTTCCCTGTTTTCTCACCTCCTGGACTGAGGACAGTTGGGCCCATGTCGTGGAGTCAAACTCGACTTGGACTGCAGGCCGACACCCGTGCACGGTTGCCACGTGCTCGGCCCTCGGCCATGCTCTCAATGCATGCTTCACACCATCCCCATACATTTTCCTCCGCCGGGCACCGGGCAGCGGGCAGGGTGCATCCACCACGTCAAGCACGCAACCGCAGGATCCACATCTCACAGCTTCCCTTCGCTCGCAGCCATCCGCCGTCGATGTGGAGCATCTTATCCAGCGTGCTGCAACGTGGCACCCGTAGCCCTAGATACGCAGCGAGAGGGCTGGATAAATAGATCCACTTGAGGAAGAGCGATACCAAATTTTGAAGATCATGAGGCGAATAAGAATAGAGACCGCCAAAGGTCCGCGCCCCGTCGAGGCGTTGGCAGAGTTCGCAGCCTGCCGGGCACACTCTCCTGCTCGCGGGCCAACGGTGCGCCGTCGATGCCCCGTTCCCATTCGTGTTCTCGCGAGCCCGGACGGCCACGGCCCTGCCCGCGACTGCCCGCGCGATGCGCAGGCAGTGAAATGACTCGGAAATGATTTCACCGTACCTTGGGCTTTGCACTGCCTGGCCATTCAATTTTAGCCCTTCATTTTATCGAGCCTACTACAGCGGTTAGCTTCCATAAAAGATATTTCCATATAAAGTGTCTCTTCAAACCCTTCTCCAGGGCATCCTCGGGCTCAAGGAGGAGCTCCGTCTCCCCTTAATCACGGACAGGCCCCGATTAGAAAGAAGTCGGAAGACCGTCCTGTTCGGGGCCACCAATCCCCGGCCCTGCGGGAACTTACCTCCATGGCAGGCAGCGGGCAAAGGCAGCCTGCAGCCCTGCAGCCTGCTGGCTGCGATTCAGGAATGTTACTCGCCTGCTCGGGCGCTATTGACTTCCGAGGGGCCATTTACTTTTCAGCGAGACCGAATCAGTAGTGAATCCGGCGGGGGCGAGTTCCATCGATGGCGACGCAATCTGGCCTTCCCAGCGGCCTGGTATGGTATGGTATGGCATGGCATGGCATGGCATAGCATAGCATGGCATGGCATGCGACGGTGGATTGCAGGATTGTGAGGACAATCCGTGACAGGGGAAGTCAGGCCGGGTTTGATGGAGTTCGCCGGTGTCGTCGTCAAACAGGAGTCGCTGGGTCGGATAGCGACCACACGGCTCCAACGCTGGGCCAGTCAAAACCTGTGCTCGCCCAGGCCAGCCCAGCCCGGGTCGGGACGGGACGGGCCGGGCCGGGCCGGGGCACTCGGACTTAGGCTGCAAGTAACAAGGCCGAGGCCGTTTCTGAAGAGGGAGAGGAGCGGGGTTCTCTCGGGCATTGCCGTGCGCGGCCCCCTGGTCGCATTTTGCTCCGCGCGTCCGAACGCCGCTGCCGGTCGGCGACGATGGCTCGGGGATCTGCTCTCCCCGTTCGCAGGCGCCGGGCCTCTGAGCTCGCCGGAGGGAGGCAGGCGACCACGACTTCGTGCCAGGCAGCAGCGGCGATGGCCGACGAGTCTGTGCCGGAGACTGTTTGGGGTTTTCATGTTTGGGCTTGGGGCTGGGGTCGACGAGAGTGAACCATGCACAGCGAAGATGTGATTGCGACACAGGGAACTGCAAGAAGCTGAAAAGTCACCATTTCTCAGCATGATGGAGCATTCGTTATCAAAGACTGACCCGTGTAGATATGAGACCAATGAAACAGTGTCCTTTGAACTTATCGGCTAAGTCATGCTTCCTATGCCTGCACACACGCCAAACAAGTTTCGGGGTCGATCGGTTGTCCTTCACATTTGGGTGTCTAGTTTACCTGCCCAGAGTGTAGATTTTTCACACTGACACATCATATGTAGATGAACCTAATTTTTGTCCCATTTGGGATTCAGAAGTTTCATCCAATTCTTTCTTGCAAAGCGCCATGATGCTCTTCGAAGGTTTATCTAGCTAAGAAGGACGGTCGTTTGCTGCTCCCGTAGCCTTTGGATTGTTATGCGTTTGAGAATAAAGAGGACTGAATGAGATCCGAATTCTCTACCAACTTTCCTGTGAACTATAGGATTCCCATCGACACAAATCAAGCAGTTTCTTTCATATCTTTCGTTCGTAATATTTAAGTACTTTGACTGAGAAGTCTCAAGTTAGTAACTAGCATGAGTAAAATTTCATTTTGAAGATTTCTGCTCCTTTGTAACTTTTAATAACGGCAGATAATATCATAAAAATTGCTTGCCTCGCTGTAGCTGAAAACTGTAGTCTCTCAGCATGCACTTTTAAAACACGAAGCCTTTGTTCTGTGCTTGCAAAGAAGCAGATCTCACACGCCTGTATAATTGAATTGTTGAATCGCGAATTTATTGTCCATAAGTCCATGAAATCTGTTGCATGCTTTTACGTCATAATAGTAAACTATGTTCACAACATTATTATGTGGAGCATACAATTGTGAAGAGGGTGACTAAGATCATCTGTAAAAGCAATAAGATTTTCATAGAATCTCTCTTATGCTAAAATCGTCCCTTTGGAATTATATAAAGCAAGACGAACTGAAAAAATGTTTACACTAGTATAAATCAATGGATGTGATTTATAGAAAAATGCATGTGCAGGTAGCTATTACGTTGAAATGTGGTGACCAATAACTTTGTGGAAGGCTCATTGGACGAACTGCATAGCACTTAATTATATTTCATCCAATGCAGTTCGTCCAAAACATGTTCACAGCATGCACAGTTTCATGAGTTGCAGTTCTGTATATTATAAAACGATCAATTATCAGAAGCATGATGCACAACTATCCTGACATCATGACTACCCGATACACATGGGAAACATATCCTCCCCACCGTTCGGAAAGAACCAAAACTGAGTGAGAGAACGAAGCAGTGCGTTGCGTGTCAACAGTCCATGGAATGAAGGTCCAGTGATTCACAGTTATAGAGGTATCAAATAGAAAAGGTCTGTTCCGACGTGGGATGCAACGCCATTGTCTGGGCTCTGCCCATCTGGGACCTGATTCTCATTGGCCGGAGGATGAAGATCGCCCATGGACTAAGAAGACCACCACCTCGTTTGTCAGATTGTGACTTTGATGCAGCCTGATTGCGACCAACGCAGTGAAACTCAATACTTATTCTTAACAGACATTTACTCGGATTGAAAGTCCCTGACGTTGTATTCCCGATAATATGTCTATTTTAAAGGAAAGGCGCCGTCAAACGAATCACACCGATGTATGACATTGTACCAAGAGGACATGTTCGTAACATGTGAATTATGTTTCCAATTAAGAACTACAACTTTTATTCTGGAAACACCATTTCAGATTCTCTCTTGCTCTCATGAGTGATAAATTCATGTTCTTTCTTCTCTTCTAAGTTTTCTTTCACCCCCAATTCCACGCATCTACTCTCCTCTCCGCAGCAGATACCACCCTCCAAACTTGCCCACATTAGCTGCTCATTTGATTCTAGCTGTGCTCCACTGAAGGTCCCCGTTATATGGATACACAGTCTCATGAGGCCTCTTACTAACTGTTCAAATCAACTACATTCCTCCTATAAAGACCCACGATGAAAGGCGAGCGGCCTCTTTCGCAACTTGAGCAGTTAAAACGAGTCAACACCCTTCAACGGACTGTCACATTAGAGCTCGGAGATTCCAGATGCTCGCCAAAACGGATTGCTCAGCTGTGTCAACGCTGTACCAATAAACGAGCTGAATCCAATCACCATCTTTCATGGGCCTGCTTTGATACTGCTCCGATTTGGAAATGAAGTCTCCAGTTACTCCACCCACCTATTTCCCAAATCAAGAACCTCACGCTACCCTAGTCCGCGGCTGTTCTATTCAAAATTAAAAACTGGCCCCTTCCTCCAATCCCAGTTTCGCTGGAATGTCTCCGCGGTTATCGCTTGAAAATATATGCCATAGTAAAGTAAAGTGAAAACATCCTCACAAGATACCCCTGCGTCTCACCAGGATTAACGAGTTAGACTTATGCCCAATATCTACAACAAGGCAAACCATCGACCTTAATCTCATCCCGTGAGAAAGAAAATGTCAGAGTACAAACAAGGATTGTAAGCCCTAAAAAGGAAATGTGTCTACCCACAACAGATCTTTCACTATAGACCACATTATCACGGATGATGAACACTATGATCATGGAGCTCTTCAAGTCTGAAAATTAACCACATAGAATAACATTACGTCATAGAAAAATGATTATATACTTCGTACGATTGTTAAAATCATATATCATTCAGATGCAATCAAAATTAAACAAATAATTCTCATATTTTGACAACAAAAGTTATACTTTATTTTTAATAAATGGAAAAATTGATGAATTAATATTTAATGTTGAAAAATTCCTTACATTTTTTAATTCGTTACAATTCTACTTCCAATTGTACAAAAAGAATACTTATTTCAAGTAAAATATTTGCAGTAAAACACATTATGAAGAAAATTATTTCATGGATCTTACATATGTGAAACCATTATCATACAAAAATTTGAACTTTATATTATATTAATGAATGTGAAAATTTTTAATCCTTTGATGATTTCAGCTTTTCTTATGTGCTGCTTAGTTTAATTTCACCAATTTTTATAATTGAGTGTAGACATCTTAAAGTTATTCCATTTTTTATATCACTCTAACAATTATACTGAATTTTTCAATGCCATGAAAAAATATACCCAATGTACATTCAATATGAAACATATGATCATTTGCATCTTGATGTAAGGTGTAAAAGTTATTTGAAGTAAGGTATAAAATTAGAATAAATATATAAACATTAATTAAATTTGCAAAAGCGGTTCATCTCTTGAATTTAAAGGTCACACATCAACACGTTAAAAATATCTTTGAGATATCTACATGTGTATAAGTAAAAATTTCATTTGAAACATTTTTCCAAGAATCAGAGTCTATCAGAACTTGTAATATGCTACTCATGATGCTGTTAGTTTCAGAATATGTCTAGCGCAACTTGTTTCTATGCAACATTATTTGGATTCAGGAGCTATCCAGATAATTTGACTATCAAATTTTGATGTGAAATAGTTATTATTTTGCAATTAAATGTGTGGAGTTCAGAATGATTTTACAATAATTACAGATTTTTTGTGTTCCAATGAAATTTTATGTGATGGCATATGACCTTTTGCTTGAAGAAGTAGCATCAATTACAGACCAATTTGATCTCCGTTAGAAGCAATTCTTATAAAAAAAATTAAGGTTTGGAAAAAAATTATGAAGTAAAATACTGAACTCTATAATAAGCTCCGTGTTAAGCCTCATCAGCTGTGGGTCATAAAATTGAGGAAGTGAATAGACGAACATTGTGCATACAAAGAGTAATTGCTCTTTGTATAGATTCCAAAATAGTTATAGAAGTTACTTTCTTCCTATTTAGCTCTATTTTGATCACTACTTTTAACGATAAGATTTTGCGTGTGGAGAGGATTCCACGGAGTGCATTTTATTTTAATAAATTTTATCACAAATTTGAAAACGTTATTCTATGTCACTTGGGTTCTCTAGGTATTATAATTATGGGTATGCTTAAATATTTCAACGAAGGTATTCAATTTGGAAAGATTGCTAAAAACACTGATTGAAGGTTCTGAATGAAGGAATAACATTCTCAATCGATAGAAAGAGTTCTATGAAACGAAATCCTTAAAACATATCTTCGAAGAAAGAATGTAGTTCAGTTGATCCAACTTTCAAGTTTACTCCGAAGGTATATTTTTCTTGCTTAATTACTATGGTTTCCTGATAATTTCCTCATCGTTTATTAGTTAGTTGCTCAGATATTTTAACTTTATAAGGTCAAGCTATGTAACTTGCAATCCTTTTAGCTCTTTTACTTTGTTCCACTTTGATTAACAAGAAGTGAATACTTCACCTCTCACCCTAGAAACGGATCCCCTTTACTTCTCTTGAACTAAAACTCAATGTGAATAAAAAACTTATGCAAGATGACATTTTAGGTTTCAATTGACCTAAATACAAAGGTCTTTCTTCCTCTATTATTGTTTATTCAATGGACTGTATTTGTTTGGCTCGCGGAAGTTAAGAATTTGTTTGAAATACATGTCGAATTCAAAAGCCGCAATGGTAACTGTGACGTGATGTTTCGTATGACTTGACATCACATTTTCTACCCGTGTTCGGGAATTCCTCACGAGATAACTCGAGAAACAATGGAAATTAAAAGAGTAAATCACAACAGCAGATTTGCTCTTGTTCCCGTGTTCATGCAAATTGTCCATCTACTTTCTGGTTTCCTTTCGATTTAATTTTTTTTATCGCCTTTTGTTTTCTGTTGCATTTATCATAGTATTCTTTATCACACATGTTGATAAGTGTACATCGTGGTAACCACCAGAAAATGGTTTCTTGTGTTGAAGGCTCGGTGCAAGAGGCAAGCAAGAAGCCTGTTAGTTTAATAGTGAAAGCCGTTCTCTAGCTTATCATGCACTTTAAGTCGTGCAAGCATAAGCACTGCTTATGCTTATCTCATACGCAGTACTCTCAAACCTTTGTTAGAACACTTTCTTCCCACAAAGATGGAAATGTTTGTCATTTTCATAGTTTATGATACATAACAGATGTCCAAGGAAATATTGTAGATATGTTCAATGGTATATTCATATTAACTTGACATTTACATGGGGTTTTGTACTAGCAACATTTATGCCAATCAAGAAGCTTGCGTTCTTCAATAGCACAACACTGGCGCCCGTGGTGACCTAGCCTTGACTATTGTTGATAACGTTGGGGACTCATCCCACATGGACTGAGTTTCACATCAGTGAGATGTGTTAAATCATTTGCTTTCTTTGGTTAGATCTGCAGATTTTCTTGTCCTGAATTAAAGGAATGAGAATACTAAAGAGAACCAGCTATCAGTGATCGGGACAAGCTCTCCCGCATTCATTGTGCTAACTCACGGAGTCTAAATCAGGATGACCGAATACGGGCAATACTAATGGCAGCAGGCCAGCTTGTATTGAGCAGAGTCTGGACAACTGTTGGCACCGCAGCGAAAATGTCGCTCGAAAATAGAGACTTTTCGTTCCTTGGCAAGATACATACAATGCGAGTAAGTGCTCGTCCACCACGTCCCCAAATTACGATCATCGACCACTACGCCAGATTGGCGTGATGGCCGCCAGTTTCGCTTCCCAAGCTAAAACTGCCGGCGTACGAGCAGCATAGTTCCGTCACGAAGAGCGTCCCCAGGTACGAGCCTTGACCGTTGTTTTACTTCCACACGATGAAAAACAACCGAAGCGTTCAACTTTCCATCCGAGGAAGGAGGAGGGATCCCGGTCGTAGGAAGGATCGGATACGAATATTTGGATCCTCCGGAGGGACGGAAGTCAGGTTAGGAAGGGCCCGTGGATCGGATCGAGCGCAGTGGAGGGCCATGGGAGTGATGTAGCCCTGTTGTGGTTGGTGGGCGTAGGCAGCTCGTTCGTCCGAGGTGGTGTTTTGAGTCTGTCTGTCTGTCTGTCTCCGTAGTCGAGTCGAGTTGGTCGGTCGACTCGTCTCCTACCTTGACTGGCCTTCGTCGTCGTCGTAGTAGGGAGGGGAGGGCAGGGGAGGGCAGGGCCAGGGGCAAAGGTAAGGGAAGGGAAAGGAAGGGAAGGGAAAGGGAGTGGACGAGGTGGCCGGTACAGACGACAAGACAGGACAGGGGTGCAGGGAGGGAGGGAGGGAGGGAGGCAGGCAGGCTCTGCAGGAGGCGGAGCAAAATTGAGAAGAGTCGCTAATGGCATTGAACTCGCAGTTCTGTCGTCTTGTCTGAGCCTGATCCGTTCCTCTCTCCCTCTCTCATGCTCGCGTGTGGTGATGTGGTGAGGGAGACTGTCTGTATCGTGCATCGCTCGGATCCCTCCACCACCTCCTTTGCGTTGGTTGACACACAACATACGGGGGCCAACTAATCGTCTGGTTTCGGCTGCCAGCGTGGTTGGCTGGGTGGTGCTTCGGTCGGTTGTGTTCCGGGAAGCTGTGGTGCTGGTGCCGAAATCTTTGAGAGGAAGGGGACGGGGAAGGGGAGCATGAGGAGATTGGAGATGTCGGGTCGAGGGAATTGAACGGGGAGGGGCGGGGCGGGGCGAGGAGGGAAGGGGAATCGTGGAGAGAAGGGACGGGAGGGATGGCGGAGAGTGAGGGGCCGACGGGGGGAGTAGGAGGTGGGCCGATTGATGGAGGGGAGGCAGGAGGAGGAGGGGGAGCGCGAGCGATGTTAGGAGGGTCATTGCCTCCGAGGAAGAGGTTGCTGGCAGGATTGAAGCAGAATGGATGGTTGGCGGCATCTAGTGGGGGTGCCCCTGCCGCAACTGTAATGGCAGGCGTAGAAGGGTTTAGTCTGGAAGGAGGAGGAGGAGGAGGGGGAGGGATGGGTGCCATGGCGGCGCAGGATGGGAGCGGCGGTGACCAAGTCGAAGCGATGGTCGAGCCTAAAGAGGGTTGTGTGAGTTGTGCTGTCCTGGAGAGCCCCGCATGGAGGAGACTCAAAAGGAATGGAGTTCTGCATCGATTGTGCAATTCTTGCGCGGTGTTGTGCCAGAAGAACTTTAACTGTCCCCTGTGCCTCTCAGTGTACCCTGATGTGAAGGACCCCGCCATTTGGGTGTCCTGCTCCCGTTGCCAGCGAGCGGTTCACATAGAATGTGAGAAGAAGAGAAACCCTTCGGCCATCATGGACTTCGGTGCCTACATTTGCCCGGAGTGTGTTCAAGCCAAGAAGTTAAAAGATATGTCGAATGGGGGCAGTGTTTTGGGCACCCGAGCTAAAGCGTGCGGAGGCAGAGTCGGGGTCAGTTGTAGTGTCGAGGCAGGGATCTGCGCATCGTCCGCCGCTGCCGAATGCTCTAGCCCGTGCAGCAAGAAAGCTCGCATGCAACGGGAAGTTCGAATTATCAAGGATGCGGACACGCACGAGCCGACGATCGAGAGAATCTGTTCCGAGGTCAAAACAGGATTGGGGCGCAAGGGCGTCTCGTCTCAAGAAGCCGCAGCGGCCGCGGCAGCGGCTGCTGCAGCCACGGCCTGCAGGGCAGCGCAGGTCGCCAAGGCTCTTGCGGCAGCGAAGGCTGCCGCGGCTGTGAAAGCAGCCGCGGCTGCCAAAGCCGCTTTAGATGCTGCCGCTTTGGCTGCACGAGCTGAGTTACAAGCTCGCGCCGAGCTTCGCAGGAATTCGGAGGGTAAGCACGATGCTGGCTACCTGAGGAAAGAGAAGGGCGAGAAGCCTGAGGTGATTCTGGAGGGTGAGAATGGTCATGGTGGTGCCCCGGCGGGGATCGATGACGAGGAGTTGGCTCGTCAACTCCATCGTGCCATTAACAGTTCCCCTAGAATATCACGTGGCGTTACCCCTCTCCGGCGAAAAGCAGTTCCTGCTGGATCCGGAGGGAAACCGGCCACCGAATCTGTCAGGGCCTGGCCTCGAGCTAATCCCGTTGCATCTCCAACCGAACAACGGAACCTGCCACAGCAGCAGCAATGTGCCAAACACCAACAAACGAGGCCTCGTTCTCTCGTTGGTGGTCACAAGGAGATCAAGCGTCTTGATTCTAGGGTTATGAAAAAGCCGGAGCACGAGGCTTGTCAAAACTCGGCCCATCATCAATCTACTATGGGTGTCCTTAAATCCGAGCCTGTTGATTCGAGTACTCTTTCTCACGTCAAGCAGGACTTCCCGACGGGGCATCACGATTATCAAAGTGCTCCGTTAGATGTAATGAAGACCGAAGGAGACTGCCAGTTTGTAGGAGTGTCCGAGGTATATTCAGGCGGGGACATGAATCACGAGATCAGGCTCTCGGACGCAGAAGTATCTCAGGCAGCAGCAATGTTGGATGAGGTACTCATGTCTGAAGAAGCGGAACAGCATGCAGCGGAATTAGACGAGGGCTGTCTAACGGGATACGTTGAAGGCGACGGTACCCGGCAACTTGATTCCCACTGCGCTGGGTGGGAAGTGGAAGGGGGTCCAGGTATGTTGAAGCACGAAGACGGAGCAATGGCAATCGATGCGGGAACAGACATGATGACTGTCACCATACCGCCTGGCGTCTCCGAGCTCATTCATTTGGATGAGATTAGTCATATAGAATCCACGAACACGGCAGATGGTGTATTAACGACAGATGGTCAGTGGGCCGTGAATGAAAGCGACAGTAGCCAAAAGGATTTCGTCGATGTGCAAGAGAATGCCAATCAAGTAGCTGAAGAAGGATCAATTCAGGCCGTTAAAGAAGAAGTCTCTGGTAAAGTAGGTAAAGCAAATCAAGAGTTGGATGGCTCACCTTCACAGCCCGTAGCCGGAGCTGCAGCTCACCGGCATCAAGGAGGAGCGAAGGGTTTGTCTGGCGCAGGGAAAGGATTTGCCAGCGGGGGACACTTTTCGTCACCTCCTTCCATTCCTACATGAAACTTCGCTGGAGCCATGGGAGTCTCATTGTTTCGCTCTCACTGACAGGTTTCTCGCTCACGTGATTTAAAGTCTCATGCCAACTCTTGATCTAGTCATTTAAGGTAGCAAATTGTATGTGAATAGTCGACTCTAGGTGAAGATCAGATCAGATCAATATACATCCTCTGTACAAATAAAAGCTTTGATACTACTACCCTTTTGGGTCGTTCACGCCATTTGTGTTTCTTCTGTGCCTCGGCAATTCTGACTTGTTTTCATCTTTTCGATCATGATTTCCGCTTGATGACTTTTCAAAGTTTTTCAAGTTACACTCCGATTAGAGGTATATTCCCTTTTCTTAGGAGACCACGATTTGGGTTATATGCCTTTTCTTAGCAGACCACGATTGGAGTTTTATTTCCTTTTCTCAGCAGACCGAACCCGGACAGGCGAATTGGCCATGCGAATTGGTCCACGCGCAGTCTTTTAGGTTTCCCAGTCTTCTGTACGTTACGCTCAGTTTTTTAATTCTTGAAGACGAATTGAGTGGGAGACTAGGTTTTCACCACAGATTCTTGTCCCGCCCAACTCACCAGAGTAGCTAGAAGAAGTATCTTGAGTAGGGAGTTCGTTCACGCTGTCAGTAGTTAGGGATTTCAATCCGTTTATATGTAATTACCCTCTTCAACCCTACCCTCATAGAATGTACAGGTACTCTTTTCCTACAACAGCATCACACAAGTCATGGACAAAGGTTTTTTTTACATGAGCACGATTGGCGATAAACCGTATTGTGCATTCCGAATTCTCCATAATCCGCCTAGACGACCAGATGTTTGGAGAGATCCTGGCTAACAGGTGTCAGCTGAACTAGAGACTGCCGAATTATGTAGAAATTACATCTCATGAGGACGTGAAACAGTGTTGTTGTGTGTATGCCCTCCCTGGAGATCACTGGCCTTCGTGATGGCTATGAATAATGACCACACACGTTCATGAGGAAATCTGGAAGAGTGTCGGTGAGCACAGTCAGGTTACATTCAGCACCGACCCTGACGATACGAATGTTCCATCCGTCCTTCGTCGAGTTCCACCCTTTCCGCGGAATCGGAGTTCAAGCTTACTAACCCCGTTGATCAAAGAAGTGCAGGAGTTACTCGGCACTTGCACTTCTCATGGCCGTCCATTGAACGCAGCAGCGCACAATAACCATTTTCGAGGATCGTTAGTACCAACTTCACACGGACGAAGTAAATGCAGAGTCGATTATGTCCCCCGCTTATTGCGCGCTAAGCGTTGTCTACACAGAAGCCTACGCATACATGGCACCTGCAACATCGTAGCGACCTTTGAAGGTCATTGAGGTGCTGCGGAGGTGAGCATATGTGCTGATGGGAACGGAAGTACAGTAGTCAGCTTAGAGTCCTTGTGGAATGTCCGGACCGGATCTCAGAGCAGGATCGAAAGGACGAGGTTCCCGAGGTGTCTGGCCCACAGCATTATGGTAGGATCCCCCACCGGATGGATCAGCCTGTCTCATTGAGACGTCTAACTCGAGTGCCCAGAAGAGTGTTTGACAAAAGGTAAAGTCAGGAGAGGCACGAGGGAGAAGTTGGAAGTAGTGGTGGTGCCCTTTGCTGGCCTTCGTGATCTACACTACTATTCTAGAGGGAGCTCCCAGAAATCAACCGCCAAGGCCCGAAACCTATTCGAACACGGGAATGATCAGAGTCAGATATGTACTAGGCGGAATACTACATGTCGTCTCGCTATTGGGTCTCCTCGACGGATTTGTGAGGATAAATCTCTTCATCGCTCCGGTGTTGCGAAAGTCGATCGACCCGAACTATTTTGGAGTATCCTAGGATTCGGCAAAGTGAGAGAACGACGTGAATTTCACCCGCAGGCATTTTTCTGGAATATTTCGGATATAATCACGGAGACGCTCATCGGCTCCATCAGGAGCAACCCAACCACTGCTCGTTGCCGACAGTCCGCCCACCCGCCCTCCCCGAAGCGCTCGACGCTCCGAGTGTTGATCTTTTTGCCACGCCTAGAGAAAGTAGGAGAGTACAGCAGCGACCTACATGACTCGACACTGTCGCTCGCTGAGAGCTCTCGAGTTTGCGAGGGGCAGGGGCGACAGAGTAACTATATCCCGTACTTTTACCGACCTCGCGGTGTCGCAGAATACCGCTCCCAGAGTTGTATTCGAGCTCCGCAACGACGACGCTTTTATGCGGCTCGACCCTTTTCGACGATTTAATCCGAAGCGCGGGGGCCCCACCGGCACCATCGCCCTTGAAAATCTCTCAACTCCTCTCTGACTTTCGTCAAGGGGCCCGAGAGCATCATCAGCCTCTCAGCAGCATCACGTCGAAGTTGGATGGAGTTGCGCCTTCATGAGAGAGCGAGCGAGCGAGCACAGGTGGCGGTGGCGCTGATGCTCATGGCCGCACAAGGGAACCCGGGCGCGCCTCATCCGCGGGGCCCACCGGGCCTCGCTCTAGTTCGTCCCCTAGGCCTCTCTCCTAGTCAAGTTAACTATCTTTCAACCATCTACTGCGCTCGGCCCCCAGCTGGAGCTCTCGTTTACTTCTTCCGGCCCACAGTAACCTCGTGAAACTGACTGACTGCGATCCAGGAAAGCTTGTGGTGAGACGGACCACGTCCCGGTAGTTGAAACATGCATGCGGAGTCGTCCTCCAGCGTGGACTTCGATCCGAGCCTTTATCTTTTGGCAACCGACAACGGGCCCGTCTTGTGAATCCGTCGGTAGAGAGCGAGGGCGTCTGGAAGGCCCTCTCTCCTCGAGTCATGGACGCACGCCGTGTCTCTGCTCCAGCTCCGTATCCACTCGGCAGTAAATTGACACCCGCTGCCACAAAGGCTCCTGCGGTCAGCTCTCAATTCGTCCAGAGTTCGTTGTCTCAATTCATCGGAGCTACGAAAGAGAATCATGGACGGGGAATATTTATGTGAATGATTCCCGGCGGTACAGAACGTGAAGGAAATCCGGAGCGGTGAAAGGTGAAAAGCGGAGGACGGGCAGAGGGCAGGGCAGGGCAGGGCAGGGCAGGGCTCTCGTCTGGTCTTCGCGTGTCTGTTGTGCATCGTAAGACGGACCTAGAGCGAGGCAGCGTTCTGACACCCGCACACATACAGACATCCCGGGGAGGATGATTCGCTCGGGAAAAAATTTCGCCCAGGGCCGGCGAGGCAAACTTAAAGAAGAAGACACGCTCGGAGGAAAATCCACGACGATGGGGCCAGCGCGGCGGGGAGCGTGGGAGGACGGATCCAGCAGGGCATGGTCTTCCGGTTGAGTCTGTTGAGCTATTCCATTGCCTTCCAATGGGAATGGCCGAGATTATCTTGGAGGGCGAGGGCGTTTTGACCTGTGGGTTCTCACTCGCCATACCGCTCGGCAAGGCTTTCCGTTCCAGGTGGAAATCCGCCAAGACCTGGGTCCACCGCCCTTCTGCCCCTTTTATATACGCGAATAAGATAGACAATTTATTTTCATGCCGAGATTTTTCGCAGCCACGAGATCTGCCAAGTTTTCCGTGACAGATGGGCATATCGGACAACATGTGTCCAAACAGGTCACTATCCGTATCTGTTCCTCCTTTATTTGTGACCCCTTTTTTTGTGTGGCCTGCTCTGGCTTGCGGAGCTCGTCCGCTTTTATTCCAGGAAAGGCCCGCTCCCGGCTTCAGAGGCGACAAGCCTTGAGGGCGGTCCTGTGGTAGAAACCGTCTGTTACAGGCCCGGGCTGCGAAATTCCCCCTTGTTGGTCGGGCAGGCAACGCTCCGAAAATAGCATATTCGAGTAAGCAGCCTCGGGGGGTTAATTCCCAACCACCCGATGCGAGCACCCATTCGCCCGAATTGGCCATGAGCGTGAGCTTTTTGCTTTTACCTCCAGCGCCTCGGCGCTGGCTGACGTAATCCCCAGCTGCTCGTCGCGGTTTATTACCGCGGAGGTCTAGAAACAACGGGATCGTCGTCCGATATTTTGTTGCTTCAGGACGGTGGCCTCGCGGTCCTATCACGCTGCCGCGGGCGCCCCTTTTATATCTCGCGGGAAAATTCAATCGCTGCCCGGATCAACTAAATGCATCTCCTCCTTGTATCAGAGCTGTCCCCTGGATTTTACACCAAAGTTGGGCCATACTGTAATCTCTCTTGTGGAGAGTTTCCGGCTTACCATGTGTCGGGTGCCCGTGGCCCGAGCCCGCCCCGAGAGGAAGTGTATTGGTCCCAAGTTTGGAGGTGCTCGGCAAGTCCCGTTTAGCGCCTTTTCTCGGGGGGTCGCCACGTTGGCGGTGCCTTGTTACACTCTTGTTACGGGGCCTCATGCATCATTAGCAGCGGCCAAGTTGCCGAGCTGGACATGACTGCAAAGCGTTGAATCGCCAATGGGAGGGTTTGTTTATGGAGCGCGATGATGTCGATGGCCTAATCGGCCTGCCTGCCGTGGATTATGTTGACCTTTTAGACGCACCCCGTCATAAAATACTGAGATTGGGCGCGGGTGCTGCCTCTTATCTTATACCGTGAAATCGCCCACCTGTGCACGATAGCAACACCACCTCGACATTCGAAAGCATGGGAAATGTGGCGAGCATCGAACGGCCGAGCATCATTAAGTCCTTTTGTGGGCTTGAGGTGCTTTTCATGTACACGTCTAATTTGGACTTCCAAATGTTGGTCCTTGCTTCGCTGAAAGGAGGGCTGACTAGCCAACATCGCCCTCGTCATATCTGCTGTGCGGCAATAGGAGGTGGTGAAAAGCGAGAGAGGGAGAGAGAATGAGAGAGAGAGAGAGAGAGGAAAAGAGTGTCGTAGAACGTATCCAGATTCGAGCCGGAGCCAACCTTCGTGTTTGAATGGGATGTGTGGAGCAGATCCCGTTTCATCATATCTTTCGGCAGTTCAAGTTCCCAGAGGATGGATACTCCAAACACATCTGCCTTCTTTGTCCGTTATACATGATTTGGCTAATAAGAATATCATCGAGTGAATGATGAAGTTATGACAGAGGGTGACCGAACACTTCAACGATTATGTTTCGGTGTCTGAAGTCTTCTTATTAAACCGAAGTTCTTTTCTTTTCTTTTCTTGAAGCTGGTTTCTCGTATTGAAGTCATTTTTTTGTACATTTATCCTCTAATCATGACAACACGGTGGCTGAACTCTCCACGCTTCATCGAGGGACTCAGGAGTCGAACATCAAAAGCACGCTATGTCACCTTGAAGCATTTTCTCGGGCAACTTTATTTCGCAGGATAGTGTCAAGTGCCCAATATTAGTCCGCGGATACGATGAAATACAAAGAAAAAATGGCTCGAACGCATTTTGTGCTGGTTTATTCTCAGAACCCGATAGTACGTACATCATGCCAAAAAACGAGTACGCCATGTCACTATTGACATGCAGAATACCAACTTGAGGAACATGGAATCCATCTGGAGGTCGTCTCTACGAGAGCGACCCGTCATCTCTCCGAGGCACTTATGGCATGGCTGTGGTGCCACTGGCGAGCACCGCTTCGGTCCTTCCCGAAAGTTACAATCGCTCGCAGCGAAATGAAACCTCGACTTTTCGCCGTATTCGGCCGAAATTATGCGACTCCTCGGCCGGAACAAGGAACAAGCTGGGCGGGACGAAGTCCGAGGCAGAACCTCTGCAAAGGCCCCGGAAGTGAGAGTTCCGGAGCGGTCAGCCCTAAGCTTAGGCTTAGGCTCGAGAGACCTAGCGAGGGGAGGGCGGGGCGGGCCGGATATAGCGACGGGGAGCTTGCGAGTTGGGCCGTCCTTGCTTCTCGGGAGCGCTGGACCCGAAAGAAGTCGAGCGGAGGAATAAAGAGCACTACCGGATCGCTATTCTCGGGATTCCCGTGTCTGACACGCCGGGAAGATGGCCGCGAAGTGGCATGCACCCCATTCATCCCCCCATGCGCTCGTAGGTCGGGGAGGCAGAGGATTTGCCTCATGTCCAGGCGATCGTTGATGGCTGATGGTTGTAAGCTTTCTATAAATGAGATGAATTAAAAGTTGCTCTTGATCGAGTCAGGGAATTGGATGGGTATCCTTGTCTCCGAGGGTTCTTGTATTTAACCTATTTCGGGCAATGAGTGATGGATAATTTGTCGTAAAGAGAGCATCGGACCGGGCTTCTTTCCGGAGGTGCGAGTTGTGATTGTCAAATTATTATATATTCTTTAAAAATTTGCTTTGAAAGGGTGGCAGGACTGGCGTGAGCAGTACACCTGTAACATTTCCATTGTCAGACATATGATGGCGAGGTGAGGTACACATGAGACGTCCCTGCTTCCACTCCATCTGGATTCTGGAGGAGGCCAACCACATCAAATGCCAATCATGATTAGCGCCATTCTGGTTTTCCTAAGTGCAGGCTCATCGTGATGGAGGCTGGCTCTGAAAGATTTGTCTCGTGTTGATGTCCTCTTCAACAGAGTTTGTTAGAGTCCTAGTTTTTGCCAGTGCATTTTTTGGGGCTATGGTTTCCGATCAAGATCCAGACAATGAATGAATCTCCGACACGCTGGAGGCAAAGCTTGGAAAACGAGGAGCAAAAAGGCGCAAAGGTGCAAAAGGAGGGAAGAGGAGGCATGAACAACCTCCTCTCCGCTGTTTGATGATGATTTTCACGCCACCGTTCTGAACGCGTTTGCGATTCGTCTTCTTCAAATACCCTCTTGCTTTATCAATTTTCAGAACATGGCAGGATTTTCAGAGCTTGGAGCAGATGGAGTAGAAAAGAGAATAGGAGTGAGCGGATTGTGCAGCCGAGAGACCTCTTCCTTGTGCTCTAAAGTGCGTAGTGAACAAACGGTGAGCAGTATTTGGAAAGGACATTCGGTTATGCTCACGATGTCATAAAGTTTGAGTTTGCCAGAAGCCATGACCTCGGAGTGATTGATTGAGTCTTATTTGCCAGTACAGTCATGCATCATGTAAGAGAAAAATTGCAAGAAAAGACCTCCTCCTGTAGGCTCTGTATCTTATAGATCGGGGAGTCAATATGAAAATTGAACGGGATCACTATATGATGTCATCCCCACTGAGTATTTTTCCCGAGCTTCTTTAAAGTGGACGAGAAAGCAGATAATTTTGTTTTATTCCTGGAGTAGGTTAAAAGGTTCAAATAAAGTATTGTCTGGTTCCTATTCGATACATGGATAGAGTAGAAAGGTGTGCAGGTATAATGAAAAAGGTATTTCGATGATAGGATCTCTTTTGGAAATGAAACAACCATTTTAACTGCTACTGCATGGGGCAAGCGGAACTGAGCCCCTCTGGTGAACATCCTGAAGCAGTGATTGTCAAGGCAATGTTATTGTACCCCACATGGAGTTCTCGGAAAGGCTCACCTTTTTCCACGAGTTCAGATGAAGCTCAAGGACCCAGCCTCCCTGTTTCATTTTTTCCTGAGCCTTGGACGATGATAGAGTACCTCTCCGTCAGGCGAGAAGGAAAGACATATCTTGGATTATACGCTATGTGTTGGAACCGAAACCCTCGAGGGCTGAATTTGGATCCTAGCCCTCGGTGGCGATGGCGAAATTAGGGTGCATACCACTCTTGGACACTTGCATCTTTGGTTTCTTCGTCTTCGGAAAGACCTGATTGAGGTGTATAACACTCTTACAGTTCTTTTGCATTGTTTTTCCCCTTTTTTTGTCAGCAGGCGAGGCTGTAAGGTTCAATCTCTTTGCAAAGTTTGTCTTCTTGAAAGCAAGCGCAGGCAGCTTGCTTTGAGGAACAATGTGGTCGTGAATCGAGCAAAATCCGAAACAGTGTAAAGGAGTTGGACAACACCAGTGAAAGTGACAACACGTCTGCAATATGAAAAGGGCATCATTCTTCATGTCAGAGCTTGTCAGGAATATGCCGCTTGGGCCTTCGCGTCATGCCCTTTTCCACCCAGACTGCAATCGAACGGCTCCAGCTCCTCGACTCGGACGGTGCTGTCTGCATGACTCACGTCAGTTCAATTCTTCCATGCAAACCTGAATCCATGGTCTGGAAGCGCAGGCTTCCAGTTCCACAAGGCAGTGGAGTGCACCAACGCTGTTCTTCCGCCAGCCCGGCCTCGCCGACCCGAAGTCTTCCTCCTGCATGTGTCTACCTCAAGGAAACGGCACTGAGTGCTCATTGCGTATGTTGACCAGCTTCCCTTCGAACATGCTCGGCCGCTTTGATGATCCACCGGAAGTGGTAACAGGTAGTGCGTGCGGCGTGGTCAAATGGTCTCTCTCATAAGTTACGGCCATAGAGCCGAGGGGAATTGGAGATCTAAAATACCCTAGCGCTGGCCCTGATATTTCACCGCATATGCACCCACCGCGCGTACCGAGCAATGGAAGCTGGCGAGACAGAACTGTGGGATGAGATCATTGGAGCAAAAATCCTCAACTGTGGATCTGAAATTCGAGTTAGTGATGAAATCATTGGTGCCGAGAGAAAGAGGAGAGTTTTTTCTCGTGGCGACGACTCGTACGGATGGCACAAGTTTGGTTGTCAGAGGTGGAGCATGATAGGCTCAATACAGTTCCGCAGCCCGCTCGGAGACCCAGGTGAGGGCCATAGAATCTAGAAAAACCTACAGTCCAATCTTTCCTCATGGAAGGATCTTCTACCTATGCAGAGGATAATTTGGTCCTCTGTAAGGGGTTCGTTTCTGAGTTCGGCACTGTCACAAATACCAAGGAAGAGCCGCTGATTGAAGTAATAATGCACAAGCACCTGCTAGTGAAGTAGAGTGGAGCTCACTTGACTGCAAAATGATATACAGGAGATAAATTGCTTCTTGTATTCTCGTAAAATGGGTGATAATATACATGAGTGAAATACAACTAAGACAACTGCTAAGATTGCTCGAGTGTGGAAGAAGCTGAAAAATTTTGGGGGACTGCTGATGCTGGACACCCGCTGCTAGAAGGCCCTAGAACGCTGATAGAACCATCACTCGCACTATAGCTCTTTATAACTCCATTTTCATCCACTGTTGTCAACGATGGTACATCTGTGACAGGAATCACCGGCGCCCTAGTTCTGTGCGTTACTGTCATGTGAAGGCCATTTGTTGTATGAATCGTTGCTCCTGTAGTCATGGACACCTGATCACCAACGACATTCAAGAAATTTAGCAGACATTTTGGATGTAACGCAGTGCAATTCCAATTCTATCCACACGCTACGACAGCCTGCAGTGAGGAACAATACTTAGGGGCTGGAAGAATTTCGCTCTTACTGGTGGGGCTCCAGCTGCAAGCTCGAAGTTGAACCGCCTTGCAAGCATGGCAAGGGCAGTGACAACCTGCAACAAGGTTTGAGACGAGGAACTTAGAGGAGCACGAGAACGATCGTGTGCAAACTAGAGCCGCGGGTGCCATTTAAGATTCGAGATCAGAATGTAAATATTGCACTCACCTCATATGTGGCGAACACATCACCCACACACTTGCGAGGTCCTCCTCCGAAAGGGATATATCTGGACTCAGTTGTAAAGTCATAAGCTATACGTTTCGATGGTCAACACAGATTCTTCAAATCTACTGTCAGAGATCCTTTTAACTTCCTTCATCTTGCAGCATACAGACTGCATCGAGTCGCCACGAACTTGACCTTGAGTTACTTAGACAGCTAGAGTTTTGACAAGAGTAGTAACTATTTTGTAGCTGGTACATCAGTACAGAGGACTTCAAGGCGAAGATCCTCATATGCCAAAGAGAGGTGAATCCACCAACTAGAGAGAGACGTCTTCACCCATTAAGTTCAAAAAAAAGATCTCGGACCAGTTGGTAACGGAAGAGTGCCGAGCCACCAAAATCTGGTTGACGACAATGTGTATAGTGGCTTGCCAGTACAGGACACTAATGCTCTCAAATTTACAATTCCAAACAGCTGACATCTAACATGATCACATCTTCAGACTTTATAACGAGAGAAGATCCTTCAAAACAATTCAGGGGCAAATACTACACCAATTGGGAGACCTTGAGACCTTTACCTGAAAGCTTGAGAAGCCTCAGCGGCTGAATACGTGTCCCATCGTTCTGGTTGAAAGGCATCAGCATTCTCCCAAAGTAGCGGAGACCGGTGAAGATTCCACACCGAGATAAACAAGTCTTCACCTCTGTAATGATGACATTCCAGTAAAATTGTTAAAAAAGCGTGAGGGCTAAAAGCTGATCTGGTGTATAGTACACTGCAAGTATTGAATAACGTACGTATCTAGAAAGGTAAGCTAGAAAAGAAAGAGGTGTACTCTTTAACAAGGTATGGGCCAAGCATGTCGTCCTCCATAGTTCGGCGAATCAGCACTGGTGGCTGCGGGTATAACCGCATAGACTGAAATAGACAGACACACACAAAAAGACCACTTCAAAATTACAGCTTTCAGTCATGCTCTTAGTATGCACTATCACAGGACAATTGAGGCCTATTCATATTATAAACGTCATCGATAGTCTTCCGGGCAAATACGAGGCAAATCAAACCTCATTAATGATGTTTGTCGTATATTGTAGCTTCTTCATATCATCAATCGTTGGTGCACGATCTCCCAGCACTGCATCTACCTACAATGGCCACGACAGCAATGAGTACGCTCTGGGGCTTCGGGAATCTGTCATGGACATCAGTTAATCAGCACCACTTAGAAAACATAGCGAGCTTCCTCAGAAATATGCAAGAGGCTATCCACACAATACCCACGAAACGGTGTCTGTATGGAGTAACGAAACAGTGAGGTTCTTCAAAAAGTTGTGTGACGAAAGTTCACCTCTCTTTGGAGTTTAGCCGTCACCGAAGGGTTCTGCATTGCATCCGCCAAAGTAGAATGAGAGTATAACTCGAGGATAAGTCTACGCTCAGTTGATCAAAGCATTATCACAGGATTCTAACCGAAAATAACTGAATGAGGAGAAGATGATTTACAAACTATTAGGAACACCATACCATTGATAGAAGGTAAAACGTCCAGGTGAGGACAGCTGCTGATGTCTCATGTCCTGCTATCAACATTGTCATCAAATCGTCGCGAAGCTGCTTGCTTGTAACCTGGAGTTCAAATAAGAAGGGCCACTCCGCTCTCAGTTTGTGAATACCTAACACGTGACTTTACTCTAAAGCAGATGAGCAGAATACAAATTACTCTTGTTAAAAAAGACATAAATTAACACGCGCAGAGCCTGTTTCACGGCATAAGTTTAAACATTCTGTCCTTTGCCTTCCAACAGCTTCGAAGACTTTGGGCCGAGAGTTGTCCCTGCAGGTCTGCTGTCTAGTCCACTATGTAGTCGGCTCTTTCTAGATACTCTCTAGACCACTGTTGGTTAGAAAATGAGATATACGACTGACCCTCATTGGATGGAAGACTGTACATATCGTGAGTCAGCACGAAACAGTCGGCATTGCACTGATTTCATCTCTTCGGCCCCTTGAGAATCTCAGAACGGAAGTTGATCATTTGCGTCTAGTCTTATGTGAGCGTTACATTGTACTGTGAATTTTCTTCCACTTCTGAAATGGGATGAGGAAATCACTCTCACAGTTTTGCAATTATACTCAACTTCGAATATTGTCGCAGGTTAGGCAAGCAACCCGATTTTGTCAACGGCTACGTGACGAAGCTGGATCGAGCTACGGATTCCTGAGACAGCAAAGGTTTCTAGTTGCTGGAGAAAAAATGCTGGCCCGGTGAGGCCTGATCTTCTTGGTCCACTTCACTTAACAACGACTTTATACTTCGGGAGAGCTGTCGCTGTTGGAGTATGCGACCATGTACGAGCAATGCTATATTCAAGTCAGACTGAACCTCGACTATCACCTCGAGAAATGCCCATGGGAGCCTTGACATCCTATATCAGGAATGTGTAGCCTACAAGAAGAATGATAGATTCAGCAAGAAGTAACGAAAGATCCAAGTGTGAGAGTTATGAGATGAAAGAGCAGTGCACTTGCCTCGTCTCCAGATGCCAGCAAGAAATGGAGTATGCTTGGATCGCGCTCACTGATGTACTCCTCATGAAATTCGTCGTCTTCCTCTTCAACTATTTGCTGTTTGAAGATGAAAACAATAAGACGTTCATATTCAAGGGTATCAAGTGGATCATCAGTCAAAATCATGATCTTACGTATGCTACAAAAAATTATTTGTTGAATATATACTCAAGAAGTCATGGATTTATTGCAACAAGCTTGAGTGGGAAGGGGTAACATGGGCAAGTGAGGTATTGCACATCAATAACGTGAACTGAAGGCCTTAAAGTGCAATTTATCCGAATATAATGTGAGTACAAACCTTGCACTTGTCAATCAACGAGTCTAGGGTGTCGTTCACAACTTTTAGTGCTTTGGCAACCCTCCTTTGTCGAGGATCAATGGCAGCCAGAATGGGGATTTTCCAGTAAGGAAATATGCCAACACTGCGATCTTCGGCTTCTCGGAGCGTGACATACACAGCCTGCCGAAGGCCGCATATTTTGAAGTCAGCGGGCGTAGAGAGAGTGCAAAAGAAATAGGACAGAACTAGCAATTAAAAACTACAGGTACGGTTGATGCACAAGCCAGAGTCGACTGGTCCCCTCAAGGTACTAAACGAATCATGTTTGACGGTAATCAAAGCTTTCTCGAGTGTTAGTACCTCCACGATGCCTGTTTCATTTGAGAGAGAATCGAAATCATAATTGAATACTGCTTTGCCGATGACATCCAAAGTAAGACGTGAAAACAATCCTTCCATTTCAACGTCGTCCCCATTACTCGCGGCTGTGTCCAACTTGTCACAGAGTCTGATGGTGCTGTCCCCAAAGAGACTTAACATAGCTGTCACGAACTGAACATGCACCCAGAGCTCCACTCAGCTTCCAAGCTAAACGTGAGAAAACCAACGACAGTGACATAAGCAGCTTGTCTTGCTGCAAAAAACAGATTAATCTGTATAATAAACATTTGTTCGAGTCTCCCATGCATCGAGAATTTGACCTTTTTATGTAGAGAAGGTACTATCGCCCGACGTCGAACTCTCCAAATCTCGCCATCTGCTGGAATGAGCCCCGTTCCCATGACAAACTCAAGAATCTCTGCCAATATACCCTGCGTGGTTCCAAACGGAGCCAGAATTGCATTATATTTTCCCTCCAAGCCAAAGATTCCAATGCTTTCATCTAAGTTTGATCTGTCCCGTGGCAGCACTTCAAATGCAGCAATTGCTCTCGCTGACTTGCCAGAGAGCTAATAGTAAATTGCAGTTGCTTGCAAAATTGGCGGTGAGCTCTACCTTGGAGTAGGACTTGGCATTGTCCTTCAAAATTCGCTTGGTAATCGTCGGATCTGAAACGATGACAAAGGACTTGCCATTCCAACCGAAACATCGAGATCAGCTGAAAGTATATGTGGGCAGACAAGAGGTATCCGCTCATGAACCTCCACTTGAGAACTCTACAAGGCGCCCAAATTGGAATCTTTATAGCAAGTGGAAGTTGTGATGATATACCTTGGGTCCAAAAGATAAGCGGAAGATGCCACCGTAGGTCCTAAATAAGGTGAAGAGAGGGACAAAAAATGGTTGACCAACGATTTTCCTGACATCTCCTTTAGCCTCGGGCAATTTCTTAAGACTCTCTTGCTTCAACCTTCTCTCGTAATTGGCAAGAGCGAATGATAGGAATCTTCCAGGGGGACCACCGTTGGCAAGTGCCTGACGAATGTTTGCAAACTTGTCCTTCCTGCGTTCAGCCGAGACAACGTTGTTCAGTTACACTATGCCCGGGAACAACCAAGGCTCTGCTCTTTCTCATGGCTGCTCAAGGAATCCTAACTTATCCACGCGGGATGAGTGTAATAAATCAGCTTACTTTTTCGCAGCTGCAACTGTGAACTCTCCAGATGCAATCCGAGAGGCCAATTCTTCATCAGTACCTTCCGAGCTTAAGACAGAGCCATTGGCGGAGGTTGAAGAATCAGGCGAGTTTTTCTCTATTACTGCCACTGTAGTTCGGCGACATTTCGCAGTAGCTGAGACACAGTTCCATGAGACGAAAAGTCAGCTCTTGCAAAAATGACTTCTACCGCCGCTAGTAATTCATGTCGAGCACAGATTTGGCGTAGGAAAACGGGGAGTGTCCATCATCTCCTTCCCTCGTGTCCGAAGGAGGAGAATATGATTTTACCATATGGGATGATTCCTAAATATTGGTATTTAGGAAAGAGTCTCTATACGCGGGGACGATTCAGCCGAGAGGAGAGTGAGGTCTGTCTCTCAGGGTATAGGATACGAGGGCCGATGTTAAATCTTTCCTGAGCACAATTTCTGCTTTTGTCCAGTAATCCACACCCATATCCATGCTGTTCACTCCTTACTACTATGTCCTTCCATTCGTAATTGGGTTTCTTTGTAACGTCTCATTAGGGTCGATTGAAGAGAGATTTGACAGATTGTGACGAGGGCTGTCAATCCTCTTCACATTCTTCTCATCCAGCACTGTAGTACCCAAATTTCGTGCGACAGTTTCTTAACCAGAGCGAGACGAGAAGAGACGAGACTCGACGGAGCTGAAATCCGCATTCTCAGGCTTCTAACCAAGATTCTCGATTACCATGTACCCGAACTCTATAAAATCAGTGAGGAACAGGTTCTGCGTTGTGCCCCAGGTACACAAAGATGAGCACAATTACACCTGGAGAGATCAACAATTCAGCACTTTCCAGTTCGAGGAGCGGAGTGGCAACTCACAGACTGAGCTCCGACGACATTTCACGATATTCTGGCCCCAGAGACTGCTTTGCAGGCGAACATTGGTGGCTTTCTGGAGTCTGGGCTCCACAGCGGAGCCGGGGGGTCCAGAAAAACATGAATTGCTCAAGCTCGCTCCGGCCGCTGCTATGGAAGCCATCGCACCTTCCTCTGCCTGATGAAATTACCGAAGGAAACGCCAAAAACCACTCTGCTCACACCTTCTCCAGCTCCATCAAACGCCCAGTGCCCCGACACTCGATCCGCAATGCCAGTCTGCTCTCTCGCACTCCAGCCCGGCGTGAAGTGAAGCCCGGGGCTTCACAGCAAGCAACGAGAGCGAGGGCGAGCGCAAGGGATTGGTCGCTTATAGAGCTCTGGGCTGCAGGCGATCCCGGGAAAGCCCCGCAGTGGACAACAGCCGGCGGACTGTGCGGATGATGGTGCAGTGCGGACGTACGCAGTTTGCAGATAGGGTTGTGGTAAAAGGTCGCCATGCTGAGGAGAGATCTAACCGGGAAGAAAAGCTGCAACATGGTCCCTACCACAATAGCCACGTGGGCGACCGGCGCCACGAACGACCCGTGAGGTCATGAGCAGCAGCCGCGCAGTGCAGCCCCCACTGAAAACCCCCACATCCTTCCGCCCGCAAGGCGCCAAGGATGAATGACAGAGTCAGCATCGAAGTCATGACCGCACGGGCGTCGGATCATGATGGTCTGACTTGTCGCGCTTCGACCCGCTCAATGCAATCCAGTCATAACATGCAACTCAATAATTTCCTACGTGGCACTCGAGCCACAAGCCGAGCGAGCAGCCTCCATATCCTCTTCCTCCGAAATGCGGAGCTTCTCTCCGCATTTCTATTTCCAACCTCAGCTTTCCGTCAGGGCCCTTTTCCCAGATCTTTTCCGGACAACTAGGTCCTATGTCAGACAGTGTCAGGACTACGGTGGCTGCACCGACCGAGTTGGTGCCCGGTTACCGCATCCCTGCCCGCCCCGCTCCCACCACGCTGATTCGCGGCCGCCAAGAATCCAAGACGTAATCCAAAATTTGAACGGCTCCTTCAGGATCCGTGCCGGGAGCGAGCCCCTGTGTGCCTTCGAGCGGCCTCCTCCAGATTTGACTCAGCCAGGCACGGGGCGGCTCTGCTTTAGAAGATCGCAACCGCCCCTGCCCCCAAGAAATCTTGGAGGCTTTCGAGGCTTTCGAGGCAAAGGCATTCGATAAAACTGATGCTCTTGCATCATCGACACCAGCTGCAAACGTCTGCCTCCCCGCATCAGAAACGCGAGTTGTGACGGTAGTTCTCTCCGCTGGAGGTCTTTCTAAGCCTCGTACCAAACACTGCTGCTTCCTTTCGTATGGCTGGAGTATCTACTCGCATGAGGGACAGACTTTTCGAATGTTTGTTGGTATGATCTGAGTTTGGATTGTTGCTCCCTGTGAACGATGATCTTTTTCTCGCACTCCACACTGTGTGCTTTCTTTACCATGTTTTTGAAGCGGTCGAAAACTCAAGAGTTTTCATGGTACATACGTAAATACGTATTTTACATTCTTCCCTCATTTGGACGAATCCTTGTTTCTGTTTATGTCGAAATCCTCGTCGTACATACTTCAGAGGGCATATCTTCTAGTGGACTACTGGGGACGCGGGGGGCTGTTTTCACATCCGTTTTAGGGCAGTAAAATGTCGTTCTGGCTGTGAATGAAGGCTTTCAGTTGTCAGCACATCACAAGCAGCACCAGGACTGAGGAAGGATATGATAAACAAAGGTCGAAGACAACAAAGGGAGACAGGACGACGAGGAAGGGCACGAGGTTCCGTTTCTATTATTATTGTATTATAAAGTCAAGACGCCGTTGAGCTTCACATATTCAATCATGAAAAAATCCGCACATGGCTAATGCTCACTACACTCGGGGCCCGTGCTCCCTGCTAGAATAAGTTGTATTGACTTTAGCATGTATTATACTCCAACTATTGCCGAGTAAGTGCTCTCGTCACCTCTCGGTTGGATTACAAGGATTGTTGATAGACAAGGTCTCTCAGCAACTAAATCATACTGAAGTTCAACATACATGCCATAAAATCAGTTTCGCTGCTATTAGGCGACTTTTTGCTTCTTTATGCAAACGAATTGACTCCACTGTATGAGTATTTACCATTTACCATTAGCATAAAGTCGAAGATGAGTGCGGGATCTTCCTCCTTCGATATGGAATGATCTGAGTCTCGTGTCTCCCGTTTATCGTCTTCAACCTTAGTTTTATCATATCCTTACTCAGTCCAAAACACAAAAAAACCACTGAGGCCTACTGTCTTCGTCATGTGTCGTCCGACTGTCCTTCATAGACCGTCCCTCACCTAGCTACACAAAGTTATTTAACTCTATCACCCATTCAGGTAAAGTGGGCCACTCTCGGATTGCATTTTGTTATTCTTTCAAACTAAAGCTGCGAAGTGCTTCACCGGCCGCGATCAGACTCTGTTCAGAATTAGAATCAGACTTGCCCGTATCTTTGAGATTTCCAATATGTACCATTGGTGTCATACAATCAGTCATTTGTCTGTTTTATTTTCTCACCTCCATCGGGGAATTTCGTGTGTCAGCCAGCCTACAGAAGTGGTTCAAACCTTGCAAAGCCTTCAAGAGACTGAAAACTTAGACGAGACATTGCAGTCGCTAAACCTAAAGAACTAAAATAATCGCTCCATGCCAAGATGAATAAAGTCGATGCTTCAGGTCCAGGATATGCTTGCAGCACAAATAGCTAGTCCTTGACAACGGTGTTCTTTGCAGAGTGAACAATGTGGACATCAGAAGAACCTACGTTCTTGTGGAAGGAGAAACATGGGTTTCACCACACTATGTAAAAGTTCTACGAATCTCTCACTCGGCGTATCGAAGGGCTTCAGATGTTCAGATTTTCAGATTAACCTTCCGTTCACGCTGTATATTCGAAGGACTCGCCAAAATTACTACAGAGCGGACCTTTGTCGGTTCTCTATCAAAGAGGACCGACAAAGGTTACTCCTTCCCCAGATCATCTCTCTTCGCTCAAGCTTATGAGATTCCCGGACACAAGAAGCCCGTACTGAGGGGTGACTCTTCGTCACCTCCATTCCGCTCGTAATCTGGTGGGCCACTGCAAACCGTACGGCTCCTTGAGCACTAAGAAATCTGTTTCTCAAACTCCTTATCCTGAAAAGGATGCTACTTCCCATTGATTGTCTTGTTCAAGCCTAGCGAACAAATCTCATCAACAACCCCTACGCCCTTCTCCACCTCGTAGCTCAAATTACAACTTCCAAAGGTCTCAGGCTCTCAAGACCAGCTGGTTACTGTTTGTATAGAGTGACATAGAATTAGTGCGTACTGTGTTTGGTGCATGCACTTGCCGAGTAAGTGCTCTCGTCACCTCTCGGTTGGATTACAAGGATTGTTGATAGACAAGGTCTCTCAGCAACTAAATCATACTGAAGTTCAACATACATGCCATAAAATCAGTTTCGCTGCTATTAGGCGACTTTTTGCTTCTTTATGCAAACGAATTGACTCCACTGTATGAGATGGCATTGTACTCAATGGTTTCTCCTTACAACACTGTCATCTCACTGTTGTGGCTCATAGCCGGAACTAATATTTCGATGCAATGATGCAAAATGTACCATGCCAGTGCTAAAACTGCACCGGTCCCTTCGCTGTGGCACAGAATATTATGGTGATGATGAAAGTTACAGTTATAAACTGTTGGACTCAACACCCAACCAAACACGGCCAAACGCCACGTTTCATTTGACTTTGTTAACTTCGTTATGAAACGTTCAGGTACAGAAACGATCGTTTCTGTACCTGACTACCGACGGCGTGAAACTTTGTCCTGCGACACGTCACGGCTACAAAGTTTTCTGTTGGATCTTCGCAGGCGACCCAGGCACCTCTAATTTTCTCCCGAGCTTGAGCAAGAACCATTTTTCTTATCTGGAGAACGTGGTCGTTGGGCAGATGAAGTTTGCAAGCACGATGGAGCACTGATACTGATACTCCTGCAAGACAGAGACTTATTCTGGCGTCCTTGCGACAAACTTGTTACATTTATCATATGTGGGATTTGGAGCTGCTTCTCCGAGAGTTGCCAGATGCTTTTTGAGTCTTGACCCATTTTTTAATACTCTCCCGATGGCATGGCAGGGACGCTGACAATCGAAGGAGATCCGCCTGGAGGCTCAAGCTCTATAAGTGCATGCACTAGGTTAGAGTCGCGACGTGGAACATGGAACGAATATCAAATTATGTGATGCCGTGCGGATATTGCCTTCTAAATCCTCCCGTGCTGGTGTGGCCCGTGCAGTTCTCTTGTGGAGAGTTCATTCCTTCGGAACCAAACTGACCCGTCGTTCCAAAGTCTGTTCTGCCACACCTCACACCCAAAATACAAATAACTGTTTCTGAAGCTCACATTAAGCAGCTTCAGCACCTTCCGTCCCAGAGTCTGATTTCACCGTAAGATTGCCTAAAGGTTTGATTTGAGAGTTGGTGAGGAATATGTAGTCCACCATACTTGTTCCTGTGCAAACGATTCTTACCTGCACTGTATCGATGTACTGCTCAGCAACACCAAAACCTGTCTTCACAAATGTTTCGCCCAGGCAGCTAGTTGTAGGTCTTGATAGCCGCAGGCCTGGGAAGTGTTCACGTAGGCTAGTCCAAGTGCAGGACACCGGGGAAAATCAATTATAAATCAGTAGATTGCTTCAAAGAAGACGATAAATTTGATGTCGTATTATACTACTGAACATGGGTCCTCAGTCAACACCTGTTGTGCCAGCAGTTTTCTTGAACGCTGGAAAGCTGAAGTGTTTCTTTCGTCCTTGGGGCCGTGTATTCCTGTCATTATCCTGCTTATCCAAGCTTGCTTTCCCTTTCAATCGAATGTCAATGCTTGGGGCAGTTGGCTGTGAAGGAGAGAGGGGCACGTGAAATGACCTCATATTTTTCAGTAGCCTGCATCACTCAAACGGAAGATCAGATTCCATTGGACCGGATTGACATGTGCGTCGACCACCTCGGCCGTTTTTTATCTTGAAGATTCTGCTTGCGCTCGTCACGACATCCCTCCGAGCTTTGAATAGGGCGGATTCTTGCTCCTCTTCCTCCATGTAAGCTTATGACTACGTTTGGATGAAACGTAGTCATAAATTGTGTAGAAATTCTTTATGACCTACTCACGGGCGAGTTCTGATCAAACCATAAGGATCAAACCTGCCCCACCTGTATCCCCTGTGCTGTGGCCGGTTGGCATGTGACCTCTAGAGCTGCTCGTGCCTGAAGGATTTGATTCGAGACGTAGTGTGAGGATGCACCCGCTGGCTAAACGGACAGAAAGATTCCAGTGGTGCACGCAGTTTGAAAATATTTAGCCTGAGTTTGGGTGCTTAAGTTATGACTGGCATGACATTAAAGTGGAGTCGAGCCTCAAAGTGGAGTCAATAATCTACAATCCTTCAGAGCGATCCACATCGAGATGCTGCAATTTGAATTGTGCGTCCCATGGATGCCTGCCTGCTTGCCTTACTGCCTGTATCCATGCAGGCGAGCACACATTGAAAAGGTGACTTGAGTCATCTGAATTGTGTTTCGAAGAATAAACTTCCCTAAATCTGAATTCAAGAAAACTTTTACCAAAAAGTGCACGAGAAGATTGAAGTTAAGTAATTGTCGTAAGGATTAGTGAACTTTCAAGTTGGTCTTACTCTTATTCGCAGAAGACAAAGCACAAAGTAGTCTTACTCTTATTCGCAGAAGACAAAGCACAAAGTATAGAGCAGAATTGCGTGGTGCGAGAACCATCCAGCATGTGAGGATGGAATTAATAGAGTCACGGCTACGATGACATAGGCACCCACAAGCATAGGCACCGACAAGTATGAGCAAGATCAGAATTTCGAGTGAGCTTTGTTGAAAACTGTTGCAAACCTGAATTGGATAGGGTATCTTCTCCACATGCCACATAGACTAAATCCTCTAACTATGCTCAACGTCGTGCAGACTCCGATGGATCGTACACACCCTCTCCCAATTATGGTCAACTAGATCGGGAATGTAGAAATGAATGAGTATTTCTTCTTTTCACTTCAAGTCAACTTGCATGCTAATGCTCAGAGATCATATATGTATATAATAATAATTCGACATACCGTAGTCATATAGGGGGTGTAGCTCACATGGTAGAGCGATCGCTTTGCATGCGATAGGCACGGGGATCGATACCCCGCACCTCCACGTTCGTTCTGTACACATTCATAGGGATTGTTTTGTTAGCGTACTCAATCAGAGAACAGAACATAACTCTGCCATAACTACTCAGAAGCAGAGAAAGTAAAATATCTGGGAAGATCCCATCAAGTGGATGATGCAGTGGAAATACATTATACCAAAAATGGCATGATAGTGTTCTACCCGTGAACAAGAGTGATAAATCACTGTGTCTCAGGTGGTGTCTCCTCTGTGGTAAACATGCAAATAATTAGAATGATAGCACTACAATCCAACCACATCTGCAAAGCAAAAAACAAATTAGTCAAGAAAAAACCTACCATGGGGCCAAGAAAACTAACTAGTCTCCTCGTGACAAATCACTATGTCTCCAGCCGCATCTGTGACGTCTACTACATGCAGTAAGGGTATTATTACCCATATAGTCCATGTATGAAGTTATTGTACATTTGAAGTGGATAGCGAAAAATATAAACAAATTCCTACAATCCAAAACTTCAACGGAAACCGGGGGCTAGGCCCCGAATGTAAATACCGTCATCCAAAAGGAAATGTTGTGTAATGTATTAAAACTAGTTGTATATAAGCATCCTTAGGGAAGTGTGATACCAGGCGAGATGTAGACTCTGAATGTCATGGAAAAGGGAAAGTACACCTTTTGCTTAAGAGAGATGAAGCCCTTTCTTAGCATTTGGAGCAGCAACGCATGCATCTTAGCGACACATGGAGACATAGTGATTTGTCAGGAGATAAATGTCTAACATTCTCCTTTTAGCCTTTGCTTTGTAATAATATCGGATATGGCTATTTATGACACTTTCTATTCCATGCAACTATTATTTCCTCCTTTCCCGAGTACCTTATTTGATTCGGGGTTCTTTGAACTGAATGTTGCAATAAAGACTCGTTTCGATTCATGAAATGAGTTGATACACTTACTCTAAAAGCTGAGCTATGAAACATATTGCTATGGTCATACATCTTTAACCCAAGTGTATCTGAGGCGTGACATTGCAGCTTCCTCGACGTTGTATTTCCTTCTTAACTATTTTGCAGATTTTGTTGGCATGCTAAGTCATGTCGCAGCGTTGAGGTCACCTCAGAATTGGACAGCTCAAATCATCTTCCCGATGTATTATTGTTCCTTCCCACTCACTCTTCATCTGTACACCTACAAATGTTCACATAGAGTATATTTCATGTATGTGTTCAAGTATAAATTCAGAGCAGCGTCCAAAACTTCTCTTAGTGACTAGCTGTCTTTTGTACAAAGGTCACAAATACTCAATGTCAATGCCTTCCTGATAAAAAAATGCGTATACCAGGAAGACATGCCCTGCCAATTGGAGCAACATAAGGTAACCTGAGTAGCCTAGTCGTCGGTTCTGCGTTGCTCGAAAGCTCTTCTGAAATCGTATTATTTAAGGTAATAATATTCAGGTCTGATCATACTGGTTTGAAGCAAACAGCATGACCTCCGCAGCAAACGCAGACTCTACTGATTATTACATGCGCAGAGACCAATTCAACATTCCGCAGTTAGATGGTTTGACGATTGCAATCATATGAACGAATGCATGGAGTGCCGCTTAGGTACCAAGGTATCCTACTATTTGAAATCTTCCTCAATGCTTGAGATATTTATTTCCATCTCCTATTTGTCATACACAAAGCCCTCGCTTAGTCCTCCAGGAAGGATGGGTCGGTCTTACTGGCCTTCAAACCTCCTGCAGTCCGATCTTCAAAAAATTAACTTCCTCTTAGATGCCCGAGCCAGGATTTGCTGTTGAAACCTGGTCTGAGGTTTGAGGTGACTTTGCAAACCAGCACTCGTCACCTTAAAACTATCCATCGATGCATACGACTGTCATGATTCCTCGATATCCGAACGTCAGTCTTAATTGAATCAAACACGGTTTGACTGCATATGATGTGAATCATATTTGCGGAGCTCTCGTGCTTCGTGAATTGAATAAGCGTGTGGCTTCAACTCACTGTTACCAGAACTTATGGAGGTATGTTTGACCTTACATCACCTAACATTTACAAATATAGTGTTGACTCTGAAAGTTCTAAGATGCTGGCTACATCAAATGTTGTGCTCAATATTTCTCGTTGGTTCATTGACCCAACTTTCCTGCCCTATGACTCCACACACCTCATCCCTCCTTTGTAAATACATGAGTTGAAACAAAAAGCTTTGTGTGGACGTGAACTTGTTCCTCCTCCCTCGTGTTGTTACTGCAGTCATCCGTTGTCTTCAATCCTCAAACTAATTCTTCCGGTGTTTCCAAAGCATTGGAATCAAATGAATTTTCACTCATTGGCACACAGACTAGCATACACGACATAACACTGCAATTCATTCCAAGCTCTCTTTCGGTGAATTCTAAATCTTTGGCATTCCATTCTTGAGAAGAGAAAGTCTTCCACGTATTCATGGATAGAAATTAGATATTCAAGTGAAACTCACTCTCTAAATCCTAGTGTTACAATAGTAGATCATGTTTGATCATTTGTCTTTGGTAAAAAAACAAAATTTAAACTTAGATCCATTGATTCTTCTGTGAAATTAAAACGTGTTCATAAAATGTCATACAAGTTGTACTTTCTATCACTTATAAAAATATATTTTGTACTTCATGTGTTTATATTGCAAATACATGTATCACTACCAAACTAATGAGCACTAGTGATCACATCTATGGCTTTGTTACAAGCCGAGACATTTTTGTACATGGTAGAAAGCATTGCAAATTAAGATACAATTTCGTCAGTTTCAGAGGGAGACCAACTACAATCAAGACAAAACTTCTGTTGGATAATAATGTGGTTGATATCACGACCTTTAGATATTACCAATTCAAAAGTATATACGGATGAACAGTCCAGATCATTATTTGATCCGCGTTCATCTTGCAATGCTACGTAGTTCATAAATCCATCAACAATGTCAAATTTTAAAAACGCAACGTTGCAAAGAAGTACTTTTGAATTTTTTCACTGAGATTGTTGATTGTAGTCAGAGAAGAAACCCAAGATCTTCAATGAAGCCAATGATGTCATTTTAGAAAACAAAAGTAATTGTTGCGAATGACATAACTGAATTCGTCCACATTTTCAAAGTTGGAATTGCGAATTGCACTGATCTTGAGTAGTAACCCACCAACTGGTAGTTCAACATGTGTTTGTTCTCGGCTAAGCGTCAATCGATGACCTTAGAGTCGCATCACCATTGTATGTATAGCACTTGTGATGCTTCTTGTGACAGCATTTAGATTGCATCAGTATCACTTTAGGTTGAGATGCACGCCAAAAAGAGCTAATTGAAATTTCAAAATAATGAGCAGTAATTTTGTGACAATGATCATCGAACAGCTTGTGACACTAAACATGGTGTGATATCTAGTCGTCAATGTTTTGAGACAAGTTGATTTCATCTTGGAAATAAACTTTTTGTTAAAGTAGGTGCAAAATCATATATACTAGTGTTGTATACCATGCACCACCATTCAACTTCAAATATGCATACTGCACGAGAATTGTCCAATTGATGGAGAATATATCACACATGAATGAATACTTCCAGTGAACATTATTGAAAACGTGTGATAACACCTACGATATGACTTGTCACGTTTTGAGTTCCTTATGAAAATGCATCAATTGATTGATTTCTCTAGATGAGAGAAAATACATCAAATAATTTACACATAATTTCGAATTGTGACAAACTAGTATGAGATCTGTAAAATGGAATTAATATAAGATGCAAATTGTAAAGCTCACGTCACCAAACAAAACAAGCACGAATATCTATGTATGAAGTACACATGCAAGTTGAGGCATCCAGCACGATTGAGAATGCCCACACCATGCATAAGATATTAGAAATGATATGAAAATTGGCACTGCATTGGAAGTGTATATATGTAGCAATTTTCAAATAATACATACCTTCTAGCTTGGAGATCGTGGCAACTTACTTTGTTGCCTGTAGCGCTATCGCTGTATACCTGAAACTACCAATGTCAATGTACTTTTTTGCAAGTTGATATGCCACTGGAGTTTTTGATAATCATAAAATAGTGAACGGTGTGAATATATAGCGTGAATATGACTATTGCGGTATCATAGGTTTGGACTTCAAAATCTATAGTATCCCATAACATTTATCCGATGATGATCTCAACTATAACTTTGTCAATGGTGTAGGTTACATGGTTGGCATCTCTGCCCAAATGTAATAGGATTGTGTTCACAAAGTGTACCTCAATGTCAAAGTAAATCAGCTTTCTTTCTGTAGAGAATGGTTGATACTCTTCGCAACGAATTGGATGTTTGCTTTTGAGATGAATGAGGTAATTCTCAAGACAAAACGTTGGACCAAACGTCTTCTTTGTGATAGTTTTCTGACATTTGGCATCTATTTTGCTCTCACGACCAAATGCTGTATAAAATCCGCATGTAACTGCAATGACACCACTTATGGCAGCATGTCGTTTTGAAATGTAAAGACCATATTCTTGGTGATGCGATGAATTGGAATGTGTCATGCGCGTGAGCATCGCGTTTGATAGTTTTCCAACCATTTGGAAAAATTTTGTTTGGAAATTACTAAAAAAATAATTTTGAAATTATATATTCTGGATGTTTGAAATTAGAAATAAAAAACATCTATTTTTAAAGTGATTAATGTAAAGAGTCATGATCATGATTGATCTTTATATAAAATCATCATTCTGAGTTGTAGTACATTATAAAAAAATTTCAATAAATTAATAACATATGTAATATATGAATTGGTATTTATACATGTTTGATTAGCAATCTAAATAATTCTTTACATAGTTAATTTTTGAATAATGTTTTTGATATGACTAAAAGAAATTATAACATAGTTATGAAATGATTTTCAAAATTAATGTAAAACAGAAAATTTTTTCTTTTATTAAATTGAACAAAATTGATTGATATTTCAACAATAAAAATTTCTATGATGATAAATTTCATCTTAATTTATATTTTCGCAATTTATTAATTTAAATTTTTTATTCTAATCATATGATGAATCATAATCCAATATCAAGCTGTGAATGATGTATCGCTTCATGTTAATTAGTCACGAAACTATACAAAAATGTCAATGTCAATGATTGAAATTTCATCATGACGATATAGTAAGAGTCTAAATCTTACAGGAATAATCTGAAAGGTTTTAAGTAGCACGCGATACACTGGAAATGTTAACTGGATTCGTACACGAATTGAATGCAAAATGTATCCAGCTATACGACGGAATGACGAGGAACCGGTACCGCGAACTAGAGAACCGAAAGTACTACTCCGTACAGGGAAATCGCAGCAATTGATTCGCGAGGGAGGGGGAGCGTTCCCGCGCAAAGAGGAAGGGCTTCTTCGAATGAAATGGTCGAACTTATTGCTAGCTATTGTAGCGGACTTCGCATCCCAGCAGTCTGCCGGTGGAATCACGATATGGGCCGGTCTATGCTTTGACCAATCCTTGTTGCATTCATCCAGAAGGCTGCGCACGCTCACAGTTTCACGCTTCGATTCCATCGTTTACTTTCTCCGCCGAGTGTGATGGAGAATTACGAATCGTCGGTCCGATGTAGAGATCGTCGAATGGCCTTCTGCCTTGTGAGCTTGGAAAGTTTGGTCTGTTGGAGGCTCGTAGGACGAGATCTGAATTTGTTGCTCAGTAGAGAGGTGACAAGTCGGGGTTTTGCTCTTAGTTGGTGAAGATCGTTTTTTCTTCTGATGGTATCTGGAGTGTTGAGAAGCGGGAGTTTTGGGACTTGCCGGTTGGAGCAGACTGGGCAGTAAGAAGTATTCATTCGTACCTTTGCTCACGAAGTCAGGGTTCAAAGATGGAGGAGTCGCCATCAAGCCAAGTTTTATTCGAGATTGAAGGGCTCATACTGGATGCTCTGCAAGTGGTGTGATAAATTTTTCTCTCCTTTCTCTGCCTTGCGGGTTTCAATTTACGTACATTTCTGTGGAAATTAGCTCATTCAATCGATACGATCATCACCAAGATGGGGTACGATTTTTATGGGGCTATGTTTGAGAGGGGACTACGGTGAGGGGTCAACTTACTGCTGACCGTGGTCCCCTTACAGACATCCTCAGTAGTTGTGGATAAGCTTGAATGATCAACGTCTTTCCTTTCATGCTCGTGTATTCATCGTCGCATTTTCAAGAATATTCTGTGTGGTTCCGGTCATGATCATCATAACTTTATCATGGTTTCAGTAATGATTTGCGAATTTAAGCATCATGAAGGTCCACAATCCTTTTGTTAGGTGCTGAACAAGCGTTTTGATAATTACATGTAGTTTAATCTTACCGAAGATTGTTTCTGGCATCCCTCACATGTTTCTTCACAATGATATCTGGGCTTGTTACAAAACTCTTTAAATTGTGGTTATTAGGAGGGGCACTAGCTAAGTTAACAGTTTAAGAGCTGATAGGGTTCTCTCGTTCGTTTATTGTTTCGCTTCTTATTGTTGACATTGTTTACAGATCTCGTACAAATGGCTGAGTAGAAAATTCTCAATCCCATCGAACATGGCGAAGCGGTAAGGAAGTCAAGACAGGATATCACCTTGAACTCTCACATTGGTTTCCAGTTTCAGCAGAATATCGTATTGATGAGATGATCAAACTTTTGTTATTGTTTAGTCCTGGAGTTTCACTATATTTGTTGTAGTGCGTAGTTTTCCCCATGAATGTTATAATGTGTAGTACTTTATTAATGTCCTCTGTGTATCTGTACCTTGTGAAGGCTCTTAGAGAGATTTGTCTCGCAAAATAAACAGCTGGATTTAGAGGTAGTATATGCTGTATCTGGATGGACGAAACAAGAGCCACAGTGCTACTCAGTTCAGCTCGTGCCCAAGTCAAAGCTTGAAGGTAGAACACATTTACATTTATTTGTCAGTGATGGCATTGTTGACTGCTCATGACACCTATTCTATGCTTCCCTGGTTGTCTAAACGTCCATGATGTCTACTTGTGGATGCATCTTCAATGTACTTGATGTGCTGTCTTAAATGTTGCAGATGTGAAGGCCTCACTGAAGGAAAATCCGTCGGTCCATGTCTATAGCGTGCAGCGTTGTTTGCCGAAAGATCCAGCTCAATTGTGGAGTGCAGATTTCGTTCAGGCAGTTGAACTCTTTAACCAACCTCAAGACGTCAACAACAGTCTTCGAGATAATAGGTGTGCTTCACGTCGGTCTGCAGGGACAAGCTTTAAGTATCTGAATGTTATCTATGGCTCACGTGCTGAGTGCTATTGCATTTTGGTTCGTTCTATCTTCCCAACGGCGGATATGTTCTGCAGTATCTTTGAGATGAAAGTTACATAGACTTTTGTTTTTTGGTTTCAGGTTCAGTGCTGTATCTTGTACACTCGTCCAACGAAGTTTGTTAAGGAAAACTTCTGGATCGACTTCCTCTCAACAACAAATTCCAGTCGCCGCCGCCAAGCCAATTTCTACTCCCAGAGGCCCCGTCCAGAATGCAGCCCAACCATCACACATTTCAAGGAGTACCACTGCTGATAGGAAACCAGTGAAAAGCGAGATACCTCCAGTTCCACCAATTTCAGCACTATCACACCATGCGAAGGATGTGATTGCTGACATCAAACCCGTGAAGACCGAGATACCTTCGGTTCAATCGGTTTCCCCACAACATGATGCAAAAGATACAGCATTAGGGAAAAATGGATCGAAAATTGTTGTGCTCCCTCCTGCAGGAAAGAGAAAAGCCATGGCTTCTGTTCCTTTAGGTGGGGCCAATGGAGGGAGTTCTATTTCAAATTTGTGGGGGAAGGCAGCAAGCAAACCAAGTGCAACATCCCATTCAAAAGAGTTGGAACCCCCTGTCGAAGTCGCTGGTACTTTATCGACTGAACGCATTGTTGTCAACGTCATTCTTATATTCTCATTTACATTCTTGTTGAGATCGAGCGAATCACGAAGTCTGGCTCTATCAGAAGCTTTACCGGGTTGGTACAAAACAAATGATGATGGTCCATGTGTCTTGCAGGTGATGCGGAAGCCAGGATACAAGCCATGGAGGCAGACGGTTTCAGTGATGAGGATGTGGACCCGTATGTGTCTACAAGAGTCAAGAGAACGGCCGGAAGACGTCGAATGATTGTAGAAGATGATGATTCCGGCAACGAGGGAGCTGAAGAGGATGAGGAGATGATTGTAAGACTCGGTACCCCAGATTCTCCTCAAGATGTAAAGCCTCTACTGTGGAATGGTCATGACAGATCAATGGTTCCGAAGGACCAGATATCGGAAGTTAATGCCAAATCTTCCACACTTGAGATGAAAGTATCCTCAAATCTTGTACAAGATAAAAATGGGTTGGCAAGCAACATCCAACCTGCCATGAAGGACAAAGTGGTACAAAAGTCAAATGTTGTTGAACAGGACGTCCCTGGGTTTAGGGCGGGCATCAAGAGAAAGAAAGTCATGAAAACAAGGATTGACGAGAAGGGAAGAGAAGGTAATCATATTCTTATGGTCACCATTGAAGGATTTCTCGTTGTCTTACGTCAGTAAATTACATGCATGACTGCACCAAACTAATACCGCTCCAAGGCAGACATGTCAGTAGAGATTCTAATGATGGTTGTTTGGTATCGAAACATGGAATTCATGCTTTGTATTAGAGCTCTACTGAATGATTTTGTTGAAGAAGATTGAACCATTGTATTAATTTTTTTTCACTTTACTCAGTGACGGAAGTAGTTTGGGTAACCGAAGGAGAAGACACGGCTTCAGCCGATGAAAAGCCCCCGCTTGTGACAGCTAAACCTTCAGCTCCTACCAACAAAGAGAGTGACACTAAGGCTTCAACAGAGAGGTGCCTCCTGTGCTAACACGTGAAATGCAGTCTTCAAGGCCATAATCTTCTTCATTCATAGTTTAGTTGGAAAGAATTGCTTAAAGTTTGAAGATTGCAAGTTGAGTCTTGTACTTGAGTCGCCGAGTGTGTCAACCAACGCCAGGAGTAGTGCAGTTCAATAGTTCTACTGGAGTGGCCTTCTGATTTGATGCTACTTTTCTAAATAATTCCCTCGCATATTCTTTTCTCTTATCACAGGACTAGAGCTTTGCCCAAGCCTCAACCTGCTCCACCAAAGGCACCTGCAAGTAAAGGAGGCAAAAGTGCCACTAAGGCTACTGGTAAACAACAAGGTTCAATTATGTCCTTTTTCAAGAAGCAGTAGTGAGTATTAGATGACTTCATGGTCATCCAACAAGGTCGAGATCCGGTTCGACTACACCAACTTGTCCCAGAGATGGCCATAATGCGTTTCCTGTGCTCATCGTAGACTTCTGAGTGAAGTCCTAGTGCTTCTAGCGATGCTGTGAGCGTGGAGTGGTAGCCAACAGTTCAATGGTGTTGATTGAACTCGATTCATTAGTGAAATAGAGAATGTAAACTAAAAGATGGGAGACGTCGAAACTGAGCTCAGAGCTTACGGGTCATTACACCCGATCTCAGTATAAGTAGCTTGCTTTTGCTTTGCACTAATGCAAGTCAGGCGTTCGTAGAGGTGGGAGGATCTCTTTAGACAGGTTTAGTGTTCGTCAGTAGTCCAAGGAGTTAGACGCACAGAATATGTTTGCTGCCATCGATTCCAGTGACGTGACATGCCCTCCAGATACTGCAGTACCTCCAGGAACACTTATTGCCACATCTCTGGAGGATCCAATACAAGAAAAACCAGCCCTTTTTTGGCTGTCGTTTCAGAATGTCACACAGCAACCAAGCAAAAGAGGCACATGTTGTGGAGCTACATCAGAGGTATCCTCTTAACTGTTTCTATGTGTAGGAGCTTTTAGCTTCAACTTCAGGAGGGGGAAACTTCTGCATTTGCACTGAATTTACTCTTTGCGAAAGCGAAAAAGTTGTACACTAAGTTGAGGAAGAGCAGTAGTTGGGAGATGCCCCAAGCAACTTGACATGGGTGATATTTTTTTCTAACTGTTATGTATATTGGTCTCAGGTAGAACGCTTGAGGTGATGTTAAAATCTTTATCATTCAGGCGAACATTGTCTTGGATCTGACAAAACTTTTCTGCCACAAAATCTACGTGTTTATTTGACGTCCATGAAATTGAGGGCAGTAAATAGTTCCATAGTCTCGAGACAGGCCCGTGGAACCATCAACTTTGAGATCCATGTGTGGATATGTCTGTCATGTTTAATACAGTAAACGTCATTGAAAGTTCATTCTGCGATCACAAGGACCTGTATTGGCCTACAAGCTCTCAAACTACATTCTACTTAGATTTCTGTTGACGCGTCACGACCCAAAGGTATAGAAAATTTTACCTCATCTCAATCGTTATCAACCCCATAGAATTGACGCGGTTGATTAACTTGATGTATTGAAGGTTCTGTCCAATCTATTACTTTCAAATGGATCTCGGATATTTGTCAAAATCGTGAAGTAGAACACTTTACTACTACCACTATTAGTAGTTTGTGTCCAATTCCTCCATAGACAAGCGAATGGAAGTTGACTGGGTTGATGAAGTACATTCAGTGGTCATTCTACTTGCAAAGAAAATGATGGCAATTTACAATCTTGATGAGAGGGTGAGATCCTCGTCGGGCTGCAGGGCACTACGCAATCAGATTGCGAGCGTACCTATAACTCAGCACTATATTTGTGTTTCAAGGAATGCATGTAGACGGTACCAGGGCATTCTTAACATTTTTATAACCTGATACTTTTAAAAGTTTTGACCCTCACAAAAAAGGGCTTTTCTTAGTAATTTATGTCCTTGTCGTACACTCCGAATTCACGATCAAGGGTACCAAAATACTACGCCGTGAACATACGTGCTAAGCATAAGCTTCCTCTAAAGGATCGTCTTTCAGCTCTTAGGACTTCACTTTCCATTGCTCTGCGCTACTAGATGCTCGGTACATAATCAATTCACAGAAAAAGTTCCTCATGCACAAGTGAATATTACTGATTGGAAGGTAAGTATCCTTGGTTTGACGGTAATAATGACAAATCAATTGAGTGATTTTATTCCTAACCGTGCAGATTGTCCGATAGCTCCGACTCAAACATCTGATGCATATATGACGTCGATTTTAACCAGTTAAAGTCGTCTATACTATGACCACTTAGACATGTAACCGCTGTATGTGTCGATACTCAATTTCCTTAAATAGAGATTGGAGAATGACAATAACCGAGTATATTCCCGATGAATAAATACACCCCGAACATTTGAAGGTCAGTTATAATAGTATCTCTGATGTCAGGCAAATTGCATTCTCCACAAACAATATACCTCGACATTCAAATCCAAACCAGCCCTGTGCAACGTATTGTTGATGTACACTTAGCAGATGGTGTAATTTTTGTACCTAGTTTCCGAAGTTACCGGAGATGGGAATGATCATCACTACAACGTGAATACGCACGAAGAGTTTATTGGGGTTGAAAACAATCGATATGTCTTTACAGTCGATATGTCATACAGACTTTGACAAATGAAATAATCGTTGTACAGAATGTTTGCAAGCTTTACATTTTCTAGCAAAAAGGAAAATTATCCAGGTCAACATATATATGCTTGAAATATCACACGTATCACAACAGATATCGTGAAGTATTTTTTTCAAACGATATTGTTGTTGAAATACACATAAGTCTTTGGTAAAATTACATTATTGGGAAAATGTATAAAATGATTGCAACAGATGATATTTAATCCTTTTTTCAAAGTTAGACTTGAAAAATCGAGTAATGATGATTGAAAGAACTTCCATTGTATTTGGAAAATTTACTCAACTTCTTAAAGAACGTCCACTGCATTCAAAAAATTTACTCACTTTTTAAACAACGTTGGAAAAATATACAAAGATTTTTTTAATAAAGCGTCATATTTACTAGGAATACTTTACATTTTCCAATATACTATAAGCTAAATTATTTTTAGAAGAAATCCATGCACATCTCAATTTTCACTATCTAGCATGTTTATTATGTCAATTGATCACAAATTTTTAATTGGAGAACAATGTTATGATCATTCAATTCGTAAAGAATATTTACCTTTGTAAATTGATATATGAATGATTATGCATATATTTATTATAAAAAATGTACTAGTTAATGGCGGGACGCCAATTTATTTTACAGAAAACACTTTATACAAAATATTCTTCAATTGTATACAAATGATTATGATTACAAACGATCTTTGATCAGTGACAATTTTTTTGGTTTTTGGGTATTTTATTTTTTTTGAGATACACAAACCAACAAAGAGCTTTCTTTCAGTTTGCAAAATTGAACATAATATAGAAAGAAAATTTTTTTCGTCAAGAAAGAGATGTGCTTGCTCTTTCTTTCAACTCACCTTAAAATGTGTAAACTACTCACATGAATGATCCATGTTCATATCTGAAGACTGTTTTTATTCCTACACATGCTCTAATTCATCAGCATTGTTATATCTTCATTTCAATAGCTTGTCATTAGACATGTTAAACCTCAAGAACTGAAACTGTCTGATCTTTTACTACTTTGATGTGATATAAGTTGAGCTTGTTCCCTTGCTTTGAACATTGTCTTTTATCTCCTGTCATTTTCCCCTACGTCTCTTGTACTTTACAGTGACTTCAAATTGACTGTTGGACATGTGAAATAAATAGATAAATAAACAAACGTAAGCAGGTAAATATGTCTGAGCTTCTGACAAGAGCGCATCTCATGTAGTTATCACCCGAAGTGACTGAAGGCCATACTGTACTCTAATAGATAAAAAACACCAAAGCAACACTGGCCCAACAGGGCAGCAACTCTCTGTACCGACCCCTTATTCAGCAGGAACTTGAGCAGTGTTACGTCCAGCTGCAATTTGGCCCTTCTGATTATTATTCTTGATCGTCACCCTAAGTTGCTAAGTGGCATCGTTCAGAATTGCCTCGTTTTGGGCAATGGGGGAGAATCTCGTCGTCAGCAGCTCAGGAGGAGTTCACTAGAGTACAATTTGCTGGCCTTTTCCAGGCTTCCGGAACCAGTAGAGTACAAAAACGTAGCATTGATGTAAGCAACAGGTTCTCGTTCATGGCCAGCATTAGAATCAGCAGGTTTCGAATTTTAAAGCGCTTGCTGTTTTGTACCACTATGCACGGTTACCTGGCTCGTGATTGCTGCTGCTGCTGCTGCTGCTGCCATGCGTTCTTTGTCGAGGATTTTGACATTACCTCTTGCGAAGCAGTCCGAGACAAACGCGTGATGGAGGTCGAGTTCTTGGGCTTTTGAAAATTGTAAACCACGGCATAATTTTGGCTTTTCGGATTCTTGTCACGGTTCATGCTCGAAACCCTAGTTCTTATTTTTGAATGATTGTGAGAGTTCTGATGCTGCCAAAGAGAAGTAGGTGAGGTGGAAGAATGGACGATGATCGCGGAGGGGAATGGAGAAGGCCGGTTTTGGTCAGTTCTTTCGTTTACGTGGATGACGCCGGAGGAATGTTAGCTGCTTCAAACGCCTCGTCTTTGGAGAGAGATTTTTTAGGACGTTACTGCAGGGACGAAGAGGAATTATTTCGAAGTCCTGAGAAGTGATTGGATATTGTACGAGTTGATGATCAGCGAAGAAGTCGTGTACTCGTTGGTTCTGCCGTATCAACCCTAGCTATCCATGCAGTGCTTTGCCGAACGAATACTTTACTTTGAGACAATACATCCACTCATAATTCGGTTGAAATGGTTGAAGTTCAGGTCTTCGTCATCGATTACGATTTCGGGTCTTGGAAGGTGATTATGCACGCCACACTTCTGTTAAAGAGTTTCAATTGAGGATTTTAAATTACAATTCGCATTCCTTGTTGCCTGCCATTTATTATTCGTGTTCCACCATGCATCAGTGAATAATGACATTTTGACCCCTTACGTACTTTGATCATGCCATGAAACTCAAGCTTAATGTCATCTGAAAGTCCTAATCATCCTTGTCTCTGAAGGAACGGATTTCATGTGATTGCAGTTCGCCAAAGTTTGCAGAGCCTTAGTTTGTGAAAATTTAGGAGTGGTAAAGTGAGTAAAGTGAGAGTTTACTATTTGTTTTGTTTGAGTATGTTTTGGAATAACGCTTTAGCTGAGGATGGAGATTCTCGTAATCGGCAACAGCGACATTAGCCTCTTCTATTCTCCATCCAGGACCTCATCTTCTTACGTGACTCCTTACATTTTACACTTAGTGTACAACCTTCGTTTTTGCTCTTTTTGGTGGCCATATGTGCATGTAGAGCTTATTAGTCTTTCTTGAAATTCACGGTGTTCCCTCTTTTTTGTCAGTTATTTTGTTCAAACTCAATGTGGAATGCTTAGAGACAACATACGAAGATGAAGCGTGTCAGAGAGATCGACCTCGAAGCGCCGGTGATGGAGGATGATGAAGGAGAAGAAGACGGAGATTCATACATGTCTGCATGGGATGGAAGGTCCCCCACGAAAAGGACCCGATGGATGCATCCGCACGAGTCCGGTACAACCCAAGGACAAGCTCAGTCCGGTGTTTGGCCCCGGGACTTGAGAATTGCCATTGATATTAACGGCGAAGCACAGGAGAACTCAGGAACCCAACAAAGACATGTTGATGGCGGAGATACATTGTTCTCGAGGTCCAGACCGTTTGCTGGAATTGATTTGCAACTCGCCATCCCTTCAGACTCCTTTGAGTTGAAACAACCGGGAGAGGTTAGTTTACAGCAAATCCAGGATCACAACCACGTCGAGCATCTTGAGGCTGTCGTGCGGGGCAACGGAGTGGAGAATATAAGAGGTTTTGGAAAGACAGTGAAGCAAAGACCAGAAGACGTACAGATTAAATCAGTGAAAGCAAAATCGCTGACATATTACCTTTCAGCTGCCGATATGTTATATCTCCATATCGATCGGCAGGACAATAAGCTGCATTCACTTCTAGAAAAGGAGGGGGCTCTTTTGCATGACACAGAAGTTGACGTCCGGCTTAGAGCAACACAAAATATTAGTGGACGCTTGGGCTTAGTGAAGGAAAGCGCAACGAGGAATCTTTTGATAGACCTATTCCAACAGCAGTTATGGAAAGAAGCTGATTTGTCTGTTAGCCTAGCTTTGGTGAAGCTATTGAGTACTGCTGCTGTTGTAAAATGTGTGGATGACGTTCAGCGGGACAACGTAAAGAGTGTGGAAATTGCTGCCTCGCATTCGGTTGCACTTTACCTTTTACAGTATATTAAAGCCAAGGACGTGCAGAGTTGTCCTATGAAGTCTTCTATGAAGCTACAAGTTCTTAGAGCTATCCACAATATCGGGAATTTGGAAGATCTAACTGTTATAGACACCCTTCAGGATCTCGCTGCAGATCAGCTTGGAAGCCCCAATCCGAAGTGTCGAGAATTGGGGATACGTTTACTCGTGGCAAGCGTGAGGGATAGAAGAGGCAATAGTCATATGAGGAAAGGAGACCTTGAAACATACAAAAGAAGAGCATTTTCTGGATATAACCTGAAGAGCTGGAAGGAAGGACAATCATTAATGCGTTCACTCTTGGAGTACACTCGAGACCCGCATCCAAGTGTACGAGAGGTTGTTGTGTGGGCTTTACTTCAGCTTCACAGCAAGGGTTTCTCTTTGGATAACGACACGTATAAGCACGGAGTCGCACTTTTCAAGGATTCGTTCGAAGGTGTTCGTCTTCAGGCCATAAAACTGGTGAGTTTTCTTGTGCAACATTTTCATCTTCCTGTTGATCGTTGTGAGCCACAGTTTTCCTGGAGCGAGAATATTTGGAATGTTACTATAGAGATTCCACGATTGGCTTTTGGTTCGTTTGAGCTGTATAAGTACAACTTTGTTGCCTCTGCTTAAACCAGCCAACCAAGAAGATGGATATCCAAACCTTTTGGAAATTCTTTTCAAATTTATGTACCTTTACGATATTATTTCAAGGAAACTTTACAGCATCCTTCCTTATGCTTAGTTCTGTCGACTAGAGACTCAGTTACGCTTTTAAACAGCACTTCTTTTGCTTATGAAAGCTAGGGCGATGTTCTCTTAATTGGTTACGTTTTGGCTACAGTCGTGGAGATCTTATTTAGCTATTATTGTACTCAAGAATATGAAAATCATGACGATAGCTGGAAATCACCAGTAGTTGAAATGACAGATATCGGTTCCGTATTCTTTCCTAACAATATGCTTCAATTTCTCAGTACATTTCTGTAACTTCATGAGATGCAGGTGGGATTATGTGCGAAGGAGCTGATAGATGGCGCTCAATCAAAACTTGTGGACAATGCATATATGCGGGTAAGCAGATCTATGATGATCAAAGGTTTCAGTGTATTGTTACGCTTAGCTCAAATGGGCAAAAGGAGTTGAGGTTGATGGAACTTGGACAGAAAGATTGGTAGTATCTGATCACGGGCCTAATCAAAATTAGGTACGTGATCACGTATGTTGCTGGTGGACATTAAAGGTTGTCATGCATTAGAGGTTTTTTCATGCTTTCAAATGCACAGACGGTGTAACATCTCATATTTGACAACAAGACAGGTGAAGTAGACGCAGATTTCGTTATAATGTTGGAATCTATTGTTCCTTTCGATCACCCCGCTGCATTCCTCTGGCTTTCTTCTCTTTAAGAAGAATGCATGTTGTCTAAGGCGTGTTGCCTCTCTCTAAGTAGTTTTCATTCACCTTCTTGCAAATAAAGAATTCATATGATTCCGTGGTTGCTATCGCTGTTCTTATTGCCCAAAAGTGTGGAAGACTAGGACAGCGAATTGCTATATCTTTTGATCCATACATTTACGGTAGAAGATAAGTTGATGCTGTTGACGTTAGGTTTGTGTCCTATTGCTTGGCTCACCTCAACATTTAAACGTCGGCATATTAAATTCGTGAATTCTTGTCTTCAGTTTAATTTTAGGAATTCATTGATTTATACTAGAAGTGGGTTGTGTTATTCCAGGTTTGCAGCATGATGACAGACATGAGCGTGCCTGTAAAAGTGGAAGTTTGCAATACCCTTGGGGAGATGACTGGCGTCAGCGAAAGTTTATTGCTCCAAAGTCTCTCTAAGAAGGTCTCGGCCACAACTGTAGCAGAAGTGGAATCAAATTCTTCTGTTGTAGAAGGCGAGGTAGATGCAGCCGCTCTTGAGGAGAGAAATCTGCTCAGTTGGAGTGCAGGAGCATTTGTGGTTGCTCTCGAGGACGAGTTTTGGGAGGTAGGTTATCACCATCACACTCGTTGTACTGGATACAACGTTCTGGAGAGCACAAAAATTTCTGCTCTCTATTTGCGTATCTGACGAAGTGAATTTCTCGACCTGTCAAGGTTCAAAAGGTAGTTGCTCCAATGCTTCGATCACAAAGAGACCGTCCTTAGCAGTCACCAATACCTTGTGTCTCGGTTAGAGGTCATGCGGAATCAGCAAATGAGATGCCTTGTTATCAATATTCTATTATACTTCGTGAATTCAGGTTCGTTCAGCTGCAGTGAAGTCTCTTGCGACACTGGCAAATGGTTCCGCGAAGATGGCAATTGGTGCCTTAGAGCTGGTGGCTGATATGATAAATGATGATTCATATTTCGTTCGTCATCAAACCATTCATGCCTTGACGAGCTTAGCTCGTGCAGACCGCCTCGTCTTTAATCAAGCACATCTTCACATGGTACTCCACTTATCAGGCAAGCTTTGTTCGCTAGATTACATCATCCATGAAAGTAGATGTCCTTGCAATTGGTTCATGTCCTTCTGTTACAGATGGTGTAGTGACCTTCCTGTATTGCAAGCTGACAGCACTAGCTCGCAGAGACTCAATAAGAGTGACCAACTGGAACCTTACTTTCGTAGAAGCTGCTCTGGTTTGCTCTGATGAATGTAACTTTGGCAGTTTCTAGGCGTTTTAGAAGACTCAAGATCTGAAATTCGCAAAGCCGGTCATGATCTCCTATCAACTATCACACTTCCCAGTATATCAACGTTTCAAGTAACAATACGGGCAATTTTGACGAGCTTTGAGAAGCATCCGGAGGTACTTTCGTAATCCCATTATCTTTGTGTCGGACAGATATCTGATGGCAGAGATGAAAGCAGAAAACATATATTGTCAACCCTGTGTACACTTGCAGCGGATTTGTAACCCAGTATGTTCAAAAGCTCAAATATATTCTCAGCAACCTTCTTGATGGTTTAGGCTTCTAACCTCCGAAATTCTTGTGAATGGTTCCTGGATTCCTGAAAAGGAACTATTTTGAATTATAGCCAGTAAGTTGTTAAATTTAAAACGTTAAATTGCTGTGTTGTTCTTGGTGAGTAAACTAGTTTTAGCACTTTTGCCACTCTAACCTTAGGGTATAAAGTAATTATGTGTTCAGTTCGAGAGTATTGTTCACCTTCAACTTTCATTTACTTGTTCAATCATGAGACTGATTCCGTTATCAAACTGCTTTCATCGTAGATCCTCCAGAATTGCTGCTGTTTCTAAACGTTTCTGGATGATCCTTGTATGCCTTAACGAGCACTCTAGTTGCTGGAATCGCACTGCACTGTAGAACGTAATGATATATGTATCATTAACGGTAACGGTTTCGCTGTCTGTATGCAGGATGAAGAGAGTTTGTTTACTACTCTCGAGAAGTTGGGATTATCACATGCTGGCTACACTGAATGCATCATATCGGAGCTTCTGCAAGAGGTTTTATTTTTCTCCTCTGGCTGCTTTTATATGAATCATGAAACTTGGCAGCTCCGCACAACCAGCATCTATCGTAAGCTCTATTTGAAAAAGATTCCTTGTCTTATGGACCAATATAAAGATTAGTTTCTTCACTCGTTGTTGACCCATCTCATTTAGCATATACGATTATAAGCCACTTGCTTTATGGCTACAGTATCGTCAATGCAAGTACGCACCTCACCTGATTCAACTTAGTAAAGATCACATAACTATTCATACGCATTATGAACTCGGTCACCCATAAGATCTCACTACAAGGAGCAACACCTCAGGACGAAATGCGATGGTATCATCCTAGTTTTAAAAGTAAAGCAATTTAAAAGCTCAAAGTAGCATGTCTGGTTCTTAGTATATTCTGCCTCCAGGTGAAGTGAAATTACTGGTAAAATTAATTTTTGGATGAAACCTGTAAGGTCGTTGTTTGCCCTCTTATCTAAGCAGTGAGTTGAAGAAAGTGATCTACTCTCATCTGGCACATTTGTCCTTCCATCCATGCTTGTGTCCGCATCTGTTTGCACCTCTATTGCTTTAGCTGGATTGTGCGAGTCCTCTATGGTCGCGAGGCTATGTCTTATGCAACTCTGTGAGCGTAGTTTCAGTAAAATTCTAGTTCCTTTATATCGGTGAGTGTTCAACATCGACATCATTTTGAAATATAGCCTTGCAGCATTACGTTGAAATTAGTCGAATCTAATATGACTGTGGAGCCATAGGTCAAGTTGAGTTCTTACCGGTCATTGTGGTTTAGAGATATTCAATATTTAACCGATAGGTATTGGTCAGAACATCGGAATCGGTCTATGTGGTGTGGGTTTATTACTTATTTCTCCAAATGATGTACTGATCTTCTTTCTCGCTTATCCTCTACAATAGGATGGAAGTTGTTCGGCATGTGAGTAACACCCAGAGTCTAAGTCTTCATGTACATTGTTGTTGCAGCTAAGAGGGTTGCTGAACAAAGAACCAGGACTTGATGATCCTCAGTGTATGGGGATTTTGGTTCTTCTTCTCGCAGCCGCATCGTCGAACGTGAAAATTATTTCTACAATTCCAACCCACATTCTGGCCCTTCCCAGGCTAGTAAGCCACAGACTCCGAACCAGTCTTCCTTCCTTAGTCGGACAGTCCATAGGCTTCAAGAGCTTGCGCTACACCTGGTTTTCGAAGAAGAGTTCATTGCTGACCGCATCGGACAGCAGTGAATTGAGAATCATGGATTTTGGTAAACAGCAGTTCGGCACATCATCTTATCATGATGTCTCCAACAAGGAAAGATCAAATGCTGCAGGCCCATATTCTGGAGGACATGCAGATTATGAGAGTTCGACTCTCATTAAGCCAATTCTTGAGCATAAGACGCTATTTTCAACTGATCTGCACAGAAGGACTTGTCTAAGTCAGGCGGAAGTGGACGAGATTCTGATTTGTATACGGAATACTTTATCTATAGCTCTGAATTCAAGACACTTACTAGAAATTAGGGCCTTCGAGGACGTTCTTCAAAGACTCAGGTAAACAGTTTTTCGTCGAATAGTGTTGAAAGATGTTGAAATTTAGACGGCATCGGTTTGCTACTTTCTGTAAAAGTGGCAGCCAAACAGATATCATTGCCTCATGACAAGGTTTGTTGCTTTCAATCTTCAGTGGCTGCAGGAAAGAGTTGAACCTAATCAAGGGAAGGTGTTCGAGCCTAAATGGAGCAGTGACTTTCTCTAGTCTTTATCTCAATTGTCTCGAGGTGGTTGTACAGTTACAATCGAGCATTTCAACACAAGGTGCATCTGTTGTAGTAGCTAGGAAGTCAGGATTGCCACACGACTTACTCCTGAAACTGGACTCGGGTGTCAAGTACCTTTTGTATCGGTTTCGGGGCTTGAGCTATGACCAGCTTTCTCAAGTTTATGAGCTTTACGCCCTTGTCTTCCTTTGGAAGCTCGTACTACATCCTAGTGAAGCTCTTGTCAATGATGGGGCAACTTCCATGCCTCTTCAAGAGTTAGCCTCCATCGTAAGGGTGAGCAAGAAGACCTCAGAGGATGAAACCACTCCTCCTTCTTTCTTTCTCTCAGTGATAGAAGAGCAGCTCTTGGGTGAAGAAGGAAGCGCGAAGGGTACAAGTAAATGGAAATGTGCCCGAGAAGTCGCTCTCTCCTTCTGGCCTCGTGAAATATCGGTCGTTGCTTCAAGCGAGGTATGGGCACACATGAAAGTACCCGGGCCTGACTTCGATCATCAAATTGAGTTCGTTCCTGGTCTTCCCTTGGGAATCTCTGTAGATATTACTCTTCACAATGTTTCAGAAAGCTCAGCACTTTGGATACAGTTTGCCGTGGATAGCTCAGCAGTGCAATACAGATACTTAGACATGGGAGACAGCCAGGTTAGTTCAGCTTGTAACGTACGTCAGTTGACTATCGTCCTCCAGTTAGAGAACATGCAGGCCGGTGCGTCTTGCGTCTCTAGGATATGCATCGTCTTGGAAGGATTGGAATATCAGGGAAATTATAAATCCTGTAGCAGTTGCCGAGGTCCAAAAGGATCTGTGGTGCCTCTTTGTAGCGAGAAAGAAGCTCATCTTGTGAACCTTCTAATAAAAGAGAGGAGCTCTAAGCTGGCTCCTCCAATTAGACGGTGACTGACGTAAAGAATCATTTGCTGTGGCTGAAGTGATAATGGTTTGGTTTTGGATCAACGCCTGTGCTTGAAGATCCCAATTAACCATATGCATCGACAATGGTATTGTAAGCTTCTTTTGTATCGTAGTGCTCCCTTGGCAAAAAGAATGAATGCTTGTATTCTTTGATATTTGGAACTCTCTTGCAGCAGCTTGTTTGGATGTTTTCCACATGTATCACAAGCAGTCCCTGATGTTTATATTGACTCTCGTCTATAGCTTGTCACCACACACTCTGGCGGAGTAACGAGTAGTAAGTAACGAGTAGGAGTAACGAGTAACTCTGGCAAGAGTATCAACGCTAACTGTTGAACTCTGTAGACATCCCACATCACACTTGAATTGATATCACCTTGAGATGCCTTAAGGCTGACACCACCTGCACTTCTGGCAATCCAGTAATCTAAAGGTGAATGCATCATTCAGAAAAATGAATGACTATATTCAAATTCCTATATTCTGATTCGCTTTGTATAGAGTACATGACTGATAACTAAGCCCAAATTTTATTCAAGAGTGAAGGAATGTGGTAGTTAAAAAACCTAGATGTCGAATCTGATTTTTAGACTTTTCTCATTTTAAAAAGAGAGAGTTTTCAAACGATCAACTACCTCGTTTTCTGTTAACTACTCCTCAATGAGAATACAGCGTTGGGTCGTAATGTTCGGATTCTAACTACAAGCGTCGCAAGCTCTTCATTTTGTGTAACGAAATTCTCTTGAAATATTCATCAACCTTCTCTAACGAATGTCGGACTCGTCATTCAAGCTTCCGCACTAGAAGTATATTTTTACTTTCAATTTGCTTATGTCTTGTCCACGATATTATCATGGATTCTTGGATTTGCCTACTCCAACCACATTTTCTCTCCGTCAGAACTTCAGCGATCTCCTAGTTACCTTTCTGTCCACCCTGCAATACTGCTTCACAAACAAGACACGACAAATTCAAAAGACAAAAATGTTGTGAATTACAGACAGTATGCTTTACTGAAGAGATAGCAACATTTAATAGTTGCGCACGTTAACATGCTGAGTGTAGTGATGCACTCAACCTAAACCTAAAACGTATTGCTTGGATCATCAAGAACTAATCGAAATGATAAGAGGATAAGGTGAGCATCCTAATGCTAAAGTTAGCCTCTTCGAGACACTAAGAACGTCTTACAACACTGCCTCTCGAGGGGAACATTAGCATTACGATATGTTGGAGATATGTATATAGTCCTTCAGGACATATCTAGAAATAGAACTTGTTACAATAGATATTAGGTTGTAGCATTTGCTTGTACTTCAGCTAATGATTGTAAGCCAATCGAATCTCTATACTTTTCAAACTTATGGCGCGGTAGAGGCTTTGTGAGAAGATCCGCTTGATAGTCTTCTATATGTATGTAATGAAGTCAAATTTCCCCCTCTAGAACTTGTTCTCTCACAAAGTGATGCTTCCTCTCAATATGCTTTGTCTTTGCGTGAAACATAGGATTGTGAGAGAGTTTTACTGCACCTTGATTGTTACAAGATAAATGTAAACCAGCTGAGGTTGGAGTGTTGGCGTGCTTCAGTTCAGCTTGTATTTCAGAGTCGTGACATTTAATGGGAATGGAAGCTAGAGGATTGACTTGGAGTTTTGTCATCAATCGTTGCAGGTAAACGCCCTCCTTAGCTACCTCGGACTGTAAGACCGGGTGTTGCACATATGTACTAAGTCTTAGAAGTGGTCAAGGGAATAAGGATGATTAGCCAAGGCATAGCTAAGACTAGCTAGTTATGACTAAACTAGTTAGTTATAACTAAGTTTATCTAGTCATGACTAAGTTTAGCTACAATGTCTATAGTTGGCGGAATAATTAGCGGAGTTCTAGAAGAATGGAGTGAGCACTTCTATTTTGTCCTTTACAAGGAGTGAGCACTTCTATTTTGTCTTATACAAAAGTTCTAGATTCCAAGGGATTAGATATTTGACTAGAAGCTTGGATTTGATTGGTTTGACTAAATGTATGAAAGATGATTGGCTAGACTAAGTCTAATGTTGACTTAGTGGCTAGGAAGCTTGTAGAAGTTTAAAAGCTTCAAATGGCATGTCGCCACCTCAACCTTGGATTCCAGAAGCTTCTAGAAGGTTTAGGTAGGCCAATGGCATGTTGCCACGTAGAGAAGGTTAGTCAAACTTACCTAGGTAAAAGTAAGTTAGGAGAAATTACCACATGTTAACTTCTCAAGTAGTATAAATAGAGAGGTAGAGTAGCACCTCTCAAGCAAGTTTGGAGAGTCATGTGTGAGGACTTGTTTCAGTAATGAAGGAGTGAAGTTTTTGAGTATCTTGGAGTATCGACGTGTGTTTGCATTTATGTGAAGAGGGTGATGTGAGGAGAGTTGTGTGTGAGTTGGAGTGATACATGAGAGTTTGTAAGAGAAGGTGTTTGGGACATGAGTGAGAGTATGAATCTTAGTCTTCTAGAACCATGATGCGCTACCACAAAGCCATCAGAGGTAAACCTGAGTGAGAGTCAGCCCGGAGGTTGCATTTTTGGTTCCGTTGCCGGGACCTCAATCTAGAAGGCGGAATGTTTAGGATTCGATTTCTAGCTCGAGAGAAAGTATCCATGAGGGATCACTTGGTGTTAACATTGGGGAATGAAAGAGCGGAGAGTGTGCTTGAGAGCGAAATTCCATTTGTTTATCCCATAGTCTCATATGATAGCCTAGAAGTGATTTTGTATGTTTTGTTCACGTAAACATGTCTTTTTGAGAGAAAAGTGATCTTAGACACCGAAAAGTATTTTTGAAGGTATTCTTCAAAGTTTTTATTGATTTTAGAGTGAAAGATAGAGAAAATTTACGTTTTTGTTTCAGGTCCAGATCATGTGTTAACAGAAAGATATGAGAGTTAGAAGTTGAGTGGGTTTTCACGGGTATCAAAAGTCTGCTCTCTGGAAAGTTTGTACAGAGTTGATTACTTTTTCTGTATTTCAATTTAGGCTTTGAAACTTCGTACGAGTGTGTATTGGAAGATAAGCTACGTTTGAGTCAAAATTTCACTGAGAGATCACGTCTAGAGACGAAGTTATGTTGATTTGAAGTTGAGGGGGTACAAAAGCAAGATAACAAAGCAAAAGTTTTTGATTTCTTTATTCACAGTTTTCGTCAAGTAGATAGCGTTTCTGGGAGAGGTCTTTTGAGTGGTTTCTACCTTATGGGAAAATGAGTGAACAAGAAGGTTGGAAGGTTAGGTTATCCAAAGTACCTCAAGGCTTGGATGTTATAGTGTCTTTAGACTCCAATACAAGAGAATTCAAGGTGGAGTTTGAAGAAAGAGTAGTGAGTCAATCTCCAAGAGTCAAACGTGAAACTTGTTTTTATTGTGGAGAGGAGGGCCATAAGGTTGTCAATTGTTCCCTGCGGAACAAAGATAGAAGATTGAGGAGCAAGAGGAACTTGGGAGATTTGAAACTTCACTTGGGACCATCATCGCCACATGAATCCCAAAGCGCCACCTTCTGTGACAATTGCGGAGTGATTGGGCTACCAGCGGGACACGAATGCAGCGGAGTGAAGGCACTTCTGGAATCACTTGTGGAAGGGTTTGACGGCAAGCTAAGTGCTGAAACAGAGAAAGTGACCTCAGCGGGTTCAAGCTCCAACTGAAGATGGAGATCATCATTCGAATGATGGAGAAGATGATGATGAGGGTAAGACTCATCGTATGCCTAGGAGAGGAGAGAGCTTTGGCTATCTTGGAACAACCAATTCCTTTTGTGTTTCCTTTGATGAATTACTCAAGGATGGAGTTAGTGTTGTTTATATTGTATTAGGAAGCCCCATATAAATTTCCAATAGAAAAGAAAAAAAAAAAAAAAAAAAAAAAATTAGTTGGAAATGGGGAAGCTTCCGGTATTTTATGGGAGGGAGAATGAGGATGTAGAAGCTTTTGTTAGGGACTTCAAGAGGGCTTGCATAGGAAACAATGAGAGGAAGAAAGACGAGTGGGCTATGCTTTTGCCGGATTTCTTGGAGGATTCTGCTCTCAAGTGGTACAAGGAGTACAAGAGGGAGCATTCGGAGGACGACACGTGGGAGACATTAACGGAGAACCTGATCGAAAACTTTCTTCCCAGTGAAAGTTATGAAAAGTTGATGTGTGAGGTCACCTTCTTGAAACAAGGAGAGAACGAGAAGGTGAGGACCTATGTGGAGAGAACCGAGAAGTTGGAATCTAGATTCCACGTGGTGTTGAGGAAGGGCGGAGACGAAGTGGATGCTACAATGGTGGGGATAAGGGCGATGCTCATGAAGAACTTCGTTGGAGGTTTGAGACCAGAGATTCGAAGTAAGGTGAGATACGAGAAGCCCTCTTCTAAGGCTGAAGCCATTCGAATTGCTATTAGAATGGAGGAGAGCTTAGAAGATGATGATTCTAGCTTGGTGGCTAGAGAAGTAGCTCCACCGGTTGTAGGAAGGTCTATTGTTTCAAACACTTCTACTTCATCCACGATAGCGAATCCTAGTGTGGATTTTCAAAATGAGTTGAAATCTATCACGGAGACTCTAGCAGATCTCAAGATCAATGTAGTACAGTTGTGGGAGAAGAGGAATCAGAACGTAGTAGGAGGCTCTAGGGGGTATGGAAATTATCCTCCAAGAGGAAATCCACCTTCAGGAAACTTTGCGGTTTCTTGCTTTTCTTGTGGAGGTCCTCATTTTCAGAGGAATTGTCCTAACCCTCGACAACATGATGGAGTTCGGCACAACAACAATGCACCGGCCACGCAACAAGCCAAGGATAAGGGAGTAGCATCCATTGATGTATTCCCTCATCAATGCACTTTTGAGAAAGGGGAGAGCTCAAAATCGAAAGTGGATATCCTTGCTCATGAGAAGAAGCGGGCCCGATTTGCGGACGAGTCGATTTTCATGGAGGACACGCCAAGTCGAAGTACACGGTCAAGTGGAGTGAGTCAA